TCAAAAGTCCATTTGCTCCACTCGTAACCACGACCGTTCCCTGGGCCAGAATGCTCTGATTCCCGGGCACCGTATAGTATTCACTTCGGACGATGGGTCAGCGGATACATCGGCGAATACATTGAATGTAGCGAATCTGACAGCCACTGGAGATCATAAACTTTGGCGAAACCTGACACTGTGAAAAGGAAATACAATCAAATACAATCAAAAACTGGATAATTTATACAGCTTGGACTCTTCCTATGTTTGCACTGTTTAGTAACCCGCATGGGTAACCCGCAAACCCATGCGGGTTACCCAACATAACCCGAAACCCATTGCGGGTTATAAAAGTCTACCCGAAACCCAACCCATTTGCGGGTTGGGTTTTTTCGGGTTTGCGGGTTTGCGGGTTTGCGGGTTTGCGGGTTTTGGCGCAGTCTAAATTTGGGTGGATTTTGCTTTTATTCGTACTTCTAACCCGATAAGAGAGGGCCTGAAACTTCCAATTTTCAGTCCATATTGGGTCCCACTGCATCATCTCCTGTAGTCAACCATCCACCATACGGGGCAAATAGTTACAAAATACAAAAGGATCTATATCACAGACCACCAGGGTTGGTTGGATGGGAAATACTCGTATATACCAATCAATATCAGCCTTAGTGACGTGCTACAGGGTTCAGGCGGAAGATAAAATGACAATAGCAGTTGACCTTTGCCCGGGCGTAACCTTCTTCTTTCAGTATTTTTCCCGATTTTTATTTGTTTATCTTTGTTGATTTATTATTTTTGGTTTCCTCTGATCTAGCAGCCTCCGGACTAGACAAAATGTGCCAAAGGGGGCCGGTCACGTGCGCATTCGCGGACGAGGCCGGTGGGGGCAGTAACAAGCCTCCACCTAGTTAACCTAACAATTACGGACTTCTCACGCCGTGATGGCCCAATCGTGCAGTGAACAAGCGCCCGAGGTAGTTCTGCTTGCGATTGATATTGGAACAACCTATGCTAAGGTCTTCCTCTCCGAGAATAATCTAATCCCGACTCCCCCGACTCGGTCTGACAAAGAGTAACTAATAACTAACTAACTATGCACTTTTAACTAGTTAGTTAACACATAGTAAAAGCGGTAAATTACAACATGATATCTTAACAACGGTGGCCTATTGGGGCTTTTCCTCTTAGCCTAATACTTTTTATATTATATCTAGCCCCTTTAGGGAGTTTTAGGAAATTTAATAATTAGTGACTGAGATATATATATTTCTTGACTTCAGCGATGTAATTTTCGATACCGTGATAATGCAAGTTTTCGATTTACTCAAAATTGATATATAGTACTAAAAATTCTTATCGAAAGCTATCGGCTCACAATAAAATAAAATAAAATCGTGGTTGTTAAGATATCAAGTTGTAATTTACCGCTTTTACTATGTGTTCCGGACTGCGCAGCTCGCCCGGGAAATACGTTATGTTGTCTGATACTAACGTAAGCTATCTCGGGTAAATACCCAGAAACTAACCTAAATTTACAAATCCATGGGCTTTCCTTAGGCAAGACTTGTTCTTGACTTGTCATCTATGCGTATGGGTATTCAAACAGCCAAAGCTGATCCCATTGCCGGTTGCAGTCTGCCTCTTAGGCAAACTGTATGTAAGACATATTGATCACAGAGGGTTAATCAAAGCACAATCAAAGAGCCATCCATACCTTTTAACTTGCAGTCTCATTTATCTCAACAGGGTTGATCTCCAGTGAGTGTCGCACAGTCTTTAAGTGCTACTTGATGCGCGGGTTGGTGTCGGATTCCAAACCTCGCCATTGGGAGGGATATGCGCACACATCGTTCTCGAAGGAGGAGGACTAGGGATTCAACTAGGCCCAACTGGCTTTGGCCCATCCAGCTGGAATTGGCTGTCCGCGACCCGGCTAGAAACGGATTGGGTAATGCAGCTGCTGGGCTTTGAAATGTGAATATGTCTAACCAGCACACCTCCAACAACCGATCTTGAAAATCTCCAATTAATGCCATCACCAAGCCGCCCCTTATCCTTTTGGAGATAAACGTGGCTAGATTTAGACTGATAGTCATAATTAGACCGGTCCCCGAAATGTGGATGGCCCCCAATGATGTACCTTGCAAGTAGCTATAAGGCCGCGATATTTCTCCAAGCCAAGAATGTGATTAACGATGACAGGTTTGCTGCTGCTGCAAGCCTCAAAGGGCCAGTGGCGAGTCATTAGAAGAAGCTCCCACCGGAGATTTGTCGCCCCCTGTCCACGGTGCGATTTCAAATCTCGATGTCACCGTCAGCGCAGGGGGCGCTCCCTAACACGCTCGCCGAAGGCTAGGAAAGGGAACAGGAATATGAAAAGCAGGGATATGTCTGCTGCTTCTCTTCTGACGGTCCTATTGCAGCAGATTGCTTCACGCGGACTCCGTAGAATCCCTGGAATTATACAGCGAGAAGCTCAAAAGGCACTGGCGACCAGTACGTTCAATCCATCAGTTTCCATAACTTGCTTTACTCGAAATGCTAAGAATTCTCCAAGATCTACCCCTAGTCGACTATCTCACCCGGTATCTCTCAGGTGAAAAGAAGGCAACGATAGCCTTATCAGGCACATGACACAATGGCCAAGTAAGTGGAATATGCTAGGACCGCACGGTTTCTATTGGCAGGACTTTAGCCGGTAACTAGTTAGTTAAAAGCAGCAATTGCATAAGCCAAATCCTCTTTGCTTGATATGATAGAAACCCCTTTCCGGTGAGCCAAGACTGGTTGGTAAATTGACACTTTGACGCCTCGACACCTCAATTGTAAGTAGACTCTACAAACAAGTTACTACATACATCGGCTATATAGAATGAAGTCTGGGCTCACTGAACTGCATGCCACTAGTTGTGTAAAATCAAGGATCGGCCTTGGGAACTCCGGAATTTACGTCATTGCCTCAAAAAGCTATTGGACGGTGGCCTCCAGCCTTCGGTCCACCGGCAGAACGGTTCTTAGATTCAAGAGAATGGCAACTCATTGAGATCTATTTAGTAATGAGTATCGCTTAGCATGGGTCTAGCTTTCGGATGCTCCATCCGGGCTAGCAAGGCGCAACCTTGGCGGCGACAAAAATCTAACCAACCGGACTGGAGACCAGGGTTTTCGAAGGTATAGTTCCGATGGCACGGTCCCCCCCCCCCCCTTTTGGCGTTTGCCGTAGTATAGGGGCTATGTATAGTCCGTGATACCAAGCTATTTACCTTTACCGATATAACAGGCTGATTTGCGCTCCTTAAACTAGCATCACGGGGCATCGGGGGCATGAATCAGTAAAATGTAGATTAAGCCCCCGCCACGGAGATAATTAAGCGACTTGGCCCCCGAAATTCTCCGAAGTCGCCATGATCTTGAAGTTCCTTAAGACACGATCAATTCGGCCTACATACAACCCAAGCCGTACCTTGTACCTGATACCCAGTGACGCAAATCGTCAACATACCTCAATCAGGGGACCAAGCAAGTGGACAGATCTTGGTAATTATAAAGTACCAAAGTGTGGAGCTATCGACCATATTGCGAGATGTGGAGAGATGGCCGATCGGCCTGTCCGGTAGCTCGGCTAAACTGCTTATTCTACATGCAGGTACTAAAGCTGACTCTGGCCAAAGCCGAGGCTCTTGCTTGGAGTTAAACGCGACCATCTGCTGCGTTCGGCCATCCCTCTCGATCACTGTCTCGATTGAAGACGTGAATCGAGCCACATGCATAGTCGCATTGTCGCTCTACACGGCAGCGTTGTGTTTTCTTGGTCTAAGTAAACAGTAGCGTGAAATGTTGTTCTTTGCAATCATGGGATAGCCGTTGAGTCTTTGACCGCCGCGGCTCAGTGGCGGACCGAGCGTACTCTGCCGTTAGTCTCTGAAAGTGACATACACAACATCCCACGTTTTGAAGCTTATCTTTTTCTCGCACCATCATTTTAGGATCGGCGGCCTAAGTAGGCCTAACTACGAAGGCTGATCTAAGTTTCTCAAAGCAAACGGCTTTGTCCCCATGTCTCAGAACCCTTGCTCTCGAATATCCGATTACATCCGTTATCCAATTAGAATTTCAGGGGCCTAGCTCCCACGACGTAGCCCCACCTCTACTGCAAGTTGACTGCGCAATTGACTGCGGAGTGAATCCCAAATTTTCAGATGCCCTACCAAAGGTATGTCATTCGGCGGCTGTGTCAGGGGTAGATCCGGTCCATTTTTTTTTACTTTGATCTTCTCCTCTTTTAATTTCAATTTTAATTTATTCCATTTTTTCATTTGCTCTGCAACTTGGTTTACAAGAAACTGAGCCTGTATTGTCACGACTACACTTATTAAAGGGCACGGATGAGGAGGCAAGTGCCGGTTCAACATCTTGGGGAATTTGAAATCGATCGCTGTCCACACAAAATTCATCTCCTGAACTATGGACCCAGCTCGGTCGCCACCAGGCGTGATCGTTTGGAGACGTTGAGCCTGGGCCATTAGAGGTATGCTTTCAGCCACCGGGCCCCGCAGCAGCGAATTAACGACCTCCCTGCTTATTTGCCACTGGTTGACTAGCTAGCTACCCCAAAGTGGTCCCTATCTGTATCGCCTTATTCGCTTTTGGGGGGAATATGAGGTAGGATAGGAAGATGTAAATCAATTCTCATCAAAACGATGAAGTTGGCACGGTAGGGAAATCGAAGCTTCCATACCACGTTTTCTTTTTCGATCACGTTAGTGTGCGCCGGAAGGGATGGCCTAGGACGCCCGGTATCTGATATCAATGGCTAATTAGCCTCAACCAAGCACCCCTGTCGTGGAGCTAATATATGAATGCTCGCCAAATCCCTCTAGTAAAGACCCGATCACACCCTGGAGAGCCATTCACAGCACACTGTTTTAGTAGGGACGGGATCTCAGAGTTGATGAAGTGCTATAAAGCGTTGGCATGGACCATGTCTCTACAATCACCTCTTTTTTACACTACACACCACGATGGCTGGACAACAAACAAGGGCAAGGAGAGAAAATCCGCAGCCACAGCGCGAGAATGACGATATGCCACTGCTCCAAGAGCAAGGACTGTCTCCACCACCATACAACACGCGAGATTCCACCCAGAGTGCACCGCAGGATATTCCTATGTCTGGCACTGGCACCGGCTTTGTTCCCATCGATCCCATATTCCATGAGGCCCCTCCCCCCACCTACGGCACTGTGCTTGAAGAGATCAAACAAATTTTCGCCTTCAACTGTGCCTCTTATCTATACGTTAGTATAAATCATCTCCGAGCGTGCGCTTCTAGATGCTAATGTGTCATAAGCCTCATCTGAAAAAAGGCCTGACAACAGATCCACAGATGAGATCCACAGTATTCTTCGCCCTGGGATCACTTTTTGAAGCTGATATCAATGACCAGAGCGATGGAAGTAACAATGAAAATATTCTCAATGACAATGAGAACAATGAATCCCAGCCTTGAAGAATGATGGAAAAGGCCAGCCAGGATAAAAAGAGAGATCGACAAAGGACGGGGGATTGTTGTATACGTTTGTCGTATCAGTTTAGAAATTGCGTGCGTGGTATTTTGTTTTTATAATAAGTGATGTTTTTGGCGCTATTTGCAATTCCAATCAATGCACACTTATTCAAATCATTTCGATAGCCTTCGCTCCCGCTTAGAATCCTTATTAATTTGATCTTTCCACCTGAGACATCAGAGCATTGAATCTCATACGCTCCGTTTTATCACGCTCGTGTGGTATCATAGGGGTAGATATGGCGCAAAAAAGAAAAAAAAGAAAAAAAGAACGAAAGAGGCGAGTAAATTCTCTTGACGTGAAGGGATATAAGGTCCCCCCCCTTTTCCTTTAGGCAGCCGATCACTGCATTATTGAACAAACACAGATTTTGGAAGGATTACATATCACCCTTTCGCCTATAAGCACTTTATAGACGCGTTCGAACCCCACAGTGGTGATGGGTCGCATGCACACATTAACCACATAGCATCTCCATTCAGCCTCCGCAACAGTAGCAGCAGTCTAACCCGAGATCAAACCGCTAGCTTTCAGCGCCAATTAGTCTCTAGTTGGTCTATGACCAAGAGGCGCGTCTGCTAGATATTCATGGCTCAAAGCCATTGAAGCAGCTTAGAGCCTTGGAGCGAATAGCGTCCCGTCTGGAAATCTAGGATTAGGTACTAGGGGTATACAGTACTTCCCCAAACTGGTGTCACCACCTACACTCTTCGATCGTTTCTCTAACCCTAATGCCAAGATATTCTACACCATATTAAGGATAGACTCGGATTATTAATATTCCTGAAAGATAACCTATAATCGGGTCGTCGAACGCGGCCACCAGGCGGTGTCCCGCCTGGTGGCCGCGTTCGACGACCCGATTACATTATTCTACTTTCAAGGATACCTTAATTCATGTATCGTCACTGTAAAGAGTAGCCATTATAGCTGGAACTTTCCATATGGACGCAAACAAGTCAACAAGAGGAGGGTTTCCTGTGCATTGTGAGCTACTCTAAGCATGCTTGTTCAATAACATTTGACTTTCATTCTCTTATCGCCGATGACAGCAAGAATGATATTCTCACATGAAGACTACACGGTCGCGTGGATCTGCGCCTTGCCACTAGAAATGACAGCGGCAAAGACGATGCTTGACAAACTCCACAGTCAACTGTCCCAGCCCAAATCCGACCACAACGCCTACACATTTGGTAGCGTTAGTGGACACAATATAGTGGTAGCCTGCCTACCGTCAGGGGTTTACGGAACCACCTCTGCAGCAGTCGTGCTCGCTCACATGATTCCGACGTTTCCGTCTCTCCGATTTGGGTTGATGGTGGGCATCGGGGGCGGTGTACCCAGCAAAGATGCCGATATTCGCGTGGGCGACGTGGTTATCAGCATGCCAGCTGCGACCTCTGGGGGCGTGATCCAGTATGACTATGGGAAGACACTTCGTGATGGATGTTTCGAACGCACTGGGTCGCTCAACAAGCCACCGCAATATTTGCTAACTGCAATATCTCAAATGCGCAGTAATGTCACGGGTGGAAACATATTGATTGAAGAAATCGCATCCGAGATACTTCAGAAACATGAAAAGCTTCAAGAACAATTTTCACGCCCAGATAAAGATTGGCTGTTCCAAGCGAGTTATGGCCATGAAGGCAAGAGTGCCGACTGCTCAAAATGTGAACCGGACCAACTATTTACGCGCATAACACGAGAAAACAAAGAGCCCGTCATTCATTACGGTCTGATTGCGTCTAAGAACCAAGTTATGAAATGTACTACAACACGAGACGCTATTGCCCGAGAGCTGAATATCATCTGTTTTGAAATGGAAGCAGCCGGGCTGATGGACCAGTTGCCATGCTTGGTCATTGAAGGAGTTTGCGATTATTGCGACTCGCATAAGCACAAACAATGGCAAGGGGATACGCCGCCCTTACTACAGCTGCTTACACTAGAGCTCTTCTGGGAGTAGTCCCTCTATACGGCCATACCCAGAGCAGTAACACAAAAGAAACGCGCCACTGGATGGTACCCTTGGCTCGAAATCCTCGATTTGTTGGCTGTCAACAGGAGGTCGGTTATTTTGAAAAGTTTATTATTCACGGAATAGGCCCGACCAAGGTTGCTATTCATGGGCTAGGAGGGATTGGGAAAACACAAATCGCCCTGGAGCTGGCCTACCGCACGCGAGAAAAGGTCCCTGAATGCTCGCTCCATCTTTTGGATTCCATGTACCAGCTACAAGAGTGTGCAACAAGCCTACATGAACATTGCCTCGGCACTAGGCATTTCGGATATAGAGCCAGCGAAGATGAAAGAGCAAGTCAATGCTCATCTTAGTCAATATAGGGCCGGAAAATGGCTTCTGGTTTTGACAACGCAGACAATATGGAAATGTGGACCAAGGGGAGCGCGACTGCGCCACCGCTCAAATATATTCTCCCTCGCAATGAGAATGGTCATGTTCCCTTTACCTCTCGTAATCGAAAGCTAGCTGTGAGAGTGGCATCACCCAATGTTCTATTTATTCCCGATGTCGATCAAATCACTGCCATGAAGATACTGGAAAATTCACTCATCCAAGTGGGTCTGCTGCATAACAACTATACAACTGCCGCTCTCCTTGAGCAGCGTGGATTTCTACCGCTTGCAATAAACCAAGCCGCTGCCTACATAAACGAAAACAAGATCGAGCTATCTGATTATCTGTCACTATTCAAAGAGCGAGAGACAGACGCAGCTGAGCTGTTGAGCGAAGAATTCCATGATGACGGACGTTACGCCGGGATTCAGAACCCAGTGCTTCTTGGATGATATCTTTCCAGCAGATCCAGGATTTAGATAAATTGGCAGCAGACTATTTGTCATTCATGGCCTGCATTAACCCCCGAGATATCCCGCAGTCGATTCTTCCACCTCCAAGTTCGGCAAAAAGGAGGACTGATGCACTAGGTTTTTTGAACGCGTATTCCTTTATGTATCAGTGAACACGCCTGTAATAGTTCATTCAGCGTTCATCGACTTGTGCATCTTGCCACGCGGAATTGAATGAGGAGAACCGAGGTTTTTGATCATTGGGTACGCAGGGCAACTCAACAGTTCGATGATATCTTCCCTGATAATGACCCCAACAACCAAGGGTTATGGAGGGATTACCTACCGCACGCACTATATTTGATAAATAGTGAAGAGTTCCATAATATCCACTATGATCTTGCTTTCTAAAAAACCAGGGACCGGAAGATAAGCAATAGGAGGGTCCGGTAGCATTATTCGCACATGCGGCATGACATGATAGTGTGCTTCGCCATAACAGTTTGCTCTTAGATGCTCTCAACCTTGAACTAACTAATATAAACATTTCCTACCTTTGAAAATTCCTTGGTCAGAAATGAGTGAAATTTTACGTCGCCTCTACAATACTGTACTAACAGCGTAGAAAATGCCTATTAGCTCTACTACGTAAACTGACCACCGGTCCATCGGTACCACCTGGACCTGTCGGGATTCGATAACCTGCAGGTTATTATCGAGTGCTACGGCGGCGGCGCCCATGTGGCCTTCACGTCCTGAAGCATCAGAGTAGACCACGATGGCGGATGTGGACCGCACGGTCTCAGCCCGTTCTCTTGCCGTCTCTCGGTCTGACCCGATTTCAACCTCCGTGACGGACTCAGTTCGCCATGGCGGCAATGGTCGTGGGTCGATCGTCTCTAGTTCATCTAATCTTTCTAGGTTCATAGTCTTCAGGGCTTCCGCTAGTGGGAAACGAGCGTACGACCCGATATTGTTCCTACGTTTCTGGGCTCGCCATAGTGCATCCCAAATGGAGTGATCGCGCGGCAGAGTGTGGAGGCTTGTGATGATGTTTTGCGCTCGGTGGAGGAGGCGGAGGCGGAGGTGCGTTGGCAGAGCGTGTGCTTCCACTTCCAGAGTAGTGGTGGCCACTGTCCTGAAAGCCGATAGGATGCGGGTTAACGCATTGCTCTCGACTGTGTTCAGGTGTCGAAGGTGAGTCTTGTCTCACAAAGAATCGTGCCAGATCGTCGACGCCTAGTCCATGACTGGCGTTACGCACGCTTGGTACTACCAAGTTGGTAGTGCTGTCGCATCTGTTCAGGGCGTAGATGCCGCAGCCCGCCCACCACTAGCAAGCTTGAAAGCAATCTAGGTACCAAGGCACATGATCAATAGATCCTATGGACCATGTTGACATATATAGATATCCTCACTCTTGCCGATCGTTTGGATGGACTCCCTTTGGCAACTGTAATCGCCGGGGCATTTATGCGTGAAACTGGAACCAGCATCACTGAGTACTTGGAGTATTACCACGAATCTTGGACCGAGCTACAGTTGCAATCGAGTCCTGGTCGTCAGTACCAGCAAGGCAACATGCTACCAATATGGATGATCTCATATCTCGAGATGCAGAAGCGGGGCCCGAGCGCAGCAAACCTTCTACTGCTTCTTGCTCGTTTTGATATCGAGATATCTGGTACTCGTTAGAAAGTGGCCGTCATAGCTCAAACGCCCCCGACTGGCTCAAGAAGGCGATAGCAAGCTGACTCGCGTTTAAAATTGGTGTGAAGTCTCTCGTCGGATTCTCTCTTCTTGAAAGTAAGCTACAAAAAGGAAGCTATGCGATGCATCCAGTGGTACAAGACTGGTGCCTTCATATTGCCAACACAAGCAAAAATGTAGATTGGAAGCAGCTTAATGATCTCGCACTCATATCTGTTGGATACTGTGTGCCAAGTGAAAGTAATAGGGACTACTCAAAGATTCAGCAACGGCTTCTTCCACACGCCAATTATGCATGTCATCTAGATTGGTCAGATGACAATATTAAGTCATGGGGGACATTCCACTGTTTGGGGTATCTTTACTCTGATCAGAGCAAGCTGAGGGAGGCAGAGGAGATGTACCAGCGAGCACTAGCAGGCAAGGAGAAGGCTCTAGGTCCTGATGATACATCTACTCTCGATACAGTTAACAACCTTGGGAATCTCTACTCTGATCAGGGCAAGCTAAAGGAGGCCGAAGAGATGTATCTGCGAGCACTAGTAGGATATGAGGAGGCCCTAGGACCTGATCATATATCTACTCTCGATACAGTCAACAACCCTGGGAGTCTCTACTCTGATCAGGGGAAGCTGAAGGAGGCAGAGGAAATGTACCAGCGAGCACTAGTAGGCAAAGGGAAAGCCCTAGGTCTAGATCATACGTCTACTCTTAGCACAGTCCACAACCTTGGGAATCTCTACAATGGTCAGGGCAAGTTGAAGGAGGCAAAAGAGATGTACCAGCGAGCACTAGGAGGCTATGAGAAGGCCGTAGGTCCAGATAACGATTGGACTCGGCGACTTGCAGAGACGCTGACTGCAGTAGGCATTGCAGACGGAAAATAGTGCCTAATATCCTTTGCAAATGATTCCTTGTGAAGTGCTAGGGTAGATCTGACTTGCCTCACAATTGCACGTATTCACGCTACAATGCTTTATACGCTTCGCCACCGTCGCTATTTTGAGATCTATTGAGTTTGTAGCTATTGTTATATCATATGAAATACAGTTATTCATTTCCAGGGATCAAGCTTTCGGGCGATCTTTCGGTAGGTTAGTGTGTTTGTGTGAGAGCCCAATGACGCGATGGTGAGTGTGGTTCTGTAATCTTAGAGCTGTAACAATACTTTGGCACTTACAACACTTAGTCTTTTCTTCGTTTGGTATAATACAATTATGCCTTGTGACGGTTCTTTAAATACAGGGTTTGAAACAGCTCCTCAGTGTTGTCCGACATGGAAGGCGAAAGCGGTCGCTACTGTAGTATAATGGTGACTGTCAGCCTTGGATCCAAAGTAGTCTTCTCGAGATATAATTCCGTCAGCTTTCTCTGACAAACATCTATTAAAAAGGCACGATCACATTTCCTCCTTCGAATGACGGGGCGTGAGGTCCATTGTAGCTTATGCGCCACTTGAACCGGATTATCTACATAGGAAGATAACAGGTGTCTGGTAGCAGCCAATCCAAGGCCTATCTATCCAAGTATCGGTGATCTGACAACCCAACTCTGTCTCTACCTGCCTGGAATTTTGCCGAAAGTCTGGCCTGAGACCTTTCTGTAGATAACCTCGTAGCAAACACTGGAGAAACCGCCAGATGAACATCATATTCTTGAGCTCATCGGCGCATAGACCATTGTGATTGACGCAGCCGAAGGATTCTGGGGGCATATCGAGAACCTCGCTTTGGACTTCCAGGGCGGGAACTAGGTTCACCATCACTAGAAATGATGGTGCCTTCTAGCCAAGCTTGTTGGCCTTGTCAGTCACTTTATTGTTCTTTGCCGGAGCCAAAGATTCTGCAAAAGGTCCAGATACGCCATAGGGTGCGATGCATGACGATCCATAGAGGATGTTGATAATCCACCAAGGCCATCTTCAACACAGACCATCACTTCTCATCCAACGACTTCGCTGCTCGGCAACGCACCAGAATGGCGCCAGTAATATAAGCGCATGTAAGGATTTCATATTCATAGAGGTCACAATAGTCGTGAGCAGACCAAAGAATCGGCCTCTCCCGTTGTGGTGACACGAAGTGCCTAAAGTACTCCCATGATCCGGGCCGGACTATCTTCCCTGAGGGTGTCACAGGCAACCTCATCTCACGCAATTTCCATTGCTCCAGATGGGATTGTTTCAGCACCGACTGAATCAGCGACAGGCCTATGGAAGTACTCTGCAGGTCGACCCCACTGTACTTGGCTAAGTTAAAGAGATCGTCCAGAGAGGCCGCGTTCTGCAATGTAGGCATTCTCTTTTGACCATCAGAAGGGGCCCTACGGGAGTACGTTGGATGTTCCCTAGTGTCGGCCTTGGTGTCTGTCTACCTGGCACGCTCGACGGGCGATATGAGGATATGTTTCCCGGTAAAAGCCTCAAGTCGTGAATCTGCCTTTTATTTTCGCCAATGTTGACCCCTAACAGAAGCTCAATATTCACGAACAAGTCCTGTTGCTTAGGAAGCGGAGATCCCGTAAAATTAGTCCGGTTCCACTGACCGTTTGATTGTGATAAAGTAATGGATACACATACTAGAGGGGCGTTGGGGTGAATTAGCATATGTCTCATTGCGATCAGGTATGTTAGTTCTCCGGTCAGTTTTAGAGGATTGACATGAAGCCCGAGAATGGAAAGTCATGGCAGGTATCTTGACGTATTGTGTCTAGGATACAACAAGGTCTATCAATAATATGTCCTAATTCTCGGTCCATGTAGCGTAGGCGGAAATATAGTCTGATTCTCGAACATCCCAACACTCCCAAAGAGTGGCGGTTTTAAACTCGACAATAGAAAGTGAGGAGCGTTTTGAAATTGCGCAGTTCGCAAGCGCCTTATACCATATAATCGGGTCGTCGAACGCGGCCACCAGGCGGTGTCCGGGTTCCCGGGCGCAATGATAACTTTTCCAACCTGTCCATCTAATTCATTGAATTTAAATAACATCCCCAGTAGTATCAACATAATAAAGATTATCTATCCATTCTGGGGCCATTTCTGTATCGGGATCCTCCTGAATTTCACCTGTATCCTCAATGTCGCCGTCCTCAATTGCTTTTAAAATAGCGGCGTCCCGCCATGCTTTCTTCGACCGGTTGAACATTTGTAGTCTTTCTCGGTCGGCACGGTCGGAAATATGCTTTTTACAGTCCTTAACTAGGCGAGGGCCTAGTTCCGGAAGCCTGCGCTTTGTTCTAGCAGTATTCGACTGCCTTTTCCGCCGTAGAATCCGCACATTGTCCTCCGCGAATTGAGCACCAACCTCGGCAAGAGCGAGCCCACCCGCCAAAATCCGAGAAAGACTATCTCGCACCTTCGTAGAAATTGTAGTATCATTTTGGATATGTTTTATGACCTTAGTGCTCGCTTTTCTTAGCTTTTGCACGGTCGCCGGCGGTGAATTTGGTAGTGAACTTGAAGGTGGTGGTGGTGTAGTTCCGGAAGCAATATCGTGAATGATAAAACCAGGCATATTAGGAAGACCATCGTCAACTAAGCCTAATTTCTCAAGGCCTTTGTCCGAATTAATTGGCCAAATACCAGTTTCTCGGAAGCCATATCGAATAGTGCGCTTCGTTAATGATTTTGTCCGTATATTGTGGATCCCGGCGAAGAATTCAGCCTTATGCTTCGGATCACCACCCTAGAAGACAGCATTATTATTCGACTGTTTATAATAATGCTTTAAGACTTGAAAGGGCGTATCATCAAGAGGTTGGCAACCGTGTGTCGTATGTGGAATAAAACAATAAGGAATGATTCATTTTTGCCAGCAAAATTCAATGAAGTCATAGGTCAAATGTGAACTATGATTATCCATTAAAAGAAGACGATATTCCCCTTTTTTAACACGGAACGACGTAAATTCATCGAAGATCTGAAGCCATACGAAACTAACGATCTCGTCAGTCCAACCATTTGGGGTTGGAACGATCGTATAATTATCTGGTAGATTGGTTTCGATAAACCAGCTTTCCATATGATATTAGCCCTTCACTAAGAACCATGGCGGCATAACCCAACCATCCGCAGAGACACATTCAATACCGGTAAGCGATTCGGCTTGCCCACCGGTAGAATTCGATGAATTGCCCCGGGCTGAGACAACCTTTTCAGTCTTTCCTTCGCCAATTCTAAACCCAGTTTCATCGAAAATGTATAGATTTTTCTCGGTGATTCCATAGGTTTTAATCGTAATTTGTAGGCGATCGTACCATGTGACAAGAAAGCCTGGTATAACAGCTTCATATCTTGCCCTTTCCATAGGTTTTTGCTTAATATTTTGAAAGCGCGGTGGTAAACGAGCGATGAAATCGTAAGCCCAGTTTTTTCCTAGGGTTCGGGAAGGATCATGACGCTGGATAATTTGCAAGGCAGCACCCTGAATTCGCGCTGCTGATGGCGGAGAAAAGGCCTGATCTAAGGTATCAATCCATAGAATTAAGGCCTTTTCTTGCTCAGGTTCTAGAGCTTTATTGCCTAGGGTTTGGGCCGCTCGAGATTTCCGACCCTGAACTCGCCCTCTGAAGGTTTGGTATGGAATGCTAAATTCCCGCGCGATCGACGCGATTTTGGGCTTCTTAGCGGCATGGTATGCTTCTAAAGCCTTGATAATGCGGTCTTCTAATTCTTGAGACATAATATGAAGATCTGGGGTAATGGTGAATTAATGAAGATGGCTAGGTTGAAAAAAGTATCATTGCGCCCGGGAACCCGGACACCGCCTGGTGGCCGCGTTCGACGACCCGATTATGACAATAAAATCGTCATATCGGGCCGGCATCCCGCAACAGCAATGCCACGATCACCGAAGTGGCATTTTTAGGTCACAAAGATGTTGTCCAAAATTAGTAAAGATATGACACTAACCTGCCGTCACTCATGGCAGTATCAAGCCACGTTTTTGCCATACTCTTAAAAGTGTGACTCACTTGGTTCTTTAAAATCATCAGCTGCTCACTTGGTCGCACTAGATAACAGTCCAAGTCACCCCATCCGCCGATTACCAGTCTGGCAACCTTTCCAATATTCTTTCAATGGAGATCTGTAACGGAGGCGAAGACTCGGAAAAAATGGTTAAAGAATTAGAGCGAAGATATAACATGCGCCAGGCGTGTAGCCTATGGTACTGGAATGCAATCAACTTCCTTCCTCCAGGGATGATTTTAACGAGGCAAGTGGAACACAAAATGCCTTGATGTCTCGTATCTAATTCTGCCACAGCTTCTTCCTATTCCCGCCTGTGCTGCAAGACTTCGAGACTCACCACTCGAACAAACTCGAAGCCGAGATTGGAATTGCTTTTGCGCTTTCTGCATGTGGATTCCTTCCCCTTTTACCTCTCCCTTTCACGGCGCTGAGAGCGCGAATGTCACTTCTGGGAAATAAGTATGTTGCCCTTTGAGGAGCAAGAACTCGACTGACCTCCATTTTCAGACTCAGTCTTACGGCTAGCCTATTCGGAATTTTGAATCTTGTGATACACGTCGCTTATGGACTGAAAGCGAACAACATATTCGTGACTGCGCTAATATTGGCGGTGTCACAGACCATCTGCTTCACTGCTGTCATTTGGCTGCGTTGCAGCCGTGATTTAGGTGTAAAGTCAACACGTACTAGCTTTAGCCGCACCGATCCAATTGGAAAAAATCTAGGGAACCTGGTCATTAAAAATATAAGTCCGCCTAAGCATTCAGAACCCAGAAATCTTGATGGGCAGGACCTTGGGCGTGAGGACCTACTTTTTTCATCAACCCAAGTTTGCAATGGTCACCTGATCTGATTTTGATCTTGTTTAACAATACCTTTATAAGTTCCGCTATATAGCTCGCAAAAATGCGCGTTATGTAGCCAGAGCTGGCCAATAAGAATGTGGCTTGTACTTCCTCGAACCACTTTTACAGGGCAAAGCTTCATCCCCAGTCCCCACATAGTAAATGGTTAGAACTCATCAGAATGAAACTATTGTAAAATATAGAAGAAAAATCACAAATGCTTCAAATGCTGCTAGCAAGCATTTTAACCGCGCTATTCCTCCGTCCAGAAAAAAACACAATGGCTGATGGTACTTCAATTTGGAAACTATTGTTTCAGGGATAGAAATAGAGATCACAGAGAGCGCTGATAATATTAAATATAACATTATTGCTATAGACTTGTTAGATTATAGAAGCATGTGCGAATGTTGGATGAAACGCATTTGGTCGTTTCTAGGCTTTAATGCTTGGTGAAGAAGATGATACGGGCTCGCAAAACGTCAAACCCGAGACTTGATATCAACATAGCCAGTCTTCGTAGTCCCAATTGCAGACATTTGAGCGTTTTGGGTGGAGACGGCGTTCAGATAGTGCCGTGCGGATCTGGGTATCGGCCGAAGGTGTTTATGTCACTGCAGTCATTGTCTCGTGGATACACAAACGACCGCTGCGTGCTGATTCGAACGCATTAAAGGTCTTTTTCGGGGCACTGGTACTTCGGTTGAAGGGGAGGGTTGCCGTCGCTGGCCGCTACTGCGACTCATGATCTGGGTGGAGTGCCGGCGGTGAGGGTTTGATTTGTGCCTTTTAAAACTTTCACTTCTTCATGGAGCTTCTTCATTCTGTTCCTACAGAACATGCTGGTTGTGTTTTATCTCCTGAAGCTCGTTTTGAGTGGATTCGATGACGGCGGTTTGATGGCGGATGATGTCTTTCAGGGTTTCGATGACTTTCCACACCACCTTAGTAGTGACTCGACCTGAGTTCTCCGATGGTGCAAGCGCATCGCCACTGTGCGGTAGTTTTCGGCGTTCGGTAGGCGATCCCGGCGATTCAATAGTCACTCTGGGCTGGAAATCTTCCACTGAGAAGCTGGTGATGGATTCGGGTGTTTGTGGGAGGGGTTCGGGCCCCCCGTGGACACACAAAGACAATATCAACCACAACGTCGAAAAAGCTCCCTCTCTCGACTATCCTCAGGGTTCGAACGATGCGCAATTACAGTCGGTAGCGAAATCAGCTTCCACCCTACAGATTGCTTTTCATTTCTCGCGCCCCACCGCCAGGACACTAGCGCTAAAAGCTTATTTGACTTCAACAAAGATTGAGCGTTGCTGGAATTGTCCGGCAATTGACAGCAGATTCATGGTCTCAAATTATAAACCACCATGTTTTCTCTTCAATTGACGTGTATTCGAAGACTGGATTTTACGGAACCGGCTATCGAAGGCCGCCCTTAAAATGCTAAATGAAGGAAAAGTTCAACAGCAGACCCTTTGTTCAAGCTAATAAGGCACCGAATATCACCCACACACGTAGACATTGACTAGTGATGTACGATTTCTCATTAGTTTACTCTGATCAGTTGGAAAATGGGGGATCAGAAGATTTTTACTATTCAACTGGGAATGAGATTGAGGGTTGTGCGAGCTCTCAAGATTGAATGTTAACATTAACCCTGGATTGAAAAAAAAGTGTTCAGTTACCACGGTGGGATGACACACGATACCAAAGACCTACAAAGGAACCGTAAGGGGCGACAAACTCTCAATCGTATGGGGAGGCTTATCACCGAGTATGTACCTGCTGCCGCAGCTTCAAGGCCTTGACCATCACCGCCTCAGCCTCTTCGTTCCGGCCCTATGGCCGCAAGGTCTGCCGCACTCCGAATCGTATCGGGATGCGTGTCGCCGAGTACCTGATGTCGCAGCTCCAAGGCCTTAACCGTCATTGCCTCAGCCTTCTTATATCGGCCCTGTTCATGGTATGTGGTTGCAAGTTCTGCCATGCTCCGAATCGTATCGGGATCCTTGTCGCCGAGTACCTGCTTTCGCAGCTCGAATGCCCTTGCATCAACTGGTTCCATGTATATCCACCTACCACGGTCGTATAAATGGTTCGACACTGGGGTCAACAGATCTGATCTGATCCCTCTCTTCCCACACAGAGCTCCACCTATTTGCGTACTTCTCGCATTCCGGCCACGTCTCTCGCTTCCGTTCAGGAAAGAGCCCTGCCACAATCTGTAGCGCCGTATTCGAGAAGTATGCCGCATCTTTTGTACTCTGCACACTCAGGCCGTAACGGGTAGCCTCTTGCACAAGCTTATGTGTCTCGTACTTCTGCACATCCCCTTCCTGACGTATGCCGAGGAATCAAAATTCGCTTAGCCGAGTTACAGCATCCACAATCCGATCTTGCCTCGCAAATGACTCTGGCTCCTGTCTTTTGGTGTGTAGCGTGTCCACTTCCGCCATGATCTCGATCGGGATGTTTTGGGTGTTGACGTACGCAATGACCTAGAGGATCCTATATGCTATTTCGTTCTCTTGCCGGATACGCTCGATAGATATGCCCCACGTCTCCAAAACACTGTTGGAACACCACGCCGTCAGTGCCGATCAAATTTTGATGATTTTAACACTTGCCATCGTTCCTTTTCTTCCGACAAAAGAGAAAGACAATCCCTGACTGGCATTAAATCTGTGGATCGCTTTATATATGCACCAGGCTGCGAGATGGCTAGTGCTAGGCGCTGGAGCTCTTCGACCAATTTACTTGAGTCGCCCGCCTCTTCGATTCCAACTTTACCATTACTCGATTTCTCAAGTAATGATATCTCCTTATCAATATTCTTACGTCAATCTCGAAAGCGCAAAAGTCAACATTGACAAACAAAAGCATGAAGCGCCTTAGTTGGATTACGGTAAGTCGAAAGTACCTTCTGTATCTACCACAATAGTTGCTAACCAGTTCTGTTGCTAGTTTGTTTTTCTCCCACTGATGTTCCTTACGGTATGGCTCTCAGTTTATGTTTCGCCGTGCATACAGACGCCTAACGTGGATACAGAGTCTCTTTGGTATGAACATCGATATATTGGCGTCCAACCCACCTTGGTCGTTTTATATTCTTTTTGCTGTGGTTACTACGTTGTTGACGCTGGCCGTGTGGTTGATTTTCAAGCATAACATTGATATTAGTCTGACTTAATCCTTCACCGCTCTGTCCGTCGTTAACAATAAACATAGCTGGAGGACAGTATAGAGCGTGGATTCAATCGGCTTATAAGCCGCCAGCCACAGCAAGACCTTGAGAAAGGTCAGCGAGGAGGCCTTTCCCCACATCGACGATCAGCGAAATTTTCGACTCATGGGAAAAAGAGATCTTGATATATGAGATCTTTATGTTGATTGATTTGCCCCGATTCAGTGAGGATCAGAGATTCGACGAAGGCGTCATCATTCCTTTGGGTTTATACATGGTGCTGGAGAGCCGCGCAAAATCCTAGCTATCATACTGTTGATATGGTCACTAACCATTTAACTGCACGGGTAATAGAAATGACGAAGCCAAGATTTTCTTTCCAGCCAACCATGCCTTGATACTATCTGCCGCAATATCTAAGAAGTTGATCGATGAACCCCTCGAGAAACGAGGCATCCGTTGAGCCACGAAAGCGCGAAAAGAGCATAATACCACCTCGGCAAACCCATTATTAGGAAAAACAATAGGCATAGAGTTGGTACGCTGGCCAAATTTGATGCATACATCCAATTTCTTGGCCATGTTATGTATCTAGATCAGATACATTCGACCGGTTTGAAGACGATATTAGAACACTGAGTGATTTTCCAACCATATCTGTTAGCAAAGAAAGTGTATTTTTCGCGATGTATATGCTAGTGCAACTGACTATACGTATATGGCTGAAGACTCGCGGTCAAACGGAGCACTGGAAGGAGAAGTTCATCATTTACCTCTATGTACTACAAGTTTCCTACCGGTGAATATGAAAATTGGGAAATAAGCCAAAGACTCTTTCCTCATGTTAAAGCAGCGATGTCGCAGAAGCCAGAATCACAGAAATCTCTACTAGATTGGGTTACGTTGCTTTATAATGGCGCATGGGGATGGAACCCCGCAAGACGAAACTCGGCGTGGACCATCCCTCTACGCTGACTAGTATGACCAACTAAGAGCAGCTCGAGGTGCAGGTGATGGAGACTCGCAAGACGAAGCTCGACGAGGACCATCCCGACACGCTGACCAGTATGGCCAACCTGGCGTAGACGTACAAGAGCCAGGGCCGGTGGGAGGAGGCCGAGCAGCTCGAGATACAGGTGATCGTCACTCGCAAGGCGAATCTCGGCGGGAACCATCCCGACACGCTGAAAAGTATGGCTAATCTCGCTTTCACCTGGAAATCTTCAGCTCATGATGCCGAAGCCATAATTTACTACGAGATTGTTTAACCAAGCAAACGCAAACACTGAGCCTGAATCATCCCACTATTTTATCTAATTATGAAACATTGTTAGAATGGGAACCAGAGCCCTTAAATATGAACGCATAGATAGATGTCAGATGTTTACCCAGCCATTTTTCTTTTATATGTTGATTTTGCAAAACAATCTTCCCCATAATATATTGAATTAGTGCTCGGTTCTCGAAATGGGATTGACCTTAGGGTTTAGTGAATATTGCTGCCAAGAGACTGCGGAAAAGCAGAAGTAAAGCCAACGAGCGAGCTAAGGGCCTGCGAGATGCGGGTATTTTTTAAGCAGGAGCATTACAAGTAAGAGTATGTCAAATGACAATGTATTTCAATATGATTCAATACTTGAAACTGAGCCAAGCCATACATAGATTAGCGTGTTTCGGATTAGGATTCGAGAAAGATTCTATGGGAGCAAAGTGGTGAAACTGATTTCGATCCATCCTGTATTAGACAACATCAAAGTGCACATTACTCTTTCTTAGCACTTCATACAAAATTGGGAAAAGCCGTGTTTCGGGTACGAGACGGGAAACAAAGTATGAGTGGTCTGAGGGGCAAAATGTTTTCGAAAATCGCTGTAGAAAATCTCCACCCGCACAGATGTTCGTGGGGAAATTCATTGCTATGTCAGCCCAAGACGGGCACCATAGAGGTTGACGAGATTGCAGAGCAGATGCCGAGTCTTTCTCTGCAAACCCCCAATGAATCCTCGTCGTATTGTCCAGCTAGCTCTCATCCACCTGTTATGTAATTACTTGGCGCAAATGTCAGTTATATAGCCAGTTTTCGCTACTCTTTCCCATACACGCTCTATTGCTCTGTTGTCCCAACCGTGCCAAGCGCCCAATACACCGTGCCGGGTATTGGTGCGCTCCACCAGATGCAATATTTTCACCATTCCACCAACTTACCACTTATTTTACTACCATACCACGATATCAGAAAAAGCCGAAAAAATTGAGGATCGAATCCAAGATGCAGTCAAAGCCTACCATGAAGCTATTAAGCACAATATAGCTAAATTGGCGGGGAATTTTGAAGTTCCACCCTACCGGCTTCGGCACCGAATTCATGGACGCCAGTCTAATGCATTGTAAGGATTTTTGAGGTTTCGACGTCCGATTTGCTAATATTGGAGGCCTCAATATTATATAGGTGTTCACCATAAAATAATAGCTATTTTTTGCTTTTCTCATATAATTTGGAGCGTTTGTAAAAAGGGGCTCCTCTAGTAAACTAAAACGAACATGCTCTGAGGGTCCCAATTTTGATAGGCATAACTTGTGCTAAAAATAGGACGTTCTAAACCCGGACCCGCTAGATTGACCGGCTAGGTTTTATAACACGGGATTCCCACATATCTGCGTATACAAACCAAGCATTGTTGAGCTATGCGGTACTTTACGAATTTAGGCTGGGGAAGCCTTGCCAGCCTCGCTAGTATGGCCGGTTCTGCCTTCGCGGATGCTACCACAGAGCAGAGTGACACGATTCCGTCCGGATCTGGTGGCGCCCTCGAATTCATCGCAGACAACAAGCTCACCCCCGGTGTATACGGTGCTGCTCTCCTAGCTACAACTGAAACAGACACTGTTGATCTTGGTTATGTGGAGATCCCTCGTTGCGATTCAAATCAGGTTACAGTCATCAGATTTACTTATAATGAGACCATACGATCAGGATTTGCATTTTTAGGCTTCGATGACCACAAATACCCAGTTTATATTCAAAATCCCAGCCAGTCATCGCGAAGAAGCTTGGACTCTCGCTCTGACCAAAACGCTATAACTGCCTACTGTGGTAAAAGGTCTACAAATTCATCCGTCGAGATCTCATCTTCTACAGGTACGTGTCTTTATCAAGTCTTCTCATTAAGTACATGGTTTCGATGCTAATCCGTTTTACAATTAGTTACCTCTATACCTAGCCAAACGAGCTCACCGGTAGATTCAGTGAGCATGGCCGATGTACCCATGACCCAGTCCACCACCCCAGACGCTGTCTCTGAGCCCGTATCTCCAGTAGATTCGAGCTTTACAGTTGATTCTAGCACAGTTATCCCTACAGTAGCTTCATCTGAAGCATTATTCACATCTTCGTCTATCACATCCTCGGTAGTATCGGCCCAAGCGATAACCCCATCGCGTACAAGCAGCCCCAGTACCACGATTCCCTTGGGTTCAACCTCGCAATGCACCTGCACATGCGTTTGTTAGAAGCGTAGCTTTAGTTTCCGGTAAGGCACACCACCTTTCTCTGTCTTGTGGTCTTGGGGTCAATATGCTCGTCTGATACAAACACCAGTCACCAGAGTGTTTTTAAAGATGGAATTCTGGAAGTGGAATCGAATTCTCCCTTTGGTGAATATATTGAATAATACACGTACTGGTTTGAGCATTATGCAATACCGACCGTCTCCCATGTCTGATGCATAAAGGTTCTTTTCGAAAACTGTGTTGAATACATGGTTGAATGCAGGGTATTTTCCCGGAAAAACACGGGACCGACAGATGGCAGATCCCATACAAAAGGGCATATTAAGCATGTCCGTGGAAATTCCCCTGAGAATTCCAATCCTGTCATTTTAGAGATTTCAATATATCTGATTTTGTCTATACATTGGTCAGTTCTAGAAAACTCTGATCGCATGATTCTATTTTGTTCAAATATCAGCTGGCATGTGTCTCGCTACGAATTGAGTCGATCGTAGTTTAAATCTCCATTCTTAGTACATACTATCATAATTGGAAAGCCGTAGCAAACCAAGCCACTATAGGAGTATTCCACTATCCTCCTGTCAACATTTGATAGGTTTGAAGTTTTTAGTCTGGGGTCTTTTCAATATGGCCCCATTTGGACATCTGCTGATACTGGCGCCATCGTCGTATAGGCAACAGTGTGTAAATCTCCTCCAATATATTCATCCAAGCTAGGCTATCATAGATAATGCACTCTCCCCGTCGAGCCGACGGAGCTTGCTGTATAGGTTTGTCATTATTCGATTTGTGTTGTATAGCTTTAGATCAACTAGATTATAGAATTAGTTTTCCAATGTACTACGGAAGGGGAACGTTGGCGAGAGGCTTTTGCAATATCCTGTCCGAGTTGCTTGCACGAGCGACACTCTATGGCGCGGAAGTTGGGACCTGTCCGGAAAGTTTACGTTGGACCTTCACCTCAGTAGGGAATCGGTATAATTTAGTCAGCACTACGAAATGATTAATATAAAACTACGATGTGTCCTCAAAAGCTTCACCACGATTCTTGCTACTGTTAATTATTAGGCACACTTGTGCAAGTTTCCCGACCCGGGCCGAAGAACAGGCAAGTTCAATATGTCGTTAGCACGCCTAAAGAAGCAGCTCATTTCCCCAAGAATTTTGCCAAATACGACTTCTGAGGCAGGTGGGAGGAGTTTTTCTCTCAACCAGCCATCAGGTGGCTATACGTCCTTGCTAAACCCTATCAACTGGCCTCTAGTCAAAGAAGAGTCGGATGAAACAGGATTTACTCGAGTAACGCCAACCGGTGAAGCTTCGACTGGAGATATATGGCCTCTTGTTCCAACATGGGTCCAGAACAGTTTCAGAGGTCCGCAGTTCGTTCCTGGCGTATGTTATCATATCAATTGAATAATATCATATCGCTCACGCTCATTAGCATTTTATCCTAGTGGCTACCCCCCAGAGATCCCCATTGCTCAAATGAGAGGGCCCGGACATTATGAGTGCCTCAACTGGTATAAAAGACGTTTTCCAATACGTAAGGGAGAAACTGGGAGTATACTGAATGGAGTGGGTCGAACTACACATTACGGGGTTCTCTCCACTGCACTTTCCTCCGCGACCAGCCTGGGGATAGGTCAAAACTTTTCACGAAAGCATCTGTTTATATCTGTGGGACCTTGATCCTCTTGTAGCCGTGCGTGATGACATTTTACACCTCCATAAGGTCCACAATACTCCTTATTTCCAGGTAATTATTCGCATACCTCCACCACGTCCAAGGTGGTAGGCATAAACACAGACTCAAAGGACCAACTATTTGTCTTAGAGGACTTGAAGAAGTTGTAAATTTAGGTGTCTCGCCCTTCCTTCTACTGCTTGTTTGTTGTTTGAGAGTTTGGCGAACATGAAGCTCATTTGTTGTGGCACTGAAATTCTCAAGTTTCCTCCACTTTCAGACTTGTGACCAGTATCCTCACTCTCACTAGCGCCCGTCATTTTACCAATAAATGTTGTTGACTACGGCCAGTTCGGACCTAGCACGTATCAAAACATCGCAGTCCTCGCATTTGCTCCGTCTACGATCAAGATTAGCTGTGGGCGCTGCACACATATGCTCGAAGCAGAATAGGAAGCTTAAAGTCTCAGAATTTTGTGAAGCATGCTGTATAGAGGAAAATGCAACCAGTTGCGTCTACTTTTCTTATGTCATTCTTAGAACTGGGTTGAGTGAGAAGTGTTTTCTCTTGAAGGCAAGCCCTGAGGTGGGCGGAAGCTTTTGGCTAGAGCTGAAGTAACATGGCGTGCAATCGGGGTATTTAAGCGGTATTGTCTAAAAGTAACCAGCTGATTCAATTCGAAAGACTTGTCCTGCAACTTTGGGCTTCCTAAAACGGTGGGGAGAAGCTCCAGCCTCGAATATAGAACTCAGATATAGGCTGCAGATCCAAAGAGCGAGGCCATTATAACAAATCCACATGCAACGAATAGACAAATCGCCTGTCAGTGTATGAAACAACCGCATGACCCTGTTCTTGCTAATTTTATGCACTACGGCTCAATCGATTAAACCGCGATATATTCAGTCGCCATGTAAATTTTCTTTTGTCAATAGCGGCTTTGCACCCATCGGCCAAAGCGTGAGTGCCATGAGCCTTGTGTTGCTTGCTCGGTGGGTCCATCTCCTACGGCAGTCTTGAAACCGACGCTGGCGCTTTGAAGACTCCTATTCTTTGGTTGTACATATGACACATTGACTGGACCAGGGCAAATAACCTCCAAAATCAGACGCTCGGGTTCGGGACTTGTAACCACGACACACGGAACCCCATTACCACGGAATGTCATCAGGGTGAACTATATGCGCTAACCACGTCCGGGAATATCGGAATATTCAAACTGTCCCTGGATCTCGTAAATTCTCATGGGGTTGGAGATTTTAAAGAGCGGGATCTGCCTACTTGTCTGCATATACCGGACAACTACAAGCATCGTTCCAAATTGGGTGCGAAGAAGTATTTCCACTTTTGGTCTACCACGGTCCTCAATACCATGTGCTCCCGCCGACGCTTACCGAATGTGGGCACACCGTAGAGATTTTGTTGAACTCTGTTCGCAGCTAATTTATTTTCGGGCCTGTCTACCCGCGTTGTCAAGATTTGAGAACCACACGTTGCTCTACTTACACCCCTGATAGTAATATAGTTCAAAGCGGCCTACTCAGGGCATTCCAATTGGGAACTAGGCTACTGCGATAAAGAGCACAGGCGAACGATTGGTGAAAATTAAAGCGAGTGGCCGTGGGCCCACTCTTTTTTTCCCACACAAAAATGCAAAACCCTAATCCGAGTCACGGTAAAACCCTCCCAAATGGGGTAGATTATCTTCAATGATCATGATACTACCATGGGCTATGTCGGACCAAGATCACCATTGCGACGACTGACTATTGAACTACCGTGAGTCACCAACACACATGTGCATCGTTACACATCCTACTATGTAATCTAATCTCACCTCCATATTACGATATACACGCAGCATAGGAGATCTTTCCCAAGCTCGGACCCTTTGCTTACATAAGTCTTGTAGCATGTGTATGATAGTTGTATTGTTATAGAGTTCTGTGGGTCATGACCCAGTATTATAGATACAGGTCTAACCCTAATGCATGAGTAGTGCGTATCAGGGTGACAGGACAATACCATCAGTACAGGGGATCCAACAATAAGGAACCTAGATAACTAGCGGCTACCAACAACAAGTTGGCACAGGCCAGCCCAAGCATGGTTCCAAAGGTCGCTCGGCTATTACATGAAGATTGGACTCGCGAAAGCCATATCTAAAAATACAGTGCATCCCCAAAAGTGGCTCAGAAGCTTCATGCATTGGCCGAGAGAACGTATACCTCTCGCAGTAAAATGTCTTTCCTGCCATCGTCGATTCCGTTCGAAGAAGATGGAGCCTGATGTGGAGCCTGACGTCTCGCTATGGCAATCAAAATCCTCCTACGGCTGCTGTCAAGGGAGCCACCTCAGTTGTCCTCGTTCAAGAGTAGCAAGAAAAAATGTTTAAGTCCAGAATTTCCATCCCTACCACCCATCGCATCGTCCGTACCCGCTTCAAGTCCACCATCTTAACACCGATGAAGGAGCGACTCATAAGAGAATGTCAACAGGCTCAGACAAACCACAGATGCGATGCTATTACGCGTCATATCAAGTGTCTTTACCAACTGTATGCCCAAGTGCAAGACCTAGGTTGTCTTCTTGACTTAGCAGACCATATCCACCATAGTGCAGGGACATCGAGGTTATATAACGCATGGCTGCTCGGGTGCATACTAGACTATCCTAGGATAGAACACAACACATTTACCTTCGATGAAGCGCTGGTAATACCCCTGTTGCACCACCACATCGGGTGGGCAATTCACCAAAAAATACGGAGTACGAAGTTTATACTACTCACGGCCAGGCTCGCAGAGCCCAAAGAGTTTTAAACTTAGGAACGACATATATCCCAGCAATTTTGCAATATATGGAACAGAATTTTAAAGCAAGAGCTGTCGCTAGGTTATCATGAGTGCATTCAGTATTAGCCGATTTGGTTGACCTTACCGCAAACACGCTTCCTACATTTCTAATTCCTATCAAGGAAGGAATCAAGTTCTCACCTTGGAGACTTCAATTCTTGATGCCATGTAACCATTGATCTAATTTTTAAGTTGCCAATACTGTACCCATAAATAGGGAATTTTCACCCAATCCATCGTAGTACCCTCGGGTTGCATCTGATATGTAGCGCAGCATCACGTAGTCGTCTTAAAATTTTTCTAAATATGGTTGAGGACGCATTATCGGCCGTACTGTCTATGAATTGAGGCATGACTACCGGGGGTGCTCCCAAATTTTGGCTAATGATATGTCGATTAAAGAAAAAGAGTACCCTTGGTCCACCCTTGGTATGATTCTAATATCAGCCCTTTATTTGTGAGTCCCCCCTTCCGCGGTGTTGGGTATGTGCATTGTGGCTCTTACGTGGTCTACTGCTACTAACTCGAAGAAAATTGCAACTTGCGATCGAATACTGCTATCAAGTCCGAACCATGTCACCGGCCACATGGGTTTTCTCGGTCCATGCGAGTAATGAAGCCTGATTTGAGCAAAGTTTCTGGGAGTTTGCGGACAAGGTAAAAATTCAGGGTCGGCAAGCTCGCAAAGTTAACATTTTCAAACTGGTCGAAAAATGGCTCCGGGATGGGAAGATAGGGAAATGGGTATGTGTCTTTGATAATTGTTAGAATCTACGGAAGTAGATGAGATTATGAAGGTGCAATACGTAGTATTGTACTATGTAACTGAGTAGAAGAAGAGGAGGAAAGTGGAAGCTAGACTACCTGTACTATGAAGAGTCATGTGACATGAGAGATATTCGAACACCCCCCACGATCATGGGCATGAATCGTTAGATTAAAAAGCACCCCCCATAGTCCTTTCCTCCGAAAAAGTGAAGTTGTATTCACTTTTAGAAACACAGTGTAAACCGTAATTGATCAATTGACATGAGGCCGAAGGCTTAGTTGATCAATAAAGCGCTTAAAAGCGGTTGATGCTAGCGGCTTAGTAAAACCATCGGCCGCTTGCAACTGAGTGGAGATGTACTTGAAGATAACAGAGCCAGACGAAACCTCTTGGCGGAGAAAGTGGTAACGTACTGCAATGTGTTTTGTTACTCTGGATTTCTGGCTAGTGCAATAGCACCAGTATTATCCGGATGAATCACCACCGGTCTATCCAGTAGACCGTAGTCTTGCATCTTCAGTTCCGTAAGGAGCAAGATTAGCCAGCTTACTTCCTGCTCTGCCAGAGCTTGAGCAATGTACTCGCTCTCTGTGGAGGAGAGAGCAACACATGCTTGTTTCTTCGAGGCCCAGGAGATAGGGCCACCAGCTAGGTGAAATACAAAGCCAGAAGTGGAGATTCCAATGGTGGAGTGAGGGCCAACGTGATCAGCATCACAGTAACCATAAAGAGCAAGGTTCGAAGAACCAGATGAAGAAACAGGTAAAGATAGTCCAGATGAAAGACTGTCAGCATTGTACCAAATGCATAGATCAATTAATTGTGCCTAGCAAGTAACGAAACAGGCGTTTAATGGTCTCTTCATGGTGAATTCCAGGATTTCTAGCATGCTTTGCTAGCTGGGTGGCGGCATATGAAATGTCACCACGTGTCCCACACATCAACCATATGGCCTTGCCAACCTTTTCTTGGTATAGCTGGGTGTAGTTGACACCCTGGAGGATTTGCCCCCATAGATGCCTTGGCAGTTCATGCTCCGTCATGATAGCGATCAATGGTTCAATAAGATGCTTGTTCCTAATCTCTGGAATACCATTAAGGCGAGGATTGTACGGCGGAACAGGGTCCCAAACCGCTCCTTTTGAAAGGAGACATTCACGAAGAGCTTCATGTTCTTTAGCATTGTCACCAGATACCCGCTTGACAGTGATATCAACCTGAGTTTTCAACCACTGCTCGACTTGAATGAACTTGTCAAGAACCTCCGAGCGGTGCTTAATTAAAAACACCCAACAAAAGCGAGAGGCATCGTCCGTAAAGGAGACATAGTAGTTGTAACCACCCGTAGAAGCAATGCTAATTGGTCCCCACACATCTGTATGAATAAGTTCACGAGGCTTGGTGCGAATGAGTTTGTTCTTGCTGAATGGAAGAGCATGGCCTTTACCAATGACACATGGTGCGCAAGGCCGAGTCAAAGCTGACTTCTTGATCGTTAATCCTTCCGAATGTTCCTGGGTTTTCTTAACCCGGGCTTCGCCGACATGGCACGCACGGCGGTGCGCAAGATCCATCGTAATGGCCATGGGTTCACTAGCACTTTCAACGTACAATTTGTCATCTTCCGGTGAAGCAGTACTCTGATCGAGAGTAGACGACGAGCAGGTAATGCAGTTAGCTTCTATGAGACTACGCAGTTGGCTGATATGCGCATTGTTGTATGTGTGCAGCCAGTACTGGTTGTTGTGAACAGTTGCATAACCCTTCACCACGCCGGTAGTGAGAGATTTCAACTCTGCGTGATCTTTGAAGAAAGTGGTGGAGACTGTGCCAGTGGCAGCAAGCTGTTTCATAGAGATGAAACTGTGCTTAAGGCTTGGTGCATACCACACCTTTTGTAGCACAATACCCCCCATGCGAATTCGCTCAGATAGATCCTGATCATTACGATCACCTGCTTCGTAGTTATACTCGGCAAGATCAATGATAACATCACCATACCCTTCTGCATAGAAGGTTTCACCTGTAGCTGATTGAATTAGCAGACGTTGAGCAGTAAAAGTGTGGAATACACTTCGGCAAGGGGTCATATGAGCTGAACAGCTGGAATCCAGCATCCATTTGTCGGGGTCTGGAATATCATTGTCTTGGTCGTTGACCAAGACATCAGCGGTTGTTGTATTGGCTGAGTAGTCATCAACAAGATCATGAAGATCGTCAGCCACACCATTAGTATCCACGCATTGAAAGATGGCCTTTGGGGTGGTACGCTGACTGCGCCGGGAGCATTTCTTGCCAGTACCAATGTAGGTGGCAGATACCCAGAGATTGTCAGTTAACGTAGCAGCCACAGATGCCGGCTTGGCATCTGTCTTGCTGGCAGATTCAGGCTTGGAATCCCTCTTGTTTTTGGGATTGAGAGAGCATTCAGCTGGCCTATGGCCAAGCTTCTTCTTGTGGAAGGGACACCAGATCATCTGGTGTTGGTTCTTCTCCTGAGCATTGGAATCCTTACGCTAGCACTTCTTATTGTTACTGCCTGTGGAGGCAGTATTGGAAGAAGCTTGCTAGTTGTTTCGATCATTGCCAATGCGGCGTCCTTCGGAAGCAATGAAGTCTCCAAAGATGTGTTGTAAATTCCGGTCGTAAGACCAGTTTTCATTAATTGAAACCGTATTTAACCAGTACTGACAGGCAGTATCGTTACCGACTGCATGAAGGAACATGTGAATGGCATGGAGAGAGGAAACATTCCCCTTGACAGGGTATGCTTGTTGCATTTCTGTAAAAAGATGACGCCATTTGGTGACGAAGTCTTCAGGGCGGACACCTGGTTTGTATTTCCAGGTGGCCCACTTGATAGCCTTGTTGCTCACTGAATAGAAGGTTTTTGCATCGCAGATAGCACGCAATTCTTCATAAACCTCAGGAACAGTCGCATCATCAAGTTGATAGACTGACATAGTGATGTCAAGGGTTGAAGCAACATAAGTGAGAACCGTTGCATTGCGCTGGTCCCAGTCATTTTGAAGCTTGGCGCGAGCTTTGACAGCAGCACTAGAAGGTGGTTTGGCAGCAGGGATTGGTGCCGGAGTTGTAGATGCTTCATCAACTACCTCAGTCACATCCTCAGTGGTAGCAGCTGCTGACCGAGTAGTAACTTGCGAAGCAGCAGCTGCCTGAGCAGCGGCATTAGCATCAGAAATGGCTTGTTGTTCAGCAGTGAGATCAAGAGGTCGTGGTTCCAGACCAGTGAGAAGACCCCAGTATGTAAGGTGTTTGCCATTGAGAGCAATCTTCATACGCTTCTTCCATAGTTCCCAGTTGGATTCTCCCTTTAAGAGAGGAACTAGATCGGTGAATTTGGGATCAGTTGCACCCCGTGTTTCAGTCACGTTGACCTAGGATTGTATTTGTATGTAAGTCGAGATTCGACAACGAAGGAAGAAGGGAGAGAAAAAGGTAGTCAAAATTGTTGACTATGCCGAGGTCGTAAATCACTGTTGGGACCATGGATCCCCGAGGATTGAGAGATGAGATGCCGATGATCTCCACGTTGGGATGAAGATCCCCCAGAAGAGGCTTATTCTGGAAAAATGAAGCTATCCCTAGCAAGTTGAGATGCTAAGAACGATGGTAATGGTGAAAATCGATGAAAAAGGATGAAAAGAGGGTATTAAAGATGCATAAATAGATGCAAGATCTGTAGGATATGCAGATGAGAGAGTTGTTGTGGAGAAAACTCTGTTGGCAGAGCAAGTAAGCAAACAAACACCACCCGATCTTAGTATTTGGTCCCAAGATGACGGCCTTGCCGCCTGGCAGAAATCTCTGTATAGAGAGATACTGCCTGTCACCCTGGCAGGTTCAGCAGAAAGCTGTAAACCTGAAGTTGAGGCTATTCACACTTCCCGAAAAGGCAGTTCTCCGGGCTTGGCGGAGATGTGAATACTCGACTTGTTGGACCATGGGTCCCGATGTTTTTGGCTGGGATATACAGGGCTTAGTACGACCCCCTGTGCAGGGCTTAGCACAGTAGAAAAACCGAGGATATTGACCGATTGTTAGATCGGATCAATAGCGAGCTCCCCGGGCTCATAACCTGGTAGAATCTACGGAAGTTGACGAGATCATGAAGGTGCAATACGTAGTATTGTACTATGTAACTGAGTAGAAGAAGAGGAGGAAAGTGGAAGCTAGACTACCTGTACTATGGAGAGTCATGTGACATGAGAGATATTCGAACAATGATGTCGATGACGATCAGCTTCTTTGCTCGGTTACGGTAGTCTACAATGAAGATCTGATGAGAGGCCCAACGAATGCCTCAGCGAAACGACTATTAGATTACGTCCCTAGAAGCCAAATAGCTCCATCTTTACCAGTTAAGCATTTCTACGGACGATATGAAGGGAAATTACCCAAGCACAATACATTATATTGAATACTTCGGTATATGTACCATGCAAAATCTCGTGCTTTTAACAAGTGATTACCCCGCATCATGATCAGTACGCGACAAACCCGATAACAGACCCCAAGAAGCGTGACTTTGAGTACAAGAATTTGACCAGAACGATCTTGGCGCAGGTGATATCAAAAGCAGATAGCATTGAGCCCGACGGCAATCAGACTGCCCGGAATACACGGCGGTACTTCACCAAAAAGCCACAGACAATATTGGCTAATTTAAACCAGGCTGCAGTTCACCGAATAAGCCATCATTGGATGAACGACTCTTTTTTTCTACTGTCAATACTTTCTGCGGGGATCACTAGGGAAGTGATGACGGATATAGTCTCTTAATATTATTCATGCTGATTGGATAGGCTCGTCGTCAAGTGTCAATTCTCCGGAGCCGATCAACTCCTGCGGGGTTTTTCTCTACATCAGGAGGTACAGACCAACCAAAGCTTAACCACATATATTATGCTTAAATTGACATATATGTATCATTTCTTTCTTTATACATTTTGTGCCAGTCCTCCTCTAATATCTGAAGAGCCTGAGATACCCTTGCAGCATTATTATGAGCTTTACTTCTTGTGTAAAAATCATATATTGGCTCGTTTCCAGCTCTGTCACAGTCCCGTAGGCCAATAAATGACCCAAACCTCATACGCTTGGCATACAGACTGGTGTCTCTCTCTTCTGGGGTACCAATCCAAGGAGACATTCGAGTTGGATATTGCCAACTTGCGCTAGTAGGAGGCCAGATTTGATGAAAATGGCGGGCGAGCCTATCAAGCTGAGGTGAGGTCAAGAGATTGAAGGCCAACATTGTCTTTGGAAAATCCGGATGTAGCTTGCCAGTGGTGACAGAAACTAGCGGAGCCAATGGGTAGTTGAGATGGCTGACCAGGCCTAGGAAAGAGCGATGGACGTTTGATCTACCAGTTCGGCTACGTGAACTTAGATAGCGAGATGTCTTTGCCCTGAGCAAATGCCGGCTGGAAGAATGATGGCAAGAGGGACACGGTGCCCGCTCCAAGTGGTGACATCTCTGAATCTTTTGGTCAGGCATACTGCTCAGGTTGGCCAATGTAAATATAATCAAACAACAGTGGGCATTACCTTCACCGGTAGTGAGAGTTTAAATGATTGTGGTGAGATCCGATCAATCCAGGCCATATCAATTGGAACAAAATCATCTATTTAATAACATTGATCAGATATAAATAGCAGGTTTAGCTTCAGGATGTCTTGTCCGCATTCCTAAGGTAGGCCTATATTTAGTGTCACTAGTCCCGAAAGAGAATACCGTAACGTGATATGTAACCTTGAGCAGCATTTTTGAGACCTTTGTTGTGGTACGGTGACCCATTTCTTGAATGGCCGATATTGGACAGCAATTGAGAATTTTCGAATGTTGTTCTGTTCTCTTGCCGAAGTCTTTGTAGGGGCACTGCAAAGGGTTCAAATCGCACGTTGCCATTGTCCACATATATTAATTTGTTACACGCCTCTACAGAAACACCGTAGAGTGCTTTCAGAACTCGCGCCAACTATTACTGTCCAGGTTTGTTTATTCCCTAGGGCAAAGGGTAATCTGAGGAATTTTGGTGATAATATTCAAAGAACGATTAGACAATTTACTTAACGTTATGGCAACAAAAACCATCTCCGTTCACATTCCACAAATTAAGGTACAGTACAGTACAGGACAGTCCTTTGCAAAATATACTAGCGTGCTTTGGCCTAGTGCATATATAGTGTTCAGCCTTTTTCGATGTTTTAGCGGTTCAAATTAGCTCAATAGTTTAGTCTTCTTTCTCTCAAATCGCTTGCAAATAATTCAATGGCATTCAGTTTCCCAATTGCTGATTTCCGGCATACCAATCCTGTCCCGGCTGGCCCAGCATTCGCAGTTTAAATTTGAACCGTGTTGGGACGGGGCATGAAAATCGATAGCCAACCCTTTTGACCGTACTTCTTTTGATTTACTTGTCACCTGAGTTTCTTTTGCAGTAATATAAGCCCACAGACCCAAAGGTTGAATGTTGAGAAACACGGATTTCAATGCCACGCTAGATGTTGAACCGGGAGAATACACGGCCTTCGTCCACCGAAAAGTGCGAGATATCCATTATTACATTCTGGCGGACCACGCTTACAGCTGATTTTGAAACGGATCATGATAGCCATCTGAACTAGCTATATCTGCTCTAAAAACAATGCATAACATGCTTTGATGGAAATTGGAAATGATGGTCAATCAGTCCCACGACATAATATAAAGTCAAACGAAAGCGCGTATTAGAGTGTTTGCGGTTTCGAGGCTCGGTCGTGAAGAAGGCCTATCAGGAGTGAGGCGCCGGCCCACTAAAACCTTGACGGCCAGGCCGATGGACAACGTAAGAAGCGCTTTAAAATTTACTCCGAAATCAGGTATTGATACAATAAATAGGTGACCTGATGACCGGCGCTTCACTAACTGCATTTTTATCCTCGCCTGCCATGGAAGTCATGGATAGGTCCCCTCTGCCTCACAAGAAGGCAACTTTGTTAAGACTGGTCAGCTGGGATTACGATTACACTCTCCTTTTCCAGACTGCACTCGCTTCGACAAACCCCTCATGTCCACGATGACTATTCCTCTCAAGGTGTTTACGATAAAATCCCCGCTGTCCCAATCGAAGTAAGTCAATGTGGCATCAGACTAGCAGCCCAAACTCAAAGTCACATAGCATCTGTACTTATAGACGAAAACATCCTACGTTCTTGCGCCCCGATGTTGCTAATGGCAAAGCTCTATCTTTCCAATGTGGGATGTCCCGGTCGGTGCCTGAGAGCAAGGCACCATCGTTTCGATTTGGCACCACGGCCAGTTTTTCTCTCAGTAAATCAACATCCTTGAAGAATATGCTTGGCCACGATCCGGCCTCTCCCCCTCATGAGCGTCCTAAATCAAGGGATAGCTCCTCCAGCAGATTGGCAATTCCGCCTCCCTCGTCGCCATTTCATCACGCGCCTAGCCGCGGGTCACCTGCCCCCAACTCCATTCGCATGCCATGCAACCCTTCGATGCGCCCTCGCAAGCAATTTAAGAGGCCATTTAGATTGCTTGAGCATCCTATAGATGTCGTTTCTGATAAAGAGACCAAGGTAGCAGCAAAGACAAACATGCAGCCTATTAGTGACACAGAGGCACCCCGGCATGAAGATACCTCATTCTGTCCCCGAGGGCCGAGCGAATTTATTGCCTCGCATTGACAAGAAAACTTTCCTGGAGCTCATGGATGGAAAGTTTGAGGACCAGTTTGACCATGTCCTGGTTATTGACTGCCGTTTCAAATACGAGTATGCGGGCGGCCACATCGACCGCGTCGTTAACTACGACGATAAGGAGAATCTTGTCGAGGAACTTTTCAAAGCCCCAAAGAGCCGCACCGCCCTAGTTCTGCACTGTAAACACTCTACCTACCGCGCTCCGATCATGGCCAGGTATCTCCGTCATCAGGACCGCGCCATCAATGTGGACACCTACCCCAATCTGACGTATCCTGATATGTACATTCTGAATGGTGGTTACAGCTCATTCTTCGCTGAGAACCATAAATTATGTCTCCCTCAGAATTACGTCGAAATGGCGACAAAGAGCACAAGATCGCCTGCGAGCGTGGACTAGACAAGATCAAGCAGCGCTCTAAGCTAAAACGTGCCCAGACCTTCACCTTTAGGAAACATCATTCTCCCGTGAAGGAGAATGGGATTACTGAGTGCCTCCGTTTCGGTGAAAACGACCACAATTATTTCCTCGACTTCGCCTCCTTCTCAGAAAGCCCAGTTCCTCATCAGGCTCCTGGCAGCCGGAAGTGTTCCTTCTGAATTGATTTTCAGATACCATTTATAGTGGCGCTGTTAATTCCATGCCTTTTATCTTCGCACAAGCATGATGTTTTCGGATGTGTACATCGCTTGTAATGCTTCTACTGTGGCCGTTCTTTTGCGTTTCAACTTTCGACTCTCGGAATAAGCTTTTGCTGTGTGCCCCCCTTGGTGCCACGAGCTCTCCTCTCTTTTGCCCTAAGCCCAGAGGCAACAAAACATACATAACCACATGCAGGTCTGGATGTAGAAAATTCCAAATAACAGCAATTCCAAAAAATCACGATATACAGCCACACCGCAAAAGTTTCCGTGATCCCGCTCCCACCTCAAATATATATCTCCCACCCCATACATTTCATTTAATTCCTGTATACATTAATATTAATTTAATACGATGAAAATAGTATATTTAAATGCGCATTTCATAGAGAATCTAGTAATACTATTTATATACTTTTAATATCTAGTATACCACCCCTGAGCGGCAATTACTGCCTCACACCTCCGATTCATGCTTCGAATCAACCCATCAAAGTAATCCTGACCTAGCTCCCCCCATGCCTTATGAATTAATTCCTGAAAATGTGTAACTAACTGCTCTTTAGTCCCTTCAAATTTATCTAGGTCAGGATCGAGGCGATCGATCATTTCTTTTAGCTTCGCCCAGGCATGTTCAATAGGGTTCAAATCCGGCGAATACGGCGGCCAGTCAGTAGTAGGAATTGCATTCTCCCACAACCACGCTTTAATGATTTTGGCCGTATGAATCGGAGCGTTGTCATGCGTAAAAATGCGCCCCGAATTCATAAAAAATTGAGGTAGGTTTTCTTCGAGGGTTTCGAGATATGATTGTGAAGAGAAGCCTTGTCGTGCGGAAAATGGATCGCGATTCATTTGATATAAATCAGAACAACCACTACCGAATATCGCTCCCCAAATCATAATTGAGATTTGTTTTGATTTCGAATAAGTGACCACATATTCTTTTTTCCATTTTTCGTTCCGGTGGTTTAGGTAGAAGACCCAACGTGCGCGCTTCCCTTTTCCAATCTCCACCGAACATTCATCGGACCAAACAATACGCTTCCACTCTTTCCACGTCCAATTCCGGTGCTGTAAAGCCCAAGCTAGACGTAGCGCGGCCACTTCAGATTTCAAGTAAGGTCTTCTCCGGGCTTTCCAGTGTCCGTATCCCGAGGATTTTAGTATTCGGAGGAAGGTATCGTCAGAAGCGGTTAAACCACTTTGCTCTCGGATTTCAGAGTAGAGAATAAAGGGATCACGTGTAATAATACGTATAGTCAAGCGTTTATCACTATCGGATAGAATAGGGGGGCGACCGAGGCGAGAAATCGTTTTTCCTTCAGTTCGAAGAGCATCTTGTTCGAGGGTATAGGTGATAGTGGAATGCGCCAAAATGATGTTCTGATAAAGTGAATTCAACTATTTTTCAAATACTTCAATATGGGACTCTACGGAACTATCATGAGACTCAAACCAGTTTTGCCAACCAAAGTTTAGGGGTACGGACACGCATGCAGGCTACCAGGAAGAAGTGTCTGTCGTTTACCTTCGCGCATTATCACAGGCTGACATGGTCGTAACTGTTGTTGATGAGGTCGATGTTGATTGAGATGCCACTGATCGTGATGAACTTGTAATATGTGCCAAATCGGTCGCAGATGTAGCTTTTTGTGCCACCCCCGCGGCTGCAAGTTGGGCTTTACAAGAGGAACCTATTGTTGCGACAAGGGAACAAATTGCCTGGTTTCCCTCTTTATCCAACCAATAAATCTGTAGTGTGTTTGCGTCTTCATGGTAGGTAGCAACGAGCCACGCAGTCGTGCAAAGAGCCAAGATTTTTGGGTCTGATGTAAGCTCTATACTGTACGGGTCCACAGTAACACCGGTGCACCCAAAAACACCTTCGGCATAGATCTCCAAATTGCTACCCTTGCCCTGCTGAAGTGTGAAGGTTGGTTGTGTGAAACTTTGTTCGCGACCGAAAGCGTAACCTGCCCCGATGGTTGTGATGAGAACCAAAGAAAAGAAATGCATTTTAGTATTATATTCACCGTGGAGTATGGATACTATTTGGTTTGGGTGACAGTATCTCTACTTAAATATCCTTTCATTCTGTCAGATTAAGCTGGAGTTGCTCTCCACCATCAAAAATTATCGTCCAAATATAGTCAAAGTGGTAGGTGCAAAAAATGGACTATCTCGGTTACGGGACTTAGAGATTCCAAGGTTATTTTTAAGACCCGGTAATATCTATTTTTATCGCCCTAGGTGGACTGTTGGCGGCTTGCTCCCCATCTGGCGAATACAGTAACCTAGCGACCGCCTTCGCCTTCCATGTCGGGAACGAGAGAGAACCACTTTCGCAACTCTGAACCAATGAGGAATAGGAATCTTGATACTTGAATGTCCCACTCAGTTTGCGGCGATGATGAAAGGTTTCCAGCATTCTGGCATCCAAGAAGAGCTATATGAGCATCACGATTAAGCAAGGGCATTCATGGAAAGCGATCTCCTTGTTACTCGCTTACTTGGATGGAGTGAGGAAACAGAGTAACAGGGTTCAATGTACTCTCGTACCAAGTGAAATAGTTCTTGTATCATAGACCACTGCTGTGGGCTGAAGTCAGTCATTTCAACTCCCTCTTTATACCGCTTGCGCGTTGCTCATGCCTATTAGAGCTCGCTCTGCTGGTCCGTCCGACTCGCATTACAAACCCGACGTACAACTCAACCGGCATTTCCTCGGCCAACAGAGTATACTTGGGGATGCTCATCAAACTATTCCAACCCAACAGCGAAACCCAGAATAGATGATGTAACTTCGAGGCCGAACTGCTGGCCGACACCTACTATTGCTCGCCAGAGCAGTGAGTTCCAAGCCAATCGCTACTGCTACCGCAGTTCTTCTGGGGCCAACCTGTTTTATTAGCTATGCAGAAAGTAGAGTACTTCAAATACATGCGGGGAACCAGCACGTGCAAGGTCCCGAGCTTTCCCTGTATCCATGTTACCCAATGGCTCTCGAACATTTGATGTGAAGTTGGGTTATGTATCGCGCCATACATGTCAGCGCGTGAAGACGTCATGCGAGATGTAATTCTATGAACTAACTTTACAGTGGATAGATTGCATGTTCTTATTGATATAGGATGGGTTTAAAAGCCATCATTGAGTTAATTTGTTGCCTAAGTCTATTCTTGTCCCGCGGTAATTCTTCAGAGCCGACATAACATGTAACGAAAGCCTCCATCTGCGATTGGTGATGGGCCAACCTGCCAAGTTCTCCTCGACGCCGACACTGCAACTATGAAAACCCATCATCAAGCTGCGAAAGCTGGCAGAGGTCGAAAATATTGATTTCTGTTGCTGGACTTGATTTGGATGCCACCGAAGGCTCTAAGTGACTTGAGTTTTTGTCTACGAGCGACTGGAACTTCTCACACCTGTTGGAGGATTAGCCGGCAAAGTATGCATTAGGAAGGATTTGTGTATGTACATGATCGTGAGCTTCCTACACGTTTCTTGGAGGCCCTTTTGTATCTTCTGTACATTATTGCCCTGTTGTCCGCCTATGTCAAGCATAGACTCAATTGCCTTCAAGCGAGCTTCAAATTGAGCTTCGAATTCGTTGTAGGAGTCTGACTTTAGGGTTTGATGGCGAGGATCAAACCTAAAAAGTTTTGGCTCCGGTCCAAGCTGAGGAATCGCATCAATTTTTCGTTTGGGAACAGGTACAAACTGAGGCAGCGAACGACGAGGGTGCCCGTAGTAGCATTGGGAAGGGTCCAAAGGCCCAGCCATCTCGAATCTTGACAGTGGAAATCTTGGGCTCAGATTGAACTCTTTAAGACAGAAGGCCTACTCAGAAAGTAGTGAAACACCCGCTAGATGTTCCATAATTAGCATCAACAGAGCCTGGGCCGCGGTTCTAATTATAGCAAGTTCTGAGAGGCTGCATACGTACGTGAGGAGACTTGGCTTCAAGAAGATTGACAGTCTTCTAGACAGCAATATCTGGAAGGCAAGTTTTGATAGAGTAGAGAAAGTACAGTAGTTCCGGGAATCGGTGTCACCACCTACACTCTCTCATTGTCTCTCAACCCATAATGCCAAGACATAATAGTCTGTTCTGGGAAAATTCCGAACTACCCCTCTCGATACACGAAGTATCGTATTGTATAAGCGATGAGCATAACAAACATATTTGTACTTACTGTACCTCGGTGCCCCTCTTTGCCCCTCTTCTCAAAGACCACCAGCATTGGGCATCCCTCTGGCGATCTCCGCTGTGTAACGAGGCTGCAACTCGCCGTTGCTTTGCTCTAATCAGACCGTGTTTTTTTATCTTTAATAAACCACGAACTATTCCTATATTCTCGTCTGGGTGGCCACTGACTATCGCCATGGCTGATACGCTCTCGATCGCAGCTGGGATTGCCGGATTCCTCTCGCTTGGGATCCAAGTTACGCAAGCTTTGGTCGATTTTTATTCTGTCTATAAAAACTAAGACACCGATTGTGCAATGATCACGCAAAATATCGAAAACCTCCAAAGTACTTTGCGATCCCTTAAAGTCGCAGTTCAGCAACAGCAATCTCAGCGTCGCGGTGAAGAGTTACTCGAAGAAATCGATACGGCCAGGAAATCATCATGGAGCTCCACACAGAGTGCCATAAATTCCACGCAGAGTTGGCTACCGGCTTAAAAGGTCGTGTTCAAGCTGCTAGACGACGCGTCGCCTATCCATTTCGGAAAAGCACAATACAGAAGATCGAAGAGGATATTGGGGAGATACGTGATAATTTGTCATTCGCATTAGACGTCTTAAAGCTCAAAAGCCATAGTCGGATTGAAGATGACCTATCAGAAGTCAAGTCGCTTCTGGGGCGGACAAACAAGAGTCAAATCTCTCTCGCCATCCGTGCTTGGCATATGGCTCCAGATGCATTTTTGAACTATAATACTATATACGCAAAACGTCATCCAAACACTGGCCTGTGGCTGGTTAATGGCCACCAGTTTACGAATTGGCTTATGGAACGCAGTTCTTTTCTTTGGCTCAATGGGTTCGCAGGATGTGGAAAGTCCGTTCTGTGCTCAATTGCAATACAACATACGTTTCGTACGATGAAACATAAGAATGGGGTAGGAATCGCATTTTTCTACTTCTCCTTTAACGATGAGACAAAACAAGATAGTCATGGCATGTTACGCGCATTGCTGTCGCAATTGTCGGTGTAGTTCCAAGACGGCGAAAACGAACTGGAGCAACTCTATACACTGTTTAAGTTAGGCACTCCTTCCGTGGAAATGTTAAACCAAACCCTTTGGGGGTTTCTTGACCAATTCGAGGATTGTTATATTCTACTCGATGTATTAGACGAGTGCCCCCTAGGCTGCGACAGAGAAGGTGTCCTAAACGTGGTATAGGCGATTCGAGATTGGAGTTTACCCGGTGTTCATCTCTTGGTAATAAGTCGTGACCAGCTCGATATCCGACGATCTTTGAACGCTTCTTATGACTGTGACATTTCGATGAAGAATTCGGGAATCGACTAGGATATCTCGGATTTCGTCTTTTATGAGCTCGATAAAGACAAAAATCTCTAGAGGTGGAAAGCGCGCTTCAGCGAGATCTAAAAGGAACTAATCCAGTCGGCATAGGGAGTGTAAGTATTCCGCTACAACAAATTAGATTTTAAAATTCTAATACTTTAGTAATGTAATATAGATTCCGATATGTGGAATGTCAGCTAAACGCATTTCGAAGGGCCCGGAACCGAAACCAACTTGACGAATGTCTACACTCTTTGCCTCGGGATCTAGATGGAACTTATGAGCGAATACTCTGCAATATCGACGAAATCTATATTGAGGATGTGCGACGTATATTGACGGTGCTCTGTCTCTCTATCCGACCACTGACAATCGATGAACTGATCCACGCTTATACGGTTGAGCTTGGTGAATCACCGTATCTTGATAGCGAAGGCCGATCTTACGAGTAAGATGATCTTATTGATATCTGTCTTGGGATTGTAGAGATTGCGGTAGCCGAGAATCGAAGAGGGCAGACTATATCGACCGCTCGTATTGCGCATTTCTCTGTCCAAGAGTATCTTCAATCAGACCGCATACGATAGCAGAAGGCAGAAAGATTCGCGATTTAGAAGGAGCCGGTAAGCACTGAAATGGCCCAAATTTGTCTTGCATATCTCCTATCCCCAACGCTATTAAGTGGAACCTTGACCAGAGTAAAGCTCTGAGGGTTCCCTCTTGCTCACTTCGCTGCCATACATCGGTACCACTACTACGAAAGGTCTGGCACAGGGAAGGCAAAAGCTGAAAAACTGTTGTTGAGGATCTTCTAGGATGTGGCGCATTCCTTCTTGACCTGGGTTAAGTTGCATGACATCGACCGCCGATGGAATACAGGAATATGGTTTGAACGTGGAGTGGATGATATACCTTCTCCTATATATTACGCAGCCTTGTTGGGGTTAGAATCCACCCTGAAAAGCATCTTAGCGGTTTGTGAGAGGGATATGAATCCATTAGATACAGTCAATCGCCAATGTGGGGTGTATAGCAATGCACTTCAAGCCGCATCAGTCAGAGGCCATAAAGAGGTGGTCCAGGTGCTTTTGGATCGAGGTGCCGATGTCAATGCGCAAGGTGGATTCTATGGCAATGTGCTCCAAGCCGCATCATATCAAGGCCATAGAGAGGTGGTGAAGATGCTGCTAGATTAAGGTGCTGATGTCAACACCCAGGGAGGGGAGCACTGCAGTGCACTTCAAGCCGCATCAGCTACTGGCCGAAACGAAGTAGTGCAGATGCTGCTAGGTCGAGGTGCCCGCCTTGACGCTGAGTGAGGTTGGAGAGCTGAGTTCCGGTAATGTACAGATAAAAATTCAAATGTCTAGTGAAACCGACTCGTCTGCTACTGTATCACTCCAGCTATGCTGTCCCTAGATAGAGCTGGGATTTTATTAATGGTCGTAATATGGTTATTCAGCCAAAGCTGTAACATAATGCAGGCATCTTCAAAATCTGTTGCTTTAATGAAATGCTAACACATATGAAAAATGCTAAAGGGAAGTTCGATAGAATGGTAATTAGCAAAGAAGATAGTAAATAACTACATGTTAACACGGCCGATGTATCTTGAAGCTGCGTGCAAGAAATACGTCCAGGAGAAATTTTGAAGAAGTACTTTATACACTCATATTCTGTGGCTGATATCGCAAACTGCAAAATGGCAAGAATCAGATTGTTCAACTGATTTGCATTCAGAATTCCAAATCCCTGCGCCTTCAAGTTACCCAAAGGTGATTGAGTGTAACTTTACGTTGCAGTACGGTATAGGTCACGTTCTGGGATTATCATTGCTCCGTCACTATTCTGGATACAGGTTAGTGGTCTTGGCAACAGGGTTTAGGAACGAACCGAAGAGTGGAAGTGGTGACACCGGTTTCCGGAAATACTGTAACAGCCTCTTAATGTATGTGGCAAGACTTCTTGACTAGGATGGCCATGATGTCTTCAATTCGGGGTTTGCGTTGGAGTAGAACACTATGTCATCTGGGTTAGCTTGACTGATTTTCGTCCACCAGTAGAGACGCTTGCAACCACTGTACATAACGTGATTACACGCGTGGGCCTAGATCGCAGAAAGGCATTCATTATTATAACGATATAGTTGATGAAGAACTCATGGAATGGTGGATTGGGACACAAGATGGTTGGCCTGCTAATACAAAGATCAAATGGGACTCGAAGCATCAGTCAGAGTCTTAGAATGAATTTGATCAGGTCGCACATAGCTCCGATGGTGCACCTAAGGTGATGTGCAAACGATGTAGAGCAATCTTAGAGCATCCTCAATCCCTATTATCAGAAACAACAGCACGCCAAGGGACCTCTACAATGGGAAAGCATCTCAAAGGTGCTAGCTGTACCAAGGCAGATAGACACGTACCCAGAAGTCGGGTATTACTCAGTTAATAAAGACTGCCGTGAGTCTATATCCTTTAATATTTATACTATACAAATATCTTTTCTTATAAGAACCGGGATGCTCTCGCACAGAAGACGTTTAACCAGGAAGTCTAGGAGGACCAGGTACTCGAATTCCTTACGGTCGCCCCCTCCCATTCCGGTTGATTGAGCACCCTTAATTCCATGAATTGGTCGCACTTACACACGTAGCGAATTCCCTCCCTAGAATTCCATCTGCGAAAACAATCAGAGACCGCCTTCAAAGCACAGCAAAAGAGCGCCAACAGAGTATCCTTTGGAGGCTACCTTCTAGTGCAAAACTATCTGTCGCACTTGATTACTGGACCTCGCCTTTCGCCCAGGCTTTCAAGGCAATTACTAGCTATTTAATCGACGAAGACAGGCAGTACCGTGAGATCCTTCTTGGATTCGAACCTCTCACGGAACGCACTGTTGTACAAACCTTAGTATCGTGCTTACGGATGTTCTTAAGAAGCATAATATCAAAGGCGGGGTGCTTGCAATCACAACCAAACATTGATCAAAAGTCTCCAGCAAGCAATGACAGATGGTACCACTATTGTCCGAGTTCCACGTATTGCCCATGTTCTCCAGCTAAGTCTAAATGAGTTGTTTGGACATATGAAGGCTAGCCCGGTGAACGAGTCATCTGAGACTCAGTGAACCGAGGCAGCGGCCTCAGTCCGCGCGCAAAAATGTGAGGCAACAAAAGGGCGAGATTATCAATACTCTAAGTAAGGTCGATTATATCTAAAATCCTAGTATTATTACCGTTTCTTATACTTTTACTAACTGTTTTCATAGGTTCGAAACCTCACTATTTACATAAATGCTAGCACTCAGGGACGGGATGCATTTTACGACCTTCAGACCTAATAAGCTAAACTTGCGCCATTAAAAGAGGTGAATACGCGATGGAATTCTATCTTTCTTATGCTCCGACGTGCAAAACGGCTCCGCGCTTTTCTTACACCGTTCTATGATGAGTATGAGCGATCGGATCTCATATTAGACGACGAAGAATGGCTACAGATCGAGTATCTTCTTTAGATTACCCAGCCATTCTTTGAATTCATCATCGAATTATCAAAGACAAAGGATGTCACTACCTGTCATGTTTTCAAGATCTATAACAAGATCTTTGAGCACCTTGAACAATCCATTGCCCAACTCCGACGTAAAAGCATTGCCTGGAAAACAAATATTCTACAAGCCCTCGAGGCCGCACAGCAGAAACTACAGCAGTACTACGCCGAAATGGATAATACCAGAGGTGATCTTTATGCAATTGGGATTATACTTGCTCCTGGGAACAAGTTTCGGTTCTTTCAAACTGATAAATGGGAAGAACAGTGGGCTCGGAGGTATCGAAGTAGCTTTGACGGCTACCTTACGTAAGGCGCGTCTAATAAACACACAAACGGCTATGCCATCACAGTCTTCAGCTAAATCGGGGTCTCCCCTCGATATGATACTTGGGAGTAAGCAGTCTTATAATACATCGCGTGATGAGCTTACGCAATATCTTGATAGTGGTGAGTACAAAGCTCGATTAATGATATCATGGAGACAGTACTAATATATTATAAATACTATTGATATATCCACCCTTTTGTTCTGGAAAGATAGCCAGCATCGATTCCCAGCTCTTGTAAGCGTCGCCCGGGATGGTCTCTAAATCCCAGCAACTGGCGCGGTGTTGAAAGTCTATTTAACTCTGCCCGTGATGTCTGTTACTGCTGTCGAAGTAGGCTTAATGCCAACACCATCTAGGACTTTATGATGTATCTATATATGTCGAGGTTTGATTTCGGAGAAGAACAGTTTACGTTCCAGAGACCCACTCGATTCTCTTCTATCTAAGTGTAATGGAAGTATACCAGGCCATTTTTCTGTATATCTATTTTTCACGTGTATCATGGCCAACGGGATCACCCAAATCAGCTTTATGTGCTCGCATAAGCTGGGGACAACCACGAATAGCTCGTCGCTTTCGGGAATACTTGGCATTTTGAAGCTCAGTCATTTTCTCAATTCAACTCTACCAAGGCCCGCACCCGAAGTGCATCCCTAGCTCTACACTTTAATACTGGAGACAAGAAGCAATTAGGTCGGAACGTGTGGTATTTACAAATAATCGAAATCCACAAATTACTATTAATTTGTTCGGCGAGTGAAGAAACGATGGTGTTTTGTCCCGGGCTACTGCAGAGACCCACCCGCCCTTGGATCTACACCCTGGCATTCCTTAAGAGGCTGGGCTTTTCGTACGCAATTGCCAAACAGCCAGAGCAAGCACTATACCCTCATGCACATGGCTCAGATAACCATTTATAGTTGACTACCAGATGAATTAGTTTAACCGGATACCCCCGCCATTTCTTTAGCCATACGCCAAATCAAACATCTAGAGCTCGTTACCAAGTGCCAAATTTCGAACATTGGCAGCTAGCACAGGCTGCTCTACCTATAAACAGTTAAGTTCGACGGTACCCGAACGCCTATTAAACTCAACTATACGGCGAATCTTTAGGCGATTTGGCCTCTTAAAATATCTAATGAAAAAAAAGATACTAATTAGAAGGGCCTTTACTAAGAAACGTCTTCGATATACTAAAAAATGGTAGCGCGAAAGCTTTCAAACGTGGATCTTTTCAGACGAGTGTTCGGTGTACGGAACCTCGAATGTTAGACTATAATAGTACTTCCGTTTTTAGCCGGAGGGCTTCCGCCGTGATCTAATGAATATCAAGGCCTACGTGAAAGATATTTCGTAAACGGTTTGGGGTAGAATCTAGGTTAGAGGTCGTATACCGTTAGTGATTATAGAGCGGGATAAAGATTCACCTTCCGGGAGAGGTTATACTATAAAGTCATATATATTAGCCCTCGAAAAAAGTCTAGTGACTTTCAATACCCCCTATACTATCTTTTAGCAAGATAACGTAAGAATTCATATAGCAAAGGAGATATAGGAGTGGTTCGAAACGTACGGGATTCACGTCGAGGATTGACCTCCACACTCACCTGATTTAAACCCAATTAAACCGGTATAGCGGTGGTTAAAATTGATGCTTTTTAGGCTCTTTCTAGAGCTTATTGAAATGGGAAGAAGCCTATCTGATTGGCAGTATTTCAAAGAGTGCCTAGTCAAGGCCTCGGATGCGATTCCGCAGGTGAAGATTGATAGATTGATATTAAGCATGGGAATATACATAATATTAAGCGAAAAATCAATTGTGCGGTTATTAATTAGTAATATATATTTTACTGAACTTAATTATCGTATTATATGGTTGTGCAGAGCTGTACAAAGTAGATATATATATTTGATGGGGGTAGCCGAAAAATGTTGTGGGAAGATACTTTTGACTAGTGTCTGTAGTTCAAAGGAGATACCTAGCAGGCAGATTGTATACATATTGCACTCCCTTGTGGGAGGTTTTTAATTGTACTACTCGTGGTCCATTTAATGCCTTGAATATAATTTCACCATCTGAATGCTCCATTATTTTCAATGGTAGTCGCAGGTTCCCTATTCACAGCCGTGTCAGTGAACATATAAAATACCGAGGGAATCCTGGTACGTCTCCACATGGAGCGATGATCTGAACAGCAGGCCACCTTGGGTCTTTGCGTATGTTGTTCTCGTTAAACAAAATTGTCACCTTCTATCCGTCAACGATAGAAATTTTCAGAGAAGGCAGTCCTTTGTTCATCGACCCCTGACTAAGATGCGGCACAGGATTCCTAGAAAAGCCCAAATTGAGGATTCAAACAAAAGCTACATAGTAGAGGCTCCCTGTCAATCAAAATGCATGGCCAGCCACCAATGATCACGACTTGAGACCTGAAGAAAGAACGTATTGCAAATGTTTGCGCGACTGGATCACTTTTTGTCGGCCTAGACACAAACTCACTCGATTACCACAACTTGACTCTACTCAACAAAAGGTTCAGACAAATCGTGAATCCGTGGCTTTTCCAAGCTGTTAATATCAAGAACTGTTCCTGTCACTGGCAAGGAGAACCCCCCATCGCTGTATTTTGCTATGCTCGCTCAATCAACTATATGGCGCCTTGGTGTAGCACAGTTCGTATGTTTTCATCAAAAGCTAGCAGCCTTTCTGTTTGGAAATGCTGACATTGCGGAATAGGAAGAGGAAACCTATGGATGGATGCCAACACTAAACAACCCTCTTCGGATATCACGCCACCACCATCATTTGTGTAAGAGGTAGATTATCTTACTAGAATCTTGCTTCACTGCCTGAAGCTTACCTCTCTCAAACTAAGCTGAGAGCCCTGCCAACATCAATCTTCATATATCAGGGTATCCCCCTCATGAGAATCACTACAACGGCACCTGTAGGTACTCATTACCGCTGTGAATAATGGGTTCAAAAAGACGGAAGCCTTGTAGAGACTCACTTTGGATATCTTACAGTCCCACGACACTATCAACGAGCTTGATATGACCAAGAGCCATTTGATGGTAGTATCAGAGATAAAGGATCTCACGATTTGTGAGAAATTTGGGTTTTGGGAGCCGGTCCTGTCTTATCCTTGCAGCCGGTTTGCGGTCTATCAAACTAAGTGACTGTGCAGTCTGGCACCATAACCTGAAGTATGTTGCCAAGCGTGTAAGCGACCGGCTGATTTCCATTCATCTTGAGAAAGTCTTTCTCCGTCTATTCAGGGAACTAGGATATATCACGCAAATAGGATCACCAATTGAAATGGTGAAGTGGTTGGATTGCATTGTTCATTTATAAACTACTTATATCAACAATCAACAGTTTCCGCTAACAGTCCAGATGGAACCACAGACCATCATGGTAAATTGCCAACGTTTGCGCTTGTTGGCAACGTTGTCACTAAGGGTCACGGACGCGTAGTTCGCATATAGGATACTTAGCTGTCATGATTTTTATAGAAGGGACGGGCGGGAACAAAGCTTTTGCTGCTTTTGCGACTGGCGATTGCGGTTTCTATCCGATGGATTCATAGCTCGCTTTTGAAACATATTAGTTAACTAGTTAACAGAATACATAGTAAATGCGATAAATCACAGCTTAATGTCTCAACAACGGTGGTTTTATGGAATTTTTCTTTCTAGCCTAATGGATCGTACATAATATTTAGTTACTTTAGGGAGTTTTGAGAACTATAATGATTTAAGGACTACGCAAAATGATACTACTGGTCGTTAAACTTGCGTGTTGCTTCACGAGGAGTACCGGGACTTTACCGACGTCAAGACAGCCTGAGAGTTTATTATGATTCAAGTTATCATAGGCCCTATGAAAAATGATATAATATTATATCATTTATCTTATTTAAAATATTTATATTAACACCACCCGCTTCTAGCTCGGCCCTCCACCACACTTACACTTATACAGGCTCTTCCCATTCCTTTCGCCCCGTATACGATATGTCTCTGTCCGTTCCTCCAGTCACTTTAAGACCATTGTTGCTTCCTGGACTCCAGGCACAACTGAAGTACCAACCTAGGTTCTATTGGGGGAATCCGGCCGTTCATTATGACCCGGTTTTTAACGCTCACTTAGATGTGATGACCTCAGTCTGTGTGCGAACAGTTAAGATCCACTCTACGGCTAGACGTTATGCAACCCAGGATGAAACGGAATACTATGGGATTCGAAAATACTCAGCGCAAGTCATGGGGGAATCACCGCATTCAATTGAGAAGTTGATGAAGAAATGCCATGCTTGGAATTTGGATCAACGTCAGATGCAGCATCTGCTTATGCCGATCCAAGGATTTCTTCATGTGGATAACAGATCCTTCTATACCGTATCTGAACACGCATCTATGACTCTGGCGAAAGTACTCCTGGTGGTCAAGCAGTGGCCAGGCATGTTCTGCCACGATGAGATCTGGGCTATTGTCAAGCAGGTACTCTTGAAGGCATTATTCTCTAAAGCGTACATGACTGACTTGGAACAGGTCCTGGCCGGAACAGGTTTCTTGATATCGCAAGGATTGCAACATACCATGCTAAATCTACAAAACATTCTAGTCACAAATCATGGTGTTGTGAAAATTGGTAGGCTTCCTGGCCTAGATTTGACTTGTTCCCTACTCATGTTGACCCAGGGGCGATTCATCATGTCGAGGACGAGACTCCCGACGGCTGGGTCAGAACAAGGGAAGCGCTAGTACAGCTTGCTGTGAGCTTAATTGAAGAGTCCAGGGACCCTTGCGCCCGCTGCACTGGATGCCGCGATGGCCCATCGATGCTTGAACGTGTTGGTTCTCTTAGGGAAACATTGGATATCACCCGCTGTCTCACCGAGGAATCCACTGGTTCTGGAAACAGCATCTTGGGAGAAGCCATATTGGAGGCCCTGCGTGTACGTGCCAGAGCGATAAGGGCTGTAAAACGGTTCTAACGCAAGACTAGTTGACATTTATTACCCAGGCAAAAGGCCGACGTTTAGGGCTTATCGCTGAATTCGCTTCCCAAAAAGCCTGGAATGAGCTTATGCCTGTTCTAAGGTCTGATGGCAGCCATGGAAATATGACCACGTTTCTGCCTAGACGCAGCGAGAGGCAGAGGCCGGAAAAACGACACAGGCTGACCAAACAGCACAAGGATGCGCGGCTTAGAAGATTATATGGCGGAGGAGACAGGTGGTTTCTGCCTAGACACAGCGAGAGGCAGAGGCCGGAAAAACGACACAGGCTGACCAAACAGCACAAGGATGCGCGGCTTAGGAGATTATATGGCGGAGGAGACAAGTGGTTTCTTTACAACCATGCGAAGCAAACGCAGGTCAGGCGGAGAGAGAATATGGGTCATGAACCCTCACCAACCCGACCATAATTCAACTTTGGTTGTCGAGCGAGGAATCAAGTGATTTCTGATGCAGAGCAAGCGCCGACAACGGTAAAAACTGACATGGTATCTGGGTCAACTGATTAAGCCAGATAGCCATCGGCTCATCTCGTGCAATCAATCCCATGGCTGTTTCGTTCGCCGCTGAGTTGGCAGTCCTCATGAAAACAAGACCTCATTTTTGGATCCCCTTTTTTTACGCCTACTGGCAAGACTTGGCACGGCCCTGCGCAAATTACAGCTTGGTACAGTAATAATATGCCAGTGAATTATTACACAAGTCTAGTGCTTCAAATTTTGGTGTTGACCGAGGTCACCAATATGGCTTTCCTTTGTTTGCCTCCACGGTACTCGCGTAAGCGATAATATTTGATCCCATCACTATTAGGTAGTTAGAGGTGATTCGGAGACTTGTGCACCAGAACATGCTTAGTTACTAGCAGAAAGTATGTATACTAGTTCCTGGCAGAAGGCATGGGAACATGTACACAAGCAGTCATGCATGCTGGATTTTGAGTACCTTGATTGGGCCACTAGGGAACCAACAATATCAGCGGAAAAGGGGTAAACATACTTTGATTGGACAAGACCAGTAGTGCGTACTTCACTTATTTACACAAGGACAATGAATGGGCTGATATATGTATCATAATTTGTTCCAAAGTTTGTACACAGCGCTATAACAACCACAATTGATCTTGAAAGTCCCTTTTGCCATCTTGGCCTGGTCTGGGGGTTGCTCGTGGGCCGCTTTCTCCAGTCACAAAAAGTATAGGGTGCTGTTCTCCTTCTCTTGGGGTCACTGTCAGAAACCTCATGGTCTTCCCTGTTGTCGGTTGTCGGCTAGAGAGCTTCAGCCTTGTATCCTACTGGAGCAAAAGTTGAGGATTGATATAGCCGACGCATATTGGCTGGCTATGCAGCTCAGACCAATGCTCGTCCGAGGAATTGTTGTGGAAACTAGCACTTGCTAGGTCGCCATATTGGTACGGCGTATTGTCAAGATGGCAGGGGCTGGAGAATATCTCTGGCGGCACCGGCGAGCTATCCATAATTCCCCAGTCAGGTATTGCAGGCCACTGTAAGCCGACGGGGTGGCCAAATTGTCGTTCTGGCTGTTCAATGACTAGTGAAGCAGCTTCCGGGGAAGGTCTTTTGTCATTCTGGCTGTTGACAGACTCGCCGCGCATTTCTGTATCTGGGCTGGTGGGAGATGATGATACCCGCTTAATACGCGACTGGAGCCTCTTAAAGGTGGACTGGTTGAACCTGGATTGCAGCGTGGAGTGGTGATGGCGCTCGATGCTTGCTAGCTCTTCAAAATTGCATCGAACAGCCCTTTCTTCACTCCGCCATTTCAGCCCAATGGCCTTGGAGATAGCTTGTCCATCGCTGCGGTGATCCTTCTGTCGCAAATACTCCTTGAAAAGCCCATAGTAGGCAAATCGGTAGAGTAAGAACGCATTCATTGGTCGCGTAATCTTTTCCTTTTTCTTGGCTTCTTCCATACGATCTGCGGACGATCGATGTACCCAGGTGCGTATGTCTTTTACAGGAATGTCCACCTCATCGTTCAGGAGGTCACTTAGTGGTCGATAAAGAATATCTTCGACGATTGGAATAGGTAGGTCTTTCAGCGGTTCAAGTTTCCGCACCATTTTACGGCGTGCCATCGAGAACCCGTCTATGCTTTTTGGCTAGCGAGCAAAGTGGAAGAAGGACGTTGAGGTATTCAATATAGGGGTTGGGGTTGTTACAAGCATCAAGCTGATGTCTTTTTGTCAGAAGACGATGATTAACTCGTACGACTATTATCAGACTTGGTTCTGCAAAAATAGTTTCGCCAATAAATGGAGCAGATGGGATGGTTCGATTTATTTAGTATTTGAATAGCCTTTGGAGATTAGTCACGCGGAGGCTGGTCTGCTTGCCAAATATGTCACAATCGTCGTTTCGACAATGGTTAGGTGGAATTTCTCGGTTATCCGTGATACAACCAATAAGTATTTGTGTCAAGCTAGCTGGTAATACCACACAATTTATACAAAGCTTCACAAAATCATCGCGTCAAGCTACACAATGTCTTCAAGGTTAGTTCGAGCTCTACGCTTCCTATCAAGTATCGGCCTTCATCCACGCATCGTAGTTCTCAATATTCATGCCTCCCCACCTACAGTCTCAATGTATATGAATCTGGCAACCTCGGTTGCATGATGCACATAGCCATTCGAAAGATGCTTCTCCCCAAGTGAAACATGCCCGCATCCAAGTATCGCTGTTGGTGATGTGTGGTTTGTGAAATTCTACAAAGTTAAACTGTAGGTGCCGCATTTTGCGTAGCCTCTATTCAAGCCAATGAACCTTTTTACACTTGAAAGTTAGATAAGGTGCTCCCACGCATCGACACTCAGAGTCCGCTATGATTTTCGTTCGCCAAAATTGCTTGTCTATTGAAGTTATCCCGTGTGTTTTATCTTCTGCAAACATCGTGCCGAAGTCCCTGGAGCATCTGAGCAATAAAAGACCCGTTTGACTTCGTCGGCGGGGGAACATGGGCTGGCGGCTCATTGAATTGAGTGCCCACAGCTCGGACAGAGCGTACCGTGAGCCGCGGCTCGACTGAGACCCTATCAGCCTCGTTTGGTAGAGGCTACCCGGACTTGAGACAGAGCATATGGAGCCAGTGACATTCCCTGGGGCTTCAGTAGCATAGGCCATGGTGGGCATGACGCTTACGCTGAATAGCAAGACATATTAACACCACGCAAGCTGCTCCAACAGTAGGGCTCGTGATACCAACAGCGACAGGCATAATCCAGCCATTCTCCTGAGACATGGAAGCTTTGTAGTGTTCGGTTGTAGGAGCTTTTCCGATGTGGCTTATGGTTACCAAGTAGTGAGCGTCTTCGTGTAAGGCACACTAAACAGTGACTTGAGTTGGGTTTCTCCCCGAGATTCGGATGCTTTTCAACTGGCCTTTCCTTTTGCTCTACTTCTTGTTACCGATGGGGCTCGCAGGCTCATCAAAAAGAGCAATGACCCGCATTCCTCCATTCTGCTGGGTCACCACTCTTGGTATAAGATATTCCTCTACAGCTTCCGGAGAGTATGCCTTCTGAAAGTTTAAGTTATTAAGACTGAATTTTTGTAGGATTCAACTATCGAGACGGAGGGATGGGTCCTTGTATAGACTCCCTACCACGAACATATAGCTCGGTCGGACACCGAAGCATTGATTTCTGCTGCGACCATGGCGAAAGCTCCCGTTGTGGGCTTTGATCAATCAATCAATCAAAGTTCAATTAACCTGTTGCAGTCTAACTAGTTGCGTATGACTATGCAGGCGCTTCGACCAGCTGAAGCAAGAACTCGAAGCCAAACGCCGAGTGGGATCTCCACCCTCCCCTGCCTCAGTTTCAATTGATGGTGACATTGTCCTGGCCAGTTGATTGGCATGTTTGTCGACTCTGGCTGAGTTCTCGTTTCACAGAATCATCTGTCGTCATTGGCTAATACCCATCGTCTTCCACACCTAGATCCATTGCCGCGAGGCCTGTCGGTTCGTCGTCGTCGTCCCCGGGTGTCACATATTGGAACTGTTGGAGGAGACCTGTTCGGTGCATGAAGTTGACCACGTAGCGGGTGGCCTGCGGGTTCGACACGATCTTTTCGTAATCAATCTCGTTGATCCCAATGTCCCACAATTGCTCCCACAATTTTGTACGCAGGATCACGTATTGCGGGCACTGCATAAGAACATGCTTCGGTGTTTGAGAGCCCTCGTCACAACTACACCGGTCAGTCTCGGCTGCTTTGATCTTGAATAAGAAATGTCGAAGTCCGATGCGCATTGTACGCATCTGGATTAAGATCGCACATTGTGGCTTCGGCTTTTCGTAGTGTCACTGTGACGGAGGTTTGAAAGTGCTGGGGGTTATGTCCAATTCGGACACATGTGTCGAAGATAGCAGTGAGAAGTGGAACAAATCTCTTCTCTGATCGTGAACCTGGTTCCGCCAGTGCTCGCCATACCTTGTTTGGCAGTGCGTCGTACCTCGGCGCTTTGTTCGGTGGCGCCTTCTTGATTGCAGCTCTCACTTCGGTGTCGTTTACCGGTGGTAGCTGGAACTGCTCTCGATGACTAGAATGGCGTTGTTGTGATTGTCGTCTTTGGCTGGCATATATGTCGGAGAGATCTGCTTCCGGTGGCTGTGGAAAAAATACCTTACGGTGTAGGTTGACTTTCTCTACGTCGTTCTCTGCAGAGGTCCCCTCTGTGGTTCTTAATGCGGCATTGTACTCCCTTGCTGCTGGCCCCGGTTCCTGGCCCATTTAGCCACTCTCCACAGCCCTTGGGGGCCTTGGTCCACGGCTTCTTCAATGAAGCTCCTGAAGCCACGTCGGAGAGCGGCTTTGATGGCCCTCCCCTTCTGATTTCTGGCCAGTTTGTATGTATCCCAGTCCTCTTCACCATGTGTAGTAAGGTACTGGCGGAACATGCGGCGGGAGTGTTTGACAGCCTCCCCGCACTCCTTGGTCCAGGACGGATTCGCCCGCGGGCATGGTTTGGCCTATGATGTTGATTCCTGCACACCTCGTTGCACGATATCGATTAGATGGTTCACTGCGTCGTCGATTTGTCGGGTGGTTGTCAATGGCGGTGGCATTGGGAGGTTGTCGGCCACAAAGACGTCGAACTTCTCGGTATCCATGGCCTTCCAAAGCCGCCTCTTCACCTCGACAGTCGGTTCGGTGTCAATGTCGAGTAGTACACGGATCGGCAGATGATCGGAGTCAGCATGGCAGTCTAGGGCTAGTTCGCCTACCACCAATCTCTCAGTGAGAGCTGGTGTACCGAAGAACAGATCGATTGTCGTTTGTTCCCCATTTTGGTCTCTTGTGATCGTACTAGGTTCTAACCACAGGTCTAGATCTGCTTCGTCACAGAGCTCAATGAGCCTGTCAGCACCTATATCCTGCGTGGCTTCAATACCCCAGGCGGGGTGGTGAAGGTTGAAATCCCCAGCAATCATAGTATGTCTTCTGTTGCCATCTAACAATTTACGAAGGTGTTCCACTGTGCTAGTAGTTCCACCCTCGTTGTATATGTCAAAGAAGCTGATCTCGCCTATACCGGTTTGAACCCTCACTTCCTGGCAGAATTCACTATATGCATAGTGTGTCCATCCGGTCATGTTCTTGGAGATATATATACACACCCGTGCTCTACTTCCCGTCTCTGAACTAGACGGAAAGAGAAGCTCATGTGTCTGCTTCAATGGATGGTATGTCGTATCATTATATGGGTTCTCCCATGGTTCTTGCACTGCAATGATATCCACCTTCACAACCTGCTTGTGGGCTTTGATTCACATAAATGACGGCAAGTAGTGGACGTATACATCGTTATAAGGGGCAGCAGTAGAATCCCATCCGTTATAGCCGTCGTAAATGTAAATATTGTGAGAACTGCCATTCGATGCAGAAGGGAGAGTGGAACAGGAGACACGACCGCTCGAGGGAGGATCGCCCGTGGTATTTTTAGCCGTTGGTTGAAACAACACTTGACCTTTTGCTCATCTCCGAGAAGCCGACTGCATACATACCATGTATTGTGCGCAACATCGTAAATTAGAATGACGGTCATGAAGTCCGGATCAGTCGGGGACTGCGCTGGGTTGACCAATGTCCTCCTCGGGTCAAATGAACCGGGTGGTTTCGCCTTACATTCCGCTCTTGCTGCGTGGAGGATAGATAGAAGGTATAAATATCGAGTAAAACAAGATCGGGTCTCTATTGATAGACCCACTGGACATATCGATAAAATTAGTGAACGTATCGACGATCTCACTGAACAATTTCGCGGTCTCTTCATATAACGGAGGTATTATAGCCAAGTACAAGAACACCTTCACGCGTTTATAAAGACCAGAAGCTAAAAACTGCTCCATCTATAAGATGGGGAAGACGTTGCTTATCAGATTCAATCCTTGGTGGATATCATGATAATAGCATGGGCTATGTCTCTTCTTGAGTCCAATGAGCAGAAAAGACCAAAGATGTTGGTGATAGATCCGGTAACATTCGCTAGCTCCCAAAAAAAGACGGAGTTGACCCTATCGCCCGAAACGAAAAGAGAGCTAGTATCTCTCCATTGGCATGGAGCCTAAACAAGCAATGGAATTATTCTGTGTCACTTTTTCCTTTATCGAGTGCTTTTTCACCACAAAAGCACATGCGTACGCAATATTGCCGCATAATACGAACAAAAATGTTCAACTGACAAATGCCCACAAAATAGAGAGTCCAATTTATTCTCATGTCAGAAGCATGCCTTACAGCTGACCGGGAAACGACGGTTGCATTTTAAATGCTATCGAAACGATTGCTAGAGGTTCATCATGGATACTGGCTCTCGCGCCACGGGCTATCCTCAATGAGTCAATTTTATTTCAATTCCAGTACTTCGTGAACTATTCATCATCGCCCCTAGGTCCAAGTTTCATTGCTTCTGGAACCTTTGCATTCGTCGACAATGGGCTCGCGTTTAGTCTCTTGGCACCCATATCTCCGCCGCCTCCGTTATAATCGCCTGATCATCTGATTGTTTGATTCCAACATCTCTGTCTCAATACCTTCTAATGGCGCGGTACGCAAAGTGAGGCTTGTTGGTTACCTGATGCTCGAACATGGGTGAGATGGGTGATATCATCGGCCGGAGTTGCGCTTCTTTTCCTATTACCGTCAAATTACATCGCGTAACCCGCATGCCAGATGGGTTACTTACTGGGGAAATTTGAAAGGAGGGAGAAGTTGCGGGGGGCAACGTGAGTCTCAGTGCCTGATTGACTGGTGGAGGGGCTGAGAGTCGTACTTCCTGCGCTTGATTGATTACCATTGCGACATATGACACCGGACTCTCCCCACAGAAGACCGAGGCTCCTTTGTAAATCTTTTACGCTCCCTTGCAGGACCGTAGAGTTCTGCTCCCACTTTTCAGCACTCAGCTTGAGCTGCATATTCTCGGCCTTAAGCTGCTGAACTTGCTGCTCTAAACCTTGCCTGGTCTTCTGTTCCTTCTCAAGCTCTCTGCTTTGTGCTTCAAGCCTGCCCCGATTTTCCTCAATTTCCCTGCTTTGTTTGGCAATTTTCTTCTGTTCTTGCTGTATTTTATCATTTTGATTCCTTCGAAACTTTCTTTGTGCTTTTCTTTGTGCTTCCCTCTGTGCCTCCTTCTGTGCTAGCAGCGACTTTGGTAATTTTTGAGTGTCCTAGAGTCCCGTCAGCACGCCCACGATATTGGGTTCTATGTTGGCTAACATTCTGGACATCTTCATGTGATGTTTTGGGAATTGGACAGAAATCCGTGTCATTGTTTGCCTGTTCTTCGTGCACGAGGTAGTCCATTGATAATTGATAGTTGATTGGGGCCTGGACTTAGGAGTTTTGTTTGGGGTTGAAGAGAAATCAGTAAATAGAAAGATATGAAAGATCATTTGCAGAAGCATTCCATGCAATATGTGCATGGATTAGATGACGCTTACGTATGCTTTGTCATATGCTCATACCCGTTAACTTAACGTGAAGTACTAGTTACGTGACAATCACGTAATGGCCATTGACCGATTGGTCTATTAAAAAAAGATGGTTGCTTCAGTATTGAACAATAAAATAACAGAAAGACAATTTAAGCAGGCTGTCCCCGGCATTCCCATGCACAGCTCAGTGGAGGAAAAAACTCAGAAAACCCTTCTTTCAGGGCTTTGGTGTGGGCTAAGTCTCGGAATCCGACTTGGGCATATCAAATAATCCTACTTTACCATACTGGAGTAGAGACTCCGCCGAAATCACTCGGCCTTACATGGAGGGTGGTTGGTTTAGAAATATTCGGCTACCATCTTAAGGAATTCATACATATGTAAAAGCCGGAGATGTAGAAAGGTCATGTTTATACAGTTTCCCAATCACACAGGCATCGAAAGTGAACAGTGTGGAATCAAATTGACGTTATATCGCCGGAACCAATCCTATGATGATATGAATCATGCAATGGATCAAAGCCAATCGGTCCACCAAGACCACCTCAGTCACACTTACCAAGGCTGTTGATTGGAGGTTTTCATAGCAAAGTGTTGATGTGCAAATCCAGGATTGATGCAGAACTCTCACTTCTTAAAACTATAAAGTAGTATATACGCAATGGATATCCCACAGATCTCTCACCTTCACATTCTTCTTCCATGCCCGTCGTGGCCCCTTTGCAACTGGTTGTGATAAATCTTCTCTTACCGAAACGGACGTTTAGCTACAATTCATTGGCTTTAAGATTGAACAGCACTTGCGCTGCGAGAGAAACGGCTGCCTTCTACTCTACATTCACACACAATCGCCCGTTCATGGCCCTTGAGACATAGGTGGCGGTTGTATCATCTCGCCGAGCGCCGAGCGCAGCATGTAAATGCCCGGCTAGCTTCTAAGGAGCAAGCACGAACGGCTTGGTAATCGGCTCGGTCATTGGTCGTTTTATAGTACTGGTTTTGACAGGTTGTAGCGCCTGCAGTGCAGAGTATTGTATGACAATTTGAATCACTTGGCCTCCAAGACAGTGTAGCATTCTCTTCTGGAATGTTAGCGGTATTGTTGATTAGTAAAAAGTCCACAGAACATTGGTCAGTGCAGGTATACCGAGCCTGTACTTTGATTTCTCCTTCCGCATGCTGCCACTAGATAAAGATAGACGAGGTGACCAGTATGGGGCATGTATTTGGTGAAGTGGCGGGTTGCCAGCGGTGCCTTCTCACCTTTTTCGTAGCAAGTGTTACAAGCTGCGGGCCACCGCTTATGTTAATGAAAAATATACGTCAGCGCATAGGAGTGGTTACTTACCACTAGCAAACGATTGGTTACACCAGAACTGAATTTTCTTTGGATGCTTTATGGTAAATCAAGTCAGATCGGCAATCCCGCTGTTGTAACCACCGAGTAGAGGCACATTTGAGGGGTATTTAAACCTGCCCTGGATCTCATATCAGATCAAAGGCGTTTGGAGAGAGTGAAGGCAGGAAGGTGGGAGAAAGGTTTGAAGAGTACCGGAAGGTTAGATGTTAAATGTTAGTGAACGCTGGCGACATTATTTTTCTATTATTTGTCTGCTTTTTTCGTTTGATTCTGTCATTTTAATAATCATTTTGTTATTGTTTTCTGAAAGCAAACTAGACCGGGAGATAGTTATCTACGGTTTTCACATTTTTCTACAAGTGAGACCTTGTGGTAAGACCTTTAAGAACTTTCATTTAATCTTCCATACAGTATGTGGCATCCTACAGTACCAAACGGGAACATCTGCATATATACTAAACGGATGCCTACAAAGATCAGCAACAACCAGTGGATTATACCCTGGAACGGGCTAATAAAGCATGTTGCGCCAGATAGAATACAAGATCAATTGTCAACTTGCCAAACCTCAGGTTGTATGGATGTATTGCACACTTGAGAATTATCAAAGGGTCTAGTCGGATAAAATGGCACCAAGAGCAGAAATCGGATACCTTGTCGGCTATGTCTCGCATAACCCATACCAGATCTGGTTCCCACAGAAAGGCCGAAATGGAGGTAGATATTATCAGGGATGCTGTAAGTGATAAATGCCGCCGGAATTTACAAAGCAAGCCGATGTCTGAATCTGAATACGCAGTTAGCACATTGACAGATGGTCCAGAACTGGCCAGCTGTGGTTACCATAGAAGCCCAGATTGAAATGAACGCTAGATGGAAGGTGCCAATGTCAGTAGCAAGGATAGCTTTGCAAGATGACGTTAGGCATACCAAGCAAGGGGAAATCGGGTGGATTATCGAGCAGATAACGCACCTGAATTTCTTCATGCTTTCACAATGAGTATAAATGAGAGATTCAACCTTATCAAAAAACACAACAGAGATCAAATACCACTGGAACCACAGAACTGGGCGGAGGTGAAAAACCACAGATTCAACAAGGAATTTATAGCAGCAGTTAAATTCGCGATCCAGACAATACGGTAAAAGAAAACCTACACCCAGGTTCCAATCCCGAACAGAGAAACGCAGGTACTACCTTTGAAGTGGGTTTTTGAGTACAGATTTGATGCAGATGGTGTCCTCGAGAAGCTTAAAGCCAGAGTTTGTGTCCGTGGGAATCTTTAATGGATATCAATCGAAGAAAATAAAGCTGTTTTGCACTTGTTGTAGCATGGAGAACTCCGTCCAATTCCTTCTGGTGTTATCCTACAGGTCCTGAGAAACAATACTGACGAAGATTCCTCGAGTCTGAAGTTCCTAATATTTGGAGAAGAGATTCTTTGCCTAGTGGCAGGACTAGTCTCATTCGAGGTTCCAGCTAAGATTTAAACAGTAATCGCCTCCACCAAGAGATCTGAATACTTAAAATGGCAGTTGCTCTTCTCTGTCTAGATTTGCAACACAATATGTGGATCTCTCTTTATAATCTCATAAAAAACTAAAATCAAGTGTGAGCTCGAAATGACAGACGTTTTGTTTCTTGGGCTTCCACAAAAGATGCTCCTTGGATTGGCGAGTTGCTCGATACAATCGACCTTTTGGACATATGCCTTGCATGCCGCATAATAGAACCTATGTTGACTTAGGCTGGGCATCTTCTCTACGATATAAAGGCGGTTCAATTTACTGGGCCGAGGAGCGTCAGAGTTAAATATCGCGAAGTAGTGTTGACATGCTACAAAGCGACGGGTCGATCACTCATATCCGGCAGCTCATGCAGATATGCCTTTTTGTTGGCGGTATTCTATGACAATGTCTCAGTTGTTGAACGACTTATCAATCCGCAAAACGTTGATATCAATGGCTAAGGCTTGAGCAGCCATGCACCTATCACGGTGACACTGACTGAAAGCCACCTCTATCAAGTCCTGTTATAAGACAGTTAAGGACAATGCCCATGAAAACACAATTTAACATCTAGCCCTTAGCCCCTCATTGGGGAGAGTAATCCAAACCGAGAAAACAAGGAACTCGTTACTATTCATAAGGTGATTGAATTAGCCCATTGGCTGGACAAGCAGATAGGAAACGAGCTCGATCAACCCGAAAATTGTCCCAGATAGTTTGGCCACTGGTGAGGCTGAATCATAATTTGGCACTCTACCGCCTTATATGCACCCTTACAGAATCCCTAACTACGACCATCATTTATGTTACAGTTAAAGATTCTTTACATGGTAATATAAACGTACCGTAGCCTCGTGGCGCGATGAGGTGCTGCCCCCTGTTTTCTGCTGGGATGTGGTGGGCGAAGGGGAAAAAATTTCAAGATACTCTTGCAGGTCTCCTTTCGTCATCGTGGGGTGTATAAGACGCAGAGAACAAAAATGAAATGATAATACGAGCTTGATGGTAAGAGCACTTCGACTTGTGATGGAGATGGTTCAGCATATGAAGGTTGTATGAAAAACGGGCCACCTTATATGGCGGAACCCCCTTCCTCCCCGATGCCCACGGGGTTTTCGTAATACAGCAAACGTAGATTTAGGATACCATCCGAAACAGTGGCGTAGTGCGAAGATTATTATGTTACGGAAACCAGGCAAACTACTCGCTACCCGGCGCCTACCGTCCAATCTCACTGCTGAATACACTCGGCAAGCTTCTTGAAGCAGTGATAGCGCGAAGATTGTCCTACCTCGCAGAGAAAATAGCCTGGTACCAAACAGCCAGTTCGGCGGACGCCCGGGCAGAACCACTAAACAAGCCCTGCTGGCGCTGTCTAGTGCGATTGACAAAGCCTGTAACAAACACAAGGTGGTGACTTTAATCGCAATCCAAATGCCTCGCCCATCGTATTGCAGGTGCTTTTGCCGCCAGAAGGCCTCGTATGGCCTGTTGCGTCCCTTTCGTCAGCGCGGTTACGTAAGGCCCTACACTAGTCTTATTAGAGACCACTGCACTCCGTTGATAGTTAGCTTCTCTTCTTTCGTCAGTTAGTCACAGCCAGAGATCCTCAGAGAGAGTGCGACTAGGTCGTTGAACCTTACTATCACTGTAGGGTGAGGACTGCTAGCTATCTACACTCACTGAGCTCTCTATTTTGCACCTTCGCTTCCCACGCAGATCCGTTACGTTCATGGCCACAAGCGGGACGCTGGTAGTCTTTGTATCGCTGCTCGTTCTCGTGGAACCTCCGCCTAGTTAAAAACTGCTGTTTTTGGAACTGATCCTTGTGGGAAAAATCTCCGAATGCCAGAACCCGCAACTTTGGAAGACCCGTCGGCCCGAATGCCCATTCGGCAAATGACAGAAACTCCTCCGCTTCAGAAGAGGCCGAAAGGAGGTTTTCCATAACATCTAACTGATTCATTTCCCAGATACCCGGGGAGGTTGGGTCATCATTTACGATACTCGTGAGGTCGCTCCAGCCGTTAGAAAAAGGGCGTTGCCTGGCACTATCAATGTCGTAATTTTGACATATATCTCTGGATTCCTTTGTTCGTAACCGAGTTGTGATTTCGAGCGAGATATCCCTGTGGAACTTCTCTGACCCAGTGAAGCGGATATGCAAAATTTCGATAGTGGAATGCATAGCCTCTGTTACAATTAGCAAAACGCAGTGCCGCATCTAATTTTCACGACTTACCACGATAGGTGGACTCGAGCAAAGACCCAGAGCAGTTAGACAAGAAGGGTTCAAAATATTCCATTGACCACAAATCCATTGCGGTGAAACATCCCGCTCTTCTTCGAATAGACCTTCCTCATCAATTGGAACAAGTCGACGTTCATGGTAAGAAAAGCTCTCAAGAGTAGATTGGTGGTGTCTGATAACAGATTCAACACGAGAGGGTTCCTCAAAGTTTGGTAGTTTCAGATACAAATGCCTCAGTCCCCTGAAAGAGGCCAAAAGCTTCAATAATGGAGTCAGATCTTTGCCAAAACCATCAAGCAGGTTGTCGCACGCAAATTCGAAGAGCTTTAGTTGTAGCGTGTCTTTTGAGCAAGACAAAGAATTAAGGAACCGTAGCTGATTGGGACAATCCCGCAGAACCAAACCTCTGATGGAATCACACCTTAACCCCGAACTGGGCTGAAGGGTTTGTGGAAAAAGAACTTTGCACAGCGCCAAGGATGAGAGTGAAGGAAGAGCCCTTGAATGGCAGATCCCCGATTGCTGTCCAAAAATCTCCTCGCAAAGGTCCGGGGCATCAGTAAAACTGACAAATGTAATTGACAGGTGTGTCAAGTGTGCAGCATTCTGGCGAATGCATCGTCTCAAAGCGTCGGCCTCCGCAGATTGCTGAATACCTTCCCACTTCAAGATTTCCAATGATGAGAACTCTGAAAGTCCATCTAGAGCACCTCCTGCCTGGGGGCAAGACCCATCCGTGATGAGTGAAAGACTTTTAAGGCCCTTATGGTGCCGGCAAATGTACCCATTTTTGTCCAGGATACCCCGTGGAAGACAGGTTCCTAAACCCCATCTATTGAACGTGAGTGAGTGTTAGGAAGGCAAGGAAAATAGCAATCCCTAACCGATAGACTCACTAGAACGAATGAAGGCTATTTTCTTTAAGACACGCAAAGACCAAATGCATTTAGTGCGAAATGTCATTCAGAAAATGGCGATGCGCCTTTGCCTCATCGGAAGTGCCGAGTGTCGATGAAGCTTGTCAGCACTGGTGTGCGAAAGATACTATAGTGTACACAGCGGTTGAACCAAGCGATATATATTGGTGCCTGGATATTTAGATGTCTGGTATGGTGGAGATAGCAGAGGGGCTGCGAATGCGCATGGTTCCAGAAGAATAAATCGATATCGAGTACATTGAGTGCCCACTCACTCGCAGCACGAAACGTGACAGTGCGATAAATTAGGGGAACCAGAACAGCATTAATCCTTGAACAAACCTGGCTGAGAGAACGAAGATCATCAGGAGGCAGCTAATAAGTCATTAGAAAAGGTAGATAAATGTATCAAGTGACAAACCCAGTCCGCCACATCCAATAGTATTTCGCATGGCACTATTTCGAGCATGTCGCCGAAAATATCGCTGTGAATAGTTAATGGATAAAGAGGAAAAGTTACTTCAATTGTTGTAATGCTCAGACTGGAAACTCTTTATTTATGTCCGATAGTGAAACGAATGACACAAAACAAAAGCAGATCCACGCATAATTGGAGACCTGACAAATGTTCAAATGAATTTCTTCATGAACAAAGAGGCGAAACCAGACTGTATTGGTCTTCAGTCAAATCATTTGGTATATATCGCAGAGCAACTTCATCTGACAACCCTTCCTATAAACCGGTTTTAACAAGCCGGACCAAGATCTGTGCGGAAGCATATCAAAGGAGCATGACATGGCTAAAAGTCAATTTCACTACAAGTTGATCTACTAAATGAAGTAGGTTTCACTGAGAATTGCATGGACTCATATTTACGATCTGGCTTGAACTATGTACTGTATTTGGTCTAATAAGTGGAGTGAACAAGGGTGACACTTGGGTCATTTTCCATGTAAAGAAATAAATCGTTCGCTCTTGTCCTTGAGACTGATATCTAATTGTCACCAAAAAAGAAGAAAAAGGAGATTTGGATTTGGACATCAAAATTAGTGTGTACCTTTGTGCTTACCCCTGCGTTCAAGCTTTCAAAACATAGATAAACTAGGAACCCACTAAGATGATTCCGTTGAACCACACAGGTTAGGATGTTCAGTTAGCAGCCCTCAGCATCTCAATCCACAAAGTAGACTTTCCCGCTTTTCAGCCATATTGAGTTGTGTATCTACTTACAATCCGAGGCCCTATCCTAGTTCTACAGAGTCATCTGATGGTAGTGCTCAGCAGGTGATCAGCAGGTAAAACCAGACAACGACCGTTCGCAACTAATAGCGTCGGAAGACGTGACACTACAATACCGCTTTGAGCCAGAGGTCAGTGCTGTCGGAAACGCGCGAGTTTCAGGGATTTAAAGCCCGACACGATGCTTTAGAGTACTCCCAGGTCCAGGAATCACGAGCAGAGTGAGAATGGAAAGGTCAATGGAACGTTCCGCGAATCTGTATTCTCCCACTCGGTGGATTTAGCGTAGCAAATCATACGAAGTCAGAACCTCAAAGTTGCGAAGCCATATTCAACATCTCATTAGAAATAATCTCAGCAATTAAGATAAAACCACTGGGCTTCCAAAGAGCGATTGAGGCTCTAAGCGACAACGTTACGAAATCTGTCGGTACGACAACGTATGGTCAAACACAGATATATTGGAATCTCTAACTAAAAATGACAAAACCCGCTCTTTTCAACAAGCTGTGCGGACATCGATGACTAACTGTATTATGCACTTTTGTATGGTATGCTTGGTACCAGTTGTCACATGATTTTTTGGGTATTATACCTTGTTTCCACCATGTTTGCGCAGGCCTACACCCGTAAAAGAACCCCATATGTCGAGATTTCGGCTCCGCCGCAGCCCGTTTTCGAATCTGACCTCCGTCGCTGCGCCAAATGTGGCATCTCCAAGCCAACAGATCAGTTCCAAAACCGCTGCCGGCCGGGTCAACTCACTCCGGATTACTTAGGGTCGCCAGGGTGCGAAACCACCAACCAAACCTCAATCTATTGAGATCCAGGTCCTTATTCGGCCCATCCCGCGCCTCGACCACCGAAAGTGCTCCAGGTGTGGCCTTTTGAAGCCACTGGACCGGTTCCAGAACCGTTTACGGCCCGGTCCCCCGACTGCAGTGTGCCTTAGCTGTCGCGAGTGAGCTACCAATCAGGTTTGTCCCATCGTTCTATCGTTTTCTAAGCTAATATACTCATTTGTATTAGGCTGCAGCCTTGAAACCCGCTAACCGTGCGACACACTTCAATCCTCACTTTACCGCGTCCACCAAAGCGCAAGAAGAGAGAGCATCGTGCGCGTAGCCGTGCTGACGAGGAGGTGTCCCAGACACCTCCCCTCCCGAAATTCGAACCCTCCTCGTCTTCGGCGGCCGAATTGGAACCTTCTTCACCTTCGGTGGCGTCTTCCACACCCCGATTGTCCTCCCGTGCCCAACCTCATCCTTCTCGTCCAATAAATCCACCTATGTCGTCCTCCTCGGAATACCAGCCCTCCTCGTCCCCATCTCCAGCCCGCTAGCACCTTCTCTCGGCTATATGCCCTCGTCGTATCCAGCGCTAATCCCGGAGAATTGGGACCGTAACCTCCCATCCGGACCTTTAACAGAGCAGCAACGTGCCCTAGTCCAAGACTTCTAGTCCGCCCTCCAGGCTGCGAGTATGGAGACCTACTCTCGCTGCCATGAGCGTCGGTTTGATCTCCATTGCGGCGCCCGGCGTCCGTTCGTTGGTGTTTGCGCCTCCATTACGTCGCTGTGTCGCGGGTGCGGACCCTTAGGGGTCTCCTCTTGAGGAGAGCTTTAATTATGACCAGGTCCAGCCAAAGAAGCCCACATCCATGATGCCAATGCGGCTAGAGGACCGTCGGCGGCGACTCCCGCAGCACATCTCGCGCATCCTAGCCCCGTCGTCTCCTTCCCTCACCCTTCCACTCCGCCCTTCCCCACGTGGCCCGCCCCAGCGGTTGACACACTCGCGAATTCCTATCCGCTCACCTTCGGTGTCCTCGCTGGCTTCCTCTCCTTCTCTTCGTCAGGCTGGAAGTCGTGTTCTCGGTTCCAGGCCGCCGCCACCGGCCTGGCTTCTCGACCATATCCCGTCGTCTTCACCGCCCCATCTTGATTGGCGTCTGCATGATTTCGGACAGCCTCGCCATCGTCATGTGAAGCCGGCCAGAGGTTCACTCCGTTCCGCTCTCGGTCAGCACTTTGGCGTCGCAGTCAACGCCTCCACCAATGTGCCTCCTGTGCACGGGATAATGGGCCGTACCAATCATGTGTGGTCGCTGTATGAACTGCGCCTTTGACGGTGGTGGTGATTCTTGCTTTTTCCGGACCAATATCCCCCGGAACACGCCTTGATCCATGTCCTTGTGCGTTTTTTTCCTGTGAATAGCAAGCTCGGTCCATATTCGTTGTTACTACAGTCGAATGAACATAAGACCATCCAAAAAAATCAAATTCCCAGTACATTCTATCCTATACCTCGCGAGCCACCCAGTATAACCTAATCTGATATCTAAACAGGCCCTCATCCTCGCTCCCCATCCTCGTCCTCGTCCGCACTCTCCACTGTCTCGTCCGCCAAGGACTGCAACGCCTTCCGCAATTTTCCAGCGTTCTTTTGCTGTCGCTCGAGATTGGTCACCATCACCTGTAGCTGCGTCGCTGTGTTCTCTACTGTGGACTTGATCACATCCCCTTTGCCCGCGAGGTCCTCTATCTGGTCCTCCAGTGCCTCGCTTTCGTGGATAAGGTCATCCAGCTTCCTTTTCCGGCCTGTCGGTTTTGGCTTCCGCTTAGCAACCCGGCTTTTGGGCTGTTTCCTAGTGAGTGTGTTCTTGGTGGCCTTTGTGTTCTTTGGACGCGGTTTGTCCTTCGGCTTTTCATCATTTGGGGGCTTTTGTCCCCTTTTCGGCCGTCTACCTCCGGCGGCGGCCTCGGGACCGCCTGTAGCAGTATCCTTCTCCTCTGCTGCGTCGTTCTCCCTTCCTAAACCGCGTCGGTTTCGAGATCTCAAGTGGATTCTAACGTGGCCTACGGCCGAACTCACTAAAGCCTCATCGATGTCCCGAATTCATCCAATAGCAATTAGAAACCCATCCTCGACCACCACGCAGGTCGTGAATGGACGGGTTGACTTCACGCAGTAGTCGCACGGAGCCTCCGCATCATCTCGCACACATTGGGACATCCGGCTCAATAGAGGATTCAATATCTGACCCAAAGTCGACTAGAACCCTAGTGACTATAGCCGCACAATCGGTCGATCTGCACGTGGAAATGGTTAATACGGGCGAAATTATAAGCCCACGGCGACCAAACTACTCCTGAACTGTCTATCCATTATGCTGTTTGCTGTCTCGCACTAACCTGAGGAGTATGAACCGCTGTATAGCAAGCCCTTCGAAGCTGCTATTGATATTCTTAGTGGTGTGTAGAACTACATCAAAGACCCGGACCTGAACATCTGGGGTACCTTAGAGGAACTGGAGAAGATTGCTGAACCGAGTCAGATGTCACACTCTCAGCGGTCAGCGCCCATGATCAATCGCAAGGAAACCTCTAGCAACGTCTATCATGGAGAGGCCTTCGGTAAAAGGAATTTGTTTGAGGAACTCCCCATGCCGGACTCGGAATTATTCTCCATGTTAGGAGATTCCAGTATGGCAGCAACTGATATGTCACACGTTGGCAATATATTTGGGTAATCGCAGCAGAAAGTATTCAAACTGGACACCCTGTTCCTGCCCCTGTACTTGTACTATGTACCTATTGTAGAGGGGGCTTGTGAGAAATGGCGGTGTAAGTTGACTAATCTGAATATGTGTATAAGGTCAAGTGCTAGGAGCAAGAGGTCAGAACAACCAACCTTCCTTCTACCAACTACACCTTGGCTTCCTTCTGCTACCTTCGGCTACTCAAGAACCTGCCCTGGTTTTGTCTGGTTCTCAGACAGACATTTCCCACGTCAATGACGAGCGCCCCACTACACTATTCCCACACAAAAGTGCATATTAACGTTACTAGGCCTCGACAAGTCCCGCAGCACTAGACCCTTGGTTTGTACTGCAGCACTGCGGCGCAAACACGACTAACCTCGTTGCAAACGTTAATAATGGATTGAACTACGCCAGGAAGCCAAACACATCGTTAGGACTTGCTTGGCTTGTTGAGAACGGATGATTTTCCGGGTAGATTCTATTAGCAACTGGCAATGCAGTGGAATATGGTACTCTATACACTGGTCTTGCCTTAAAACAATGTTTATTCAAAAATATTTAGTGGTTTAATTAAGGTGAGGTCATTTATTCTATGGGCAAATGCGGGCGAATCAAAAATCGAAAATAAAATAACCCATCGCGTGGAAGGGGTTGTATTGAGCGGGGATAAATAAGATAAGACGAGAATTTTCAAAATCTTTGGTAGAAGACCGTTGTTGGATTGCAGAAAAAGTGCAAGAAATCGTTAAAGTGTGACATGACAAATCGAAATTGCCATGCTGGGATAACCTCTCCGTAAAAGCTTTCCGTGTGTCCTCGTTCCGCCAATATATCTGTTTTTGTCCATACGTTGTCGTACTGCCAGATTTCTGTCACTATGCTTTTATCTGTTGTCCTCCCGACCTACAGCAAATGCTAGCTCCCCACAATTCACTCACAATACAGATTGATCAGGTTGCCGTGGGTGATTCTCGGGTAGTAGTTCTGGTTCATACATGGGGCGTACTTGGTGTCAGCATCAAGGGTCGCAGATCGGTGGGAAGGGCTGGAACGAATATATTTCGTGCAAAAAAAGAAAAAAAAAAAAGGAAAGGTTCAATAGTCAAGTGCTAGAGTGACCGAAAGGGGAATACAGTGATCACGGCCACTGTGGGCTATAAAGCTCTAAAAATAGACGTCATTCAAAAGTGACCAAATTTAGCTTCAGCAAGGATACTAATATCATTAGCAAGGGAATGCTCAGAAGCGGCTCACCATGTGCCATCTTCAAATTGCTACCTGGGATGAATACCAGGGGTGCGCTCGCGTCAAATACGACTTGATTGATATCCACCCCGAAAAGCGGAAGCTCTTTCTGGAAAAAGACGCAAAATGGTGGGAGGAAATATTGAAGAACGACAAAGGCGTCAGCGACGAACTCGCGCACGCCCCGATTATCGTGGTCTCCAAAGATGCACTCGAAAACGCAAGGAGAAGAAGTCACAGCCCCAGTAACCACCAAGCCCCACCAACTCTTGTATTTAGACACAATGAAATGCTATGCCTAGATGGGCAGTCTCGCATCAGGGCAGCGTTGAATTCGGTTCTCGGACTAGGTACCAGTGGATTTGGAGCGGTACATATCGTGCTCGATAGTGAGTGCTGGAACGGTGCGAATTGCGTAGTAGAACTTTGTTGATCGCCCACCATACCAGGTATTAACGATGCCCAGAGAGACGAACTTCTTTACGACCTTTGTCACCAGATCCGACCAGACTGTGGTCAACTTTACGCGAGCATTCTCAACTCGGAGAACTTGGAAGAGAGACACAAGAATCAAAAACTCAAATCAACGCTAGGGGTGGGTCAAAAACAGGGCCTAACGACTCTTTTAAAATGTGACAGGTTGTCTGATGCAGTCAACAAAGTGACCGGAGCTTTGCCAACGATAGCACATGGATTACGCTTCGGTAAACTCAGAACCTATCATGCAACATACTGTGAATATGTGAGTGGATTTATTCCCACGCTGTTGAACATGTGGAAACTAATGGTAGGATAGTCAATCGAGAAGTATCTACTGGGCTATATCCTCGCCTTTTGGGAAGGTGTTGTCAGGAAAACGCAATCGCGGACAAATAGTTCGGACCAGTTTCATTTAGGCGACATTCCGACGGAGGCGTTCAAATCATTACAGGGTCTGATACCTGGAATATCAGAAATAGACCGCAGCCAAGTTCGCGAAGTGTTTGCGCGGCCTGCCTTGGGGAGCCTTAGCAGAAAGCATAGACGTGCCCTGAAGAAGAGCATTTTAAAGTCTTATTGTATGATTCCATCGATGGCGCTGTTTTCGGTACACATGCGAGTCTTGGAGAAAGCCTCTATCTGCATGAAAAAACTGCTTGAACTAGACGGGGAGAACAGGAAGCGCGGGCAGGGTTGTGCAAATCCCCTCGAGAACGTACTGAAAAGACTTTACACTGCAGAAAGAAACGTATATGACGAGTACCAGATTCAAACAACGAACGGTTGGAGGACAATACGTGCACCATTTGAAGACCGCCAGGAGCTCAGTTGTCGTCAGCTGTGGCTGTTTGTGATGCGACATGACGATCCGGCGGCTTTAGACCAAGGCCATTTGGCATATATGGCAAAGCAATTAGGGTTCTACTCAGTTCTGATAGAAGTAGACGCAGCTAAACACGGGCATGTTGGCCATGACCAGGCTGCGAAGCCGCACCCTGTCTCCTGGACGGAGGATTCCTCCGTTTCGATCGACGAACGACTAGGGCAAAAAGGTGGGAGGTGGCTTGCGAGGACAAAGCAAGCGAGAAATCACTTGTTTTTTGACGTCGCAGAGACCATCGGGACCAAGGCAGCGCAGAAGTTCCAGAAACTGATCACGGTCACTCCGCTGGTGGAATTGGCATGCATTTATCGTGCCCTTTTCGGGGATCCCTTCTCACCATCAAAATACGCTGAGATTCCACGCGCGGAAGGCCATGCAAGTTCCGGGTCTCTGGCAAAAGCGAAAACCAGTAGCGAACTTTCACCACCATCAAGAGAGCCATCCGATTGTGGACATGGTAGTGAGAATGAATCGATTTACTACGACGCGCTCATCGTCCCATGCGGTGATCCACCAATGACAGCATTCGAGCGACCGGAAGAGGAGCAAAACAATTTGGAGGGACACAGCTACCTTCAGCTCTGTAAAGTGGCCGAAAATGGAGACCCTCCAGCTGGAAGCTCTACTAAGAGTCAAATGGACTTGGCCGAGCCTGAGATCTACGGAGACCGCTCACCTGGAAGGTCTACAGATTTCTCTATTGTCCTGCAGTCGAACACAAATAGCGTCCCAGCTCCAAGCCGTACATTGAACGACAGGTGTCTGACGGAGCCTGACAGGCAAGGGGACAGCAATTTGGGGGGACACAGCTACCTTCAGCTCTGCAAAGTGGCCGAAAATGGAGACCCTCCAGCTGGAAGCTCTACACAGAGTCAAATGGACTTTGCCGAGCCTGAGATCTACGGGGACCGCTCACCTGGAAGGTCTACAGATTTCTCTATTGTGCTGCAGCCGGAGACAAATGGCGTCCCAGCTGCAAGCCGTACATTGAATGAGAGGTGTCTGACGGAGCCTGACAGGCAAGGGGACAGCAATTTGGGGGGACACAGCTACCTTCAGCTCTGTAAGGCGGTAGAGAGGGGAGATCCTCCAGCAAGAAGCTGTATATTGAATGACAGGAACTTTGACGAGCCCCAGATAGACGGGGACCGCTCACCTAGAAGGTCTACATACTTCTCCATTGTCCTGCAGTCGAACACAAATAGGGTCCCAGCTGTGAGCCGTACATTGAACGACAGATGTCTGATGGAGCCTGACAGGCAAAGGGACAGCAATTTGGAGGGATACAGCTACCTCCAGCTCTGTAAAGCGGCCGAAAATGGAGACCCTCCAGCTGGAAGCTCTACTAAGAGTCAAATGGACTTGGCCGAGCCTGAGATCTACGGAGACCGCTCACCTGGAAGGTCTACAGATTTCTCTATTGTCCTGCAGTCGAACACAAATAGCGTCCCAGCTGTGAGCCGTACATTGAACGACAGATGTCTGATGGAGCCTGACAGGCAAAGGGACAGCAATTTGGAGGGATACAGCTACCTCCAGCTCTGTAAAGCGGCCGAAAATGGAGACCCTCCAGCTGGAAGCTCTACACAGAGTCAAATGGACTTTGCCGAGCCTGAGATCTACGGGGACCGCTCACCTGGAAGGTCTACAGATTTCTCTATTGTGCTGCAGCCGGAGACAAATGGCGTCCCAGCTGCAAGCCGTACATTGAATGAGAGGTGTCTGACGGAGCCTGACAGGCAAGGGGACAGCAATTTGGGGGGACACAGCTACCTTCAGCTCTGTAAGGCGGTAGAGAGGGGAGATCCTCCAGCAAGAAGCTGTATATTGAATGACAGGAACTTTGACGAGCCCCAGATAGACGGGGACCGCTCACCTAGAAGGTCTACATACTTCTCCATTGTCCTGCAGTCGAACACAAATAGGGTCCCAGCTGTGAGCCGTACATTGAACGACAGATGTCTGATGGAGCCTGACAGGCAAAGGGACAGCAATTTGGAGGGATACAGCTACCTCCAGCTCTGTAAAGCGGCCGAAAATGGAGACCCTCCAGCTGGAAGCTCTACTAAGAGTCAAATGGACTTGGCCGAGCCTGAGATCTACGGAGACCGCTCACCTGGAAGGTCTACAGATTTCTCTATTGTCCTGCAGTCGAACACAAATAGCGTCCCAGCTGTGAGCCGTACATTGAACGACAGATGTCTGATGGAGCCTGACAGGCAAAGGGACAGCAATTTGGAGGGATACAGCTACCTCCAGCTCTGTAAAGCGGCCGAAAATGGAGACCCTCCAGCTGGAAGCTCTACACAGAGTCAAATGGACTTTGCCGAGCCTGAGATCTACGGGGACCGCTCACCTGGAAGGTCTACAGATTTCTCTATTGTGCTGCAGCCGGAGACAAATGGCGTCCCAGCTCCAATCCGTACATTGAACGACAGGTGTCTGACGGAGCCTGACAGGCAAGGGGACAGCAATTTGGGGGGACACAGCTACCTTCAGCTCTGTAAAGTGGCCGAAAATGGAGACCCTCCAGCTGGAAGCTCTACACCGAGTCACAGGGACTTTGCCGAGCCTGAGATCTACGGGGACCGCTCACCTGGAAGGTCTACAGATTTCTCTATTGTGCTGCAGCCGGAGACAAATGGCGTCCCAGCTGCAAGTCGTACATTGAATAATAGAAGTCTTAATGAGCCCGAGACAAACGAACAATATTTCTCCGAAATATGTGCAGTGAACTCATTTAGTCCAGTCGAGTCTAAGGCAGGTGATAGATCTGTTTCGACATCGTCAACTTCCAGTCCCATAACCGGCTCTGTGCAGGCGACAGGCAATGGTAATAATTTGCATTATCATGGAGACAGCTCAGCTGGAAGCATTATATCAAATGTCCATAGCCTTATAGCACCGGCGATACAAGGTGATGGGTCAGCGGAAATATCTACCTCCACATCGAGTCACGATATCCCTGGGGAGTTTCAGGCAGATCGTCCGTCTGTTTCTGAGCTGTCGCCTTTCAGTCCAATGGCAGGTCCTAATTGGACGAAGGTCGCTAGCAATACCTTAAGGTGGCTAGATTTGGCACGTTTACACCAACCACTGAGGATTCCACCGATCGTGGAGGGGTTTTGTGTGACCTACCCGCCTTTGACCCGTTCCCTACCAACGCAGAAGTTGCTGCATTGGAACGGTGCCGCGGTTACATCTCTAGAGCCAAGCACCAAGATCCAAATCCAGGAGCAAGTAGATTGGCGCGAAATGGGCGAGAACGACGGGGCGAACCAGAGAGATTGTTTGAATTACCTCGAGTCTCTGGTCGTGGATAGTCCGCCGATATCACCTTATCCGGTTGAGGAAATGCAGGGTAGCCAGCACTGCCCGGCTGCGGTGGCGGTCAATCTAGGTAAAAATGGGTTGTTGGAGCAAAACAGCCTAAGAGCCCAAGACACTAGCGAATATGTTGCGTCGATATCGGGCCACAAGGACCAAGTGGAGCGAATTCGTCAAACACAACCCCAAAGTCATAGTTCCAAGACCGCAAGGGCAGAGCCTGAAGAAATTCATTCCTTAGAGCAGAGTGAACCTGTTAAAACCACATACCGCTCTGATCCTTTTTCGATTGGTTTTCAAGGCAGCTGCCAGGAGCACCTTCCCACGTCCCTTCTTGGAGATATTTCACAGCACCGTGATTGCATGAGCCTATTTAGCCCATCAAGCTGTAGCGATGGGGAGAGTGATCTGGAAGGCGGTGTTTTGAACACTGCAGACGCTACAATGTTGACGAAGGATAAGTCAATCGGCTCAGCTACTTCGAGTGCGAAGAGTATCAAGGCACATTGGAATCCAATTCTTACTAGCAATGAAAGATGTCCGCCATTGGTGTCACAGAATTCACCGCACATGGCTCGTCTTGCGCCCTGCGGGCAAGACTATCGTTATATAGATCCTGAGAACCACTATCTGTCTTCGCAGATGAGTAGGACATCGACGCTACCATCTCACGCGACCCGCACGGTATCTGACAGAACAGCAGCAGGACAGGAGCAGCCGGGTAAAAGTGTGGAACTTGCTGAAAGTACGCAGACCGCATTCTGGTGCCCCAGAGGCCCGCCCACAGAACCCGAAAGCCATTCAGGCAAATATGCGCAGGGAAGACACGGCATTACGGATAGCCGATCATTACAGACTGTTGTGGAAAATGTGAACGAGGACTTCTCAGCTGCTACGGGACAGCCAGGGAATGGCGACCTCCCAGAGGCAACCAAGCTCGGTCACGACCCATGTACATCACCGTTTTTTCGAGAAGACAGCCGGTTTGTCCAGGACGAAACAACACGGCTATCAGATAGGGAGTTACAACAACAACTGTCTGAGCGGAATGATGGACTCGTAGGGCGTTCAAATCAGCAACCCCCTATGGTCGAAGATGTGGATGTTGTGCGCGAAGAGAGTAACGGGCCCTTTTTGGAGCGACCAGTCGGCCACCTGGTAGCACCCCTGCCCCCGGATAGATCTGTGGATCCTCCCGTGGGGCCTGCAATCATCCCTGTATTAGATCCGATCCAGGACCCAGGCCCGCCAAGAGACAGTGCAACAGCCCCCGTGAATCAGAGGAGTTGCCCTAGCAAGGACGGCATCTCTGCAGCTGGGAGGATCGGTCTTCCAACCCCGGCCTCGAACGAACCATATCTCAATAGGGCCAGCGTTGTCCCAGAGACTATTAAGAAAAGGAAGTGGCAGGGATCAGAACCAGACGAGTGGATTTCCAAACGTAGTTGTATAGAATCCCCCGTCAGAGAGCGACTTGATGGAACATTAAAGTGGGCTATGCCATGGCATCGGACAGTTTCTGCACGACATGAAAACAGCCAAGTGCATGGGCCGAGGTCAATAGCTGCTACCGAGGAATTGCTAGCATTTCTACAAAGATGCAATGCTACCGGACAGCCAGGGAATGGCGACCTCCCAGAGGCAACCAAGCTCGGTCACGACCCATGTACATCACCGTTTTTTCGAGAAGACAGCCGGTTTGTCCAGGACGAAACAACACGGCTATCAGATAGGGAGTTACAACAACAACTGTCTGAGCGGAATGATGGACTCGTAGGGCGTTCGAATCAGCAACCCCCTATGGTCGAAGATATGGATGTTGTGCGCGAAGAGAGTAACGGGTCCGTTTTGGAGCGACCAGTCGGCCACCTGGTAGCACCCCTGCCCCCGGATAGATCTGTGGATCCTCCCGTGGGGCCTTCAATCGTCCCTGTATTAGATCCGATCCAGGACCCAGGGCCGCCAAGAGACAGTGCAACAGGCCCCGTGAATCAGAGGAGTTGCCCTGTGGATCCTCCCACGGGGCCTACAATCGTCCCTGTATTAGATCCTATCCAGGACCCAGGGCCGCCAAGAGACAGTGCAACAGGCCCCGTGAATCAGAGGAGTTGCCCTGTGGATCCTCCCACGGGGCCTACAATCGTCCCTGTATTAGATCCTATCCAGGACCCAGGCCCGCCAAGAGACAGTGCAACAGCCCCCGTGAATCAGAGGAGTTGCCCTATCAAGGACGGCATCTCTGCAGCTGGGAGGATCGGTCTTCCAACCCCGGCCTCGAACGAACCATATCTCAATAGGGCCAGCGTTGTCCCAGAGACTATTAAGAAAAGGAAGTGGCAGGGATCAGAACCAGACGAGTGGATTTCCAAACGTAGTTGTATAGAATCCCCCGTCAGAGAGCGACTTGATGGAACATTAAAGTGGGCTATGCCATGGCATCGGACAGTTTCTGCACGACATGAAAACAGCCAAGTGCATGGGCCGAGGTCAATAGCTGCTACCGAGGAATTGCTAGCATTTCTACAAAGATGCAATGCTACCGGACAGCCAGGGAATGGCGACCTCCCAGAGGCAACCAAGCTCGGTCACGACCCATGTATATCACCGTTTTTTCGAGAAGACAGCCGGTTTGTCCAGGACGAAACAACACGGCTATCAGATAGGGAGTTACAACAACAACTGTCTGAGCGGAATGATGGACTCGTAGGGCGTTCAAATCAGCAACCCCCTATGGTCGAAGATGTGGATGTTGTGCACGAAGAGAGTAACGGGTCCGTTTTGGAGCGACCAGTCAGCCACCTGGTAGCACCCCTGCCGCCGGGTAGATCTGTGGATCCTCCCGTGGGGCCTTCAATCGTCCCTGTATTAGATCCGATCCAGGACCCAGGGCCGCCAAGAGACAGTGCAACAGGCCCCGTGAATCAGAGGAGTTGCCCTGTGGATCCTCCCACGGGGCCTACAATCGTCCCTGTATTAGATCCTATCCAGGACCCAGGGCCGCCAAGAGACAGTGCAACAGGCCCCGTGAACAAGAGGAGTTACTCTGGCAAGGATGGCATTTCTGCAGCTGGGAGGATCGGTCTTCCAACCCCGGCCTCGAACGAACCATATCCCAATAGGGCCGAAGTCGTCCCAGAGTACCAGGGAGAATCCAGTTACACCATTCCGGCGTGTACGGAAGCCCCACGCAAACGATTCTGCTTGGGTCTGGACTCCCCGCGAGGTTTCCCACTGGCGCCAGGAGGCAGTGCAAGCGATAACCAAGGAGAGACCATCTGCGCTGATACAGAACTGGGGTCTCCTGCAGAGACTCCCAATGACGTGAACATATCAGCCCAAAAAAATGCCGATGATTTTGTTTTTATCGTTGAGCTCGTTGGCCACAGCGTTAAGTGCGTTCATCGCCGAGCGAGAGGAACAATTAGATCCTTGCTCGAGCGGCACTTTAGGCTGCGCAGTAAGTCTGGGAACTTCTTCAACAGGGATCTACGAATCGTTGAGCTCGATTTGAGTAAAAGCGGAGCAACCCACATGGACATATTCTTCGAGACAGAAGAGGTGTTGGTGTTTCAACACAGCAACCATAATGAGGTCAATCCAACACAGCTAGTGAGGAAGATTAATGGGGCAGTGTTGGAAAATAAAAAAACAGCCTCTCGGGGATTTACCAAGCACAAATACAATCTCAGAGCTAGAAAGCGACGAAACGACGATAGCGTATAGATTTCGAGCAATGATAAGTACATATTCCCCATATTTCCTGCCGCGTGCATGATATCCTGTCCTTAGTTGACACTTTCTAAGAGAAGAGGTGAAAATAATGTATGAAAAGGGAAATAATGTGATATTGTAACAAATATGATCGGTATTCCGATATTGCGGAATTGTCCAGGGGCTGCCCCATGAGTTTTCTTTCCGATCTCGCTCTCCATAGTGTCAAGTGCCATACGTAGCTTTATAGGGGGTTTTCAAATCAGAATGGCAATATCTTAGTGTCAGAGGTTGATGCATTGTCCTGCCATAACTTAGTGTACGTTTGACGGTAGCAAGTACATCTTTGGGCTCGGTGAGCCTGCCTTGCTATCCCAAGTAAGTATGGGCCCTCCCGTGGATGCTGTTTACTACAAAATGTACATTATTGTGGTATTGAAAATCTAACCAAATGAAAAAACCGCAATATTTAACTAGTTAACAATCTCGATGGTCAACTGTATGACTCTATAGATCGTTTGACCATTACTTACTTACTTACTTGCTTACTTTAACTAGATATATTGTTATCCACACCTCACTTTCTATACTATAATTATTTTTTCTTGCTTTATCTAAAAACAGACTAAAGTCGCATTTCTATCGTGTTTACTTTTATATGACATATGTATATAATTTAATCAAAATAAAAAAGAAACGCGTGAATAGGGTAAAATAATAATACAGACACTAGTCAAAAGTATCTTCCCACCCCATTTTTCGGCTACCCCCATCAAATATATATATCTACTTTGTACAGCTCTGCACAACCATATAATACGCTAATTAAGTTCAGTAAAATATATATTACTAATTGATAACCGCACAATTGATTTTTCGCTTAATATTTTGTATAATACCCCTTCGCCTTGCGTACCGCTGCCAAACGTCTCCCCATGCTTAATATCAATCTATCAATCTTCACCTGCGGAATCGCCTCCCAGGCCTTGACTAGGCACTCTTTGAAATACTGCCAATCAGATAGGCTTCTTCCCATTTCAAAAAGCTCTGGAAAGAGCCTAAAAAGCATCAATTTTAACCACCGCCATACCGGTTCAATTCGGTTTAAATCAGGTGAGTGTGGAGGCCAATCCTCGACGTGAATCCCGTGCGTTTCGAACCACTCCTGTGTCTCCTTTGCTGTATGAATTCTTGCGTTATCTTGCTGAAAGATAGTATAGGGGGCATAGAAAGGGACCAGACCTTTTTCGAGGGCTAATATATATGACTTTGCAGTATAACCTCTCCCGGAAGGTGAATCTTTATCCCGCTCTATAATCACTAACGGTATACGACCTCTAACCTAGATTCTACCCCAAACCGTTTACGAAATATCTTTCACGTAGGCCTTAATATTCATTAGATCACGGTGGAAGCCCTCCGGCTGAAAACGGAAGCACCATTGTGGTCCAACATTCGAGGTTCGTTGCACCGAACACTCGTCTGAAAAGATCCACGTTTGAAAGCTTTCGCGCTGCCATTTTTTTAGCATATCGAAGACGTTTCTTAGCAAGGGCCCTTCCAATTGGTATCTTCCTTTTTGTCAGATATTTTGAGAGGCCAAATCGCCTAAAGATTCGCCGTATAGTTGAGTTTGATGGGTGTTCGGGTACTGTCGAACTTAGCTGTTTATAGGTCCAAAATGGGTGCCGGCGGGCCTGAAGATAGAGGTAATGGTAAGATCGACGGCTTAGGATTGGGGGACGGCCTTTTCGGGGGAGGGATTTGATAGATTGGTGCTCTTCGAAGCGTTTAAGTGTATTGTAAATAGTCCTGCGGCTGTAACCAAAATCATTAGCTAATTTTGACTGCGAAATCCCATTCTTATGGCCAAATACAATAGCTGACCTTTGTACCGGGCTTAATTCAGCCAATTTCGTAGGCCTAGGGCCTGATTTCATTTGAATTCGACGACTAGGGGAGGTGTAGGAAGAAAAATAAAATGGTGGGTGGTTGTTGGGGTGATAGTAGTGGGGCAAAATGGGAAGATACTTTTGAACCCCTATGGGGTATATACATAATCGTGCCAAGCGCCCAAACACACATTCTTTGTGTTGGTGCGCCCCACTCAACGATAATTCCCACACAACGATAATTTCAATGGGATGAATTGCATTTAAACCACTATTTACATATAACCACCAGTAGTATCTATCGACCAATTTGCACCCTTACTATCTCTTGCCGCCATTGAAGCTTCAGTCGGGCGCTTGGCACGATTATACGTTGGAATGACGATCCTGATCTTCCGGAGCCAGTATTAGAGATATGGGATGGTGATACCCCACCTCCAGAGTCAAGTTCTATACCAAATTCGTCGGTAATAGAGGTTAAAACCTCCCGGAAATACGCTGAAAAAAAAAAACCGACGAGATTGGGAATGAGATCGATGCTATTTCTCCAAAGCTACGACGTCAACTAGCTCCATTTTTAGCTGGTGCGCTTACCTTGGTGGAAGCGGGCGCTTAGTATGCGCATGACAATGCCAACATTTTGGACCTAAAACGCCGGAGGGAAGCTAATAAAAGCAAGCGAAGGGTGAATATGGTGGTCCTCTCACTTCATTAGATGCAAATAGGCATATGAAAGTGAGAGATAGCATAGAGACACTATACCATATTAAGAATAGCCCCGGAGTATCAATATTCCAATTAGATGACCTATTCGGTACATTACGCCACGCGATACATGACTTTTTGTATCGTCACTGTATGGAACAGCCATCATGGCCACAACTTTCAAGATATGCGAATAAGTCAAGTATACGGAGTTGGAATTGGCCTCGAGATTATGGCAAGGTCTCACTTCTCTCTCCCCATATCTAAGTGACAATTTACAGAGAAATGCAAAATCGGCTTCACTAATTTACACACTTTCATTTATGATGGGCTCGTCTATACTAACAACTTATATAGCGCGAAAAGAGGTCGATCCTTTACATACGAACATGAATTCCTTGCACTCTCGAGTGTTGCTCGCGATATTCTCTCTGTTCCAGCGACGGGCCCAGGAGTTAAGCGTTTATTCAATACCGCTCGCGATGTTACCACTACCGCCGTGGGCAGCTAAATCCGGAGACAATCCAAGATATTATGATTCTTCGGTGTAAGAGCTGGCGTGATATTGAACTTAAAGAGTTACCTGAGGAGGCGGACAAACAACGAGAGGCCCAGCTTACTACTAACGTGCCCAAAGCAATCAGCGAAGGAGAGGATTCTGATGAGAATGACAATAACGAGAATGATCCTATTACACTAATTGAGGAGGAGTTTATAATAGAGAGTCAGCGCCACCCCATGATTATAGTTCCAAGTGCGGGTAAACAACAGCGAAGTCTCTCCGTTGATAGTGAGAATGAGACAAGCCCTCATCTGCCTTCAACTACAGATAAAGGTGGCACTCAGAGACTCTCTGGACTAAGAGGTATGAGGAAGCGTAACAAGCCTGATGATGATGATCAATGGCTACGGTATTAATGTACATATGAATGAATGGCTGGACTCATCTCAATGACCGTACATAAGATATAATTATGAGATTATGAGAAATTCTGTAAACAAAATACTTAAAAATACAGAGACAAATGCAAGTTCGCGAGGTCTACAAATTTGTTTACTAAAAAGGCCCATGGGCGGTGTCGCAGTATAGGTGCAAGCCACCTTGGGGTTCACAGTGGTCCGCGATGGCCTCGGTGGTCATCTACTCCATCACCTTCCTCAGAGGGCCCAACAAGCAGATCACCCTCCACGCAGTAGATTATACAAATTTTGAGACCATTAGGGTGGCGAAAACTAAGTGTTATACAAAGTGACCCAGCGAAGGCCGATCGGACCGACCTCCTATTGTCCTAAATCCATGTAGTCAAGGCACCAATACCTATATATGCTTTTATTTTCCTTTCAGCCTAGGCACAGAAGCTAGCACGATTCTTAAAGTATAGGACTTATTTTAAGATCTTCCCCGCCCCTTTTCCCCAAACCCTCTTTATAGCTAACAATTAATTCCAGGGGAGCCCAAACTCTGGCAGCTCGCACAAACCGAAATCATCAAAATTGGTTGGAGTGGTAGACTTAGACATCTCCGTTGGTTCTATGGGACTGGAATCTTTCTCTATGAGTGAATTCAGTTGCTCGCACCTATTGAAAACTAAGCCTGCGAACCTTATGCCGAGGAAGTTATGATACTCACATGAGCGCGAGCTTGCTACATGTTTCTTGGAGGGCATTTTGTACCTTCTGCATATTATTGCTAGAGTCGCCGTTTAAACCGAGTACGGACTCGATTGCCTTCAAACGGGCTTCCAACCTGTAATCTGACCTTTGGGCTTGTTGATGAGGAGTGTGAATGGGTTTCTTTGATATTGGCTGGTTGACAAGAGAGCGAAAGAGCCTACTATCCATTTTTGGGATATCGGTGGAAACGGAAAGACTAGGCAGCCTGGCGTGGGGTTTCAATAATTCTTTCATCTCTAACATAAGTACATATAAATCTGTGAAGATAGAGACGGCATATTAAGGATCACTGACTTGGCTTTAATATAAATAAGAAATCTAGGACAAAGACTCTAATTTTAGCACGAACTAACTGTGAATGTGGTGGTGATCCTAAATTTAGCCAAACCAGGGTTTTACATTATATGTACATCAACGGGTTAGAAAGGCGAAACCACTTGGGAGATGGACTGTACGAGTGATTTATGTGGTGCGATTTATGTGGTGATCAATAATGACTACACAGAACTAAATATGAGGCCTATAACAGTGGTTCAGCGAAGCTAGAACAACACCTAATGTGAGCCATTGAAAGCAGATTTATAGTAGAGTCCTCTATCTGGTCGGTGACTCAAAATATCAGGCTAGAAAATAATGATCGACTGGAATATTGGTACGGTATTCTGACTGAAATATGATCACTGTGCCAAGCTATAATGCACGCAGAGTAGCGCAAAGTCCCAACATGGTAGTTACCCTTCATAAAAGACTGTAGTCTGGCTGGGCTTGCCAATAGTTGTAGAAAGGTGTGTCTTGAACTGAGGTTTTGTTTAATGAGAGACCCAACCCAGCGGCGAAGGCAGCAACCCTGGGATTGATTGCACGGGATGGCCTGGTAGCCATTAGGCCTAATGTTCTCCGACGTGGCCGATTGATTCGGAAACTATGTCAAGTTGTTCACCGTTGTTCGATCTTGCTCTGTCTGCATCAGACCTCACTTAGTATCTCGATTGATAGCCAAGTGAGATTATGATCAGGCTGGTGGGCCTTCATGACCACTATTCACTCTTGGTTTGCGTATTTGTAGAGAACTATTTGCGCATGAAAAAAAAACCCCCTAGGTGGGCGAAAATATGGCTAGAAATGAGAACAGGCGGGAATATCCGCAGCTGCCATTCAGCCTGACCAGCCGAGCTTGACGACGAGACGAACGGGTCCAGCGGATTGGGAAACAGCCTTATCTTTCTTGCCCTGGAAGGCGGAGGTGTAGGCGCTGACGATGGCTCCAGCACCCTGGGTAATGGAAGAACACTTCTCACCGGCGTGATTGCAAATTTTCATACCGGCGATATCCATGCTGGCGAGCTCGGCGACGATGCAGGAAACGTCCCAGCCGGAGAACCCATCGTTTTGGGAGTTGCTCATGTCGAACTCTCCCCAGGTGGAGGAATACTCGCCGACGTAGTTGACTGGCAGGCCCTCGCCTTCTGCGGCACCCCATCCGCCCTGCGAGTCGTCGTCGATGGCGACGAAGATACTTTGGTCGGGCTCGACGGTGAAACTCAGGGCTTTGTTAGGGCTCCAAAAACCGTTTAGGCCACCACTAGGACCGTAGGAATTCCACATCACGACGTTCCAGGCCTTGGGGTTGTCGTTCTCAAACCGGATGATGTGCTTGTACTGACTAGCCTTGTCGCCGCTGACTTGGATTATGTTACTACCCCAGGGGCTGCCGACGTTGCCGATATAGTCCCAGTCGAGGGTGCCCACGTGCTTGCTGGCGGTTGAAGCACCGAATCCGTCGATGGAGTATTCGCCGTTGGAGGGGTAGTTTGCCCAGTTGCTGGAGGTAGCAGGGGTAGGGCTTATGGAGGAGTTGGCTTCGGCCTCGCCGGTGGCGGTGGAGGTTGGAGTGGCAGTTGAGGTCGGAGTGGCGGTGGATTCGGCCTCGGTGGACTCGAAAGAATGCTGTCCGGACCACTCGTTGATCCAGGAAACCCGCTGGCCGTTAATGGTAGCGAAGACTGAAGCGCCAACACCACGCTTCTCGGGAGGCTCAGGGGTGGGAGTCTCGGTCGGATGGTAAATGTTGAGATCGAGATCGAATACATCTCTTAGGTGGGCGTGGTGATGGTCACAGCCGTCAAGACAAGTGACAGTCGACCCAGCGGTCAGTGCTGCCATCAACAGCACAGAGTTAGAGATGTGCATCTTTTTTCCCCTTTTGAATTGAATATCTGAAAATGAGGGACTTAGACTAATGTTTTGAAAGGGAAATTTAATCCAAATGAATATATGATGTGGTCGTTAAATTTGTGATATTTTAAAATATTGGTGATTTTAGTTGATGGCGAAAAAGATGCATATTTTTCGGTTTTGGCGCGTAGTGGTTAGATGCCTGTAAATGTTCAATATCAGCACACGCACTTTTTTGCACCAATCTTATCGCCGCAGGACGCCAATTTTGACTGACTTCAAGGGAAGCCTTCTAAGGTCTTGGTGAAACCGAAGGTGAAGATTTCGGGTGATCCATAAATAGATACAAACGCTTGTCCACTATTAAGTATCTATTCAGTTCTCATTAGCTTTCAAACATTTGTCTGAGGCTTAATAGCTCAAGATGAGAAGAAACATTTACGCCACATTGTGTGTGGCATCGGTTGTTTCATTTAGATGCACCTTCGCACATCCACTCTCCTCCATTGGAGATATAGGTGTTCTGAATAATTGCGAAGCCCCAGTCTACTTCAAGGTCACAAGAGAGGCGGATTCCCCGACAAATATTCTGGAGCCTGGAGGGTCGTATCGAGAGAAGTATCAGTTTCCCGCACATGGCGGGACTTCGGTGAAACTAGCACAAAGTACTGACAACTTGCAAAAAGGGGAAAACGAATTACAGCTTGAGTATACCTGCACTGACCAATGCTATGTGGACTTTTCCTTGATCAACAATGCTGCTAAATTTCCAGGAGAAAATGCTACACTGTCTTTGACGCCAAGCGATTCGAGATGTGATACACTAATCTGTACTGCAGGAGATATAACATGTCGAAACGCATACTATATACCAACCGGTGACCAAGCCGTTCGTGCCTGCTCCCTACAAGCTAGCTGGACGTTTACACTTTGTGCGGGACCCTCGGCGCGATGAGACAGCCGCCACCTATGTCTGAACGGGCGGCTTTGTGTAAGTAGGAGGAAGCAGTTTCTCTAACCATACGCAACTACTTGCATAAGGGACGACATGGAAAAAGAATTTGAAGATGAGAGATCTTTGATATTGATTATGTACTACTGTATTGCTTTGAGAAATGAAAGTTCCGCGTCAATATTAGGCTTGCACATAGATATTTACGTACGAAGAGCTGCAATCAACAGCCTTGGCCAGTCAACTGAGATGGTCTGGGTGGATTTCATCCATCCGATCCTTCATAGCATGGCCGCTATGCACCTTCGGCTTTTACATATGCATCCCTTAAGACAGTAGCCGAATCGTTTCCACCCAATCGCCCTCCACGTAAGGCCGAGTGATTTCGGCGTAATCGAGGTAAAGTAGGAGAATTTGATATGCCTAGGTCAGATCACGAGAGTTAGCCCACTTCAAGCCTTTTCTGAGCTTCTTTTCCATTGAAAATAAGGATGGCAGCCCGGGGTAGCCTGCTTACATTGCTATTATTGTTTTATTGCTTAATATTAAAACATGCATTCTATTTTTTTTTTTTTAATAGAGCAAGCGATCGGTCAGCCGCCATTACGTGATTGTCGCGTAGCGATTCCTTTAGTTAACTAGTTAACTAGTTAGTTAACTCATAATTACACATAGTTAAAGCATGGAATGCTTTTGCAAATGATCTTCCATATTCCATCCATGACCTCATTTCTCTAAAACCCCAAACACACCTCATTAGGCCAGGTCCCAATCAATTACCAATGGACTACCTGCTCGAAGAGGAGGCAAACAATGACACGGATTTCTGTCCATTTCCCAAAAGAACACATGATGTCGAAACGGGCAATGTTAGCCAACATAGAACCCAATACCATGGCCCTGCTAACAGGGCTCCAGGACACTCAGAACGCACCCAAACCTCGACTATCACGGAAGGAAGCGCAGAAGAAAGCACAAAGAAATGCACAAAGAGACTTTCGATTGAGGCAAAAAGCTCGAAGACAGGAGGAACAGAAGAAAATCGCCGAACAAGTCAAGCAGATTAAGGAAGATCAGGACAGGCTTGAAGCACAAAGCAGAGAGCTTGAGAAGGAACAGCAGACCAGGCAAGATTTAGAACAGCAAGTACGGCAGCTTAAGGGCGAAATCGTGCAGTTTGGGCTGAGTGCCAAAAGATGGGAGGAGAACTCTACGGTCCTGCAAGGAATCGTGAAAGCCTTACAAGGGAGCGTCGGTCTTCTGAGTGGAGAGTCCCATGCCATATGCCGCAATGACAATAAATCAAGCGCAGGAAGTATGACTCTTGGCCCCTCTATCAGTCAATCGGGCCCTAAGACTCAAGTTTCTCCCCGCAACTTCCCCATCCTTTCGAATCTCAACAGTAAGTAACTCCTATGCGGATTACGCGAGGTAATTTGACAGTAATAGGAAGAGAAGCGCAACTCCGGTCGATGATATCGCCCATCTCACCCATGACCCACAAGGGCTCACTTCTCCCACCGCGCCCCCGTTCGCCCCTTAACGGAAGGTATTGGGACGGAAAAGTTGGAGTAAATCACGCGGCGATCAGGCGATGAGGTGCTACTAAGGGAGGCGGCGGAGATAAGGGTCCAAGGGACTAAGCGCGAGCCCACGCCGACGAGTACAAAGGGTCTAGCAATGGCACTTAGATTTAGTGAGGATGATGAAGAGTTCTTGAAGTACTGAGATTGAACTGAAATTGAGTTATTGAGTATAAACCCGCGGCGCGAGATAGTATCCATGATGAACTTAGCACGACCCCTAGCAAACGTTCCGATAGCGTTTCAAATTCACCCGTCTTCGCCTGGCCAACCGTAAGGCATGCCTTTCACATAAGCATAAATTGCGTTGTATATTCTAAGGGTGTTTGTTAGTTGAAGGTTTTTCGTTGTTACATGTTAAGCGAATCATTGCTTACGCTGTTTTTGTATCTCCGAGAGTTTCGCTGGTGTTTCTGTGGTGACCAATCACGGACAAGAGTGCCTTTGAAATATATTCGCCAGCGTGTCATACTGCCTCAGTTTCTTTCGTCTTGACAGAAATCCATGTTTCTTTATTCTAACTCAACAATGTTTCTAAATTTACCCAATTCTAAAAATATACCTAGCAAGAGGTCTTAAACGCAACTATTGCGCAGCAATACGGTTTGAAGTCTTTAAGTTCATACGCTTAGCTTACATTACAATATCGTTGCCTATGCACGTTACAAGGTAGGTGAGTAAAATAGACACGGGGAATGTCAGAAAAGTTCGCTTGTTGGCCAAAGAATGTGAAAATTGAATAGGGCAGTCAAATCTATACGGTACATGCAAGATGGTTTTGCTTCGACAGTAGACAATTAAGTGGCCCATGGCCGGATCTTCTCAAAATCATAAATTTAGATTCTATTTCAAATGAAAGATACCAATATTGAGATTTATTGCACCGTTACCGAGGTGCCCGAGAGATTAGGGATGAAGGAAGTATGATTACATTTGATTAGACTATGTATTCCCTAAGGCTCATGACTTTTTCAGCCTTTTGAAAGGGGAGCGATAGCGTACAGATTGATTCGCTACGTGCTCTATGTAACAGCATATGCACGATTTTGTCGTGTCCTCCCCGAGAAGCTGCCTGGAGCGCATTTCCGTAGGGTCCGTCCACCCTGGGCGTTGACATCGGCTCCGTGCTCCAACAACATCTGCATGATTTTGTCGTGTCCGTTTCACGAGGCCCACATCAATGGGTTTGTTTTTGCATCGTCTGCCGTATTGATATCTTGTTTCTGAGCAGCCAGTAGGAACTGAACCTCTTGCTCGTGGCCGTTAAATGATGCCAGATTGAGCGCATTCATTGATGGCACGCCTGTGTATGGAATTACTGCCTTCCAAAAGATAGGAAACCACAGGGAAACCCGTTTTCTGTGCATATCGTACACTGAATGTAGTCGATTCCGCACTTCCTGGTCCAACATCAAGGTCATTTTCCGTACGTGATTAACCCAATGTACTGCAATGCACTGCTGAGTATTCCAAAAGCTCTCAAATCTTGAAGCTTGGTTGGCCTTCTTCGTCTTCCAAATCTTCCATCATCAAAAGGTACCGAAGACAGATCTCCGCCATCTGATTTTCTGCATCATTCAGGCTGCTCCAATATATAAGATGGGGATTGTCCGAACTTTTCTTTTGAATCAGAAACCCTCTAGCAGTCTGATGGATGAGATAGATTTTGGAGTTGTTAGTAAAGACAAACCAGCCGCATAACTGTCGGAATTTTCACTGTAAATGAGTTGGATCTAGCCCGGCCTCCATTGTTGTTCGTGCCTCGGAGTAGGTGGCAATACCTAGCGCCACAGCTATCTCTCGCATTGTCAGAGGACGTCATTTTTGGCGGTATCCATTTCATCTGCTGGGACTCGACAGAGAATCTTTTCGTATGCGGCATTCACAGAAGGCGGTATGGGGGGGATCGGATGTTCTGCTGGCCGAAGGCTGCGCTTAAAGGTGGTGCGGATATCATCAATCGTTAGATGTAGCCAGAGATAAGTACGGTGTTTCATGTGACGTAGCGGCTGTTCTACTCGATGGTGGACCTCCAGTGATAGTTGTGCTACTTCGGCCAACTCTTTTTTTTCACTCGAACTTTTACCACTATATCAATCTCCTCATGAATTCGGTCATTTCGTCCTCTCCTTTGACGTGTACGTGTGAGAAGGAATCAGTGATCGCTCAAAAACTATCCTGTATATGATCGTAGGGTAACGAGGAATTTCAAACAGGTATCCTTCGTTAATGAAGAGGTTTGCTGATAAAAGAACTGGAGCTTTTCAATCAATCGCCCCTAATCCTTTTCATGGCATTCGTCAAGCGCATCGATTATGCAAATTGTCTTGTGTGATACGTCGGCTAATGCGGCAGCAGTGAGGATCCGCCAAAGCTCATCAACCTCGTTTCACAGTCTCTCCCCGTTTTGCTCCCAGGACGGTATAGCATAGGACAAGAGATGAGGCCGCTGGCTGAAAAGTTGACGTAGTACCGAGCAAAGTGCTGTATCAAGGCGGTTCTGGTGCTCATTGTCTTTGAAGAAAAAGAAACATATGGTCACTCCTGGACTTGAAGCCTCCACGTGTTCGTCGATGATCGATCTGGCCAGTACAGACTTCCCGCAGCCTGGGTCGGCTGACACCCATAGAATGTCATTACAGTAACTCTCCCACCAGCGAATGTATTCAGGGCTCTGCAAAGCCCACTGGCAGGTTCCTTTCACACTTCGCGGATTGATGTTCTTCTGTTCCTCATACTTTGATGTCTTTAAAGATTGATGACAACGGCGTTGCTGATCCGTCAATGCCAATTCGATCTTCTCACAATGCTGTTGATCTTGTTGATTGTATGCTCGGCCGAGTCGTTTGTTCGTGCCTTTGACTTCATCTTTTAATTCATCTATATATAGCTATATAAGTAAGCCACTCTTTGTTCGAGACTAAGCTAATATACGGTTCACATACTACACGCATCTGCGGCCAAGTTCTCTTGCGAAACACGGCCCACCGGTATATATCCTAGCAGCTCCTTGGCATACGATGCCGCTGCTAAAGCTGCGTACACTTGCCACTGTTTGTTCTTATGCGAATCGACGTAATCACAAATCCCACGGATGACAATGCAAGGAAAGTATTGCATCAACCCCGCTGCCTCCATCTCAAAGCACAATGCCCCAGTGTCCTTCCGTAGCTGTTCCCGGGTCCGTGCATGCTTAACGACATAATTCCCGGACGCGATGATACCGTAGTGTGGTTGTGGACCGCAGCTCTCGCGTTCGCTCCTCGTCTCTTCCCATTCTGCCAGACAACTATCGCAGCTATTTGCAGTCGCCGGCTGATCGTGGTCCGGTTTGAACAGTCGATCCGATTCTGTATTAGGTCTGCCGAAGTTTTTCCGAGTTCGTGTGGTTCTTTTGGTCGCACTGGTGAAATATTCCGGAAAGCGGGGATCATCTCTTAACTCAGCGGCCCTCATCGAGCCAAGTGCCGTTAAAAGTGATCTAAGAGGACTGTTCAAAGACCCAAGACCCAGTTCGATGAAATTCACCACCCGAGCCAACTTTTCCCATGTCATATTGGACCAAACCCCCAAGCCCCCCCGGGCAACTGATCACAAGATCGCCAAGTCGTATATCATGAGCAGTCGACGTAATCCCGCCTCCAACACCCACTATAAACCCAACGCGGAGTGATTTTGAGAATGTGCGGAGCATATTATTGGCGACCGTGGTGGCTGAGGTGTTGCCATATTGTCCTGTAGGGAGGCAAGCGATCACAACCGAATGTTGCCCGATTCGGCCCAATGTGTAGGTATTTGAGTCGGACATGTCTTGAGAATTGAGAGGGCCGAAATACTCCATCTAGCATTTTCATAGCTGCGGCAGCCTCGATCGGTAGGGCACATATCCAACCGATTTGGAATCTTTCCCGTGGGGGACAGGCCATGCCAAAGACTTCGTTCGCTCACGATAGAATCTTGGAGAGGCGCCGGAAGCGAGTAGGTGAAATCAATGGTTTTGAGATACATTGGGGATGAGACAAATGGGGAATTATAGGTAGAATAAAGAGCCCTCTCAGCCTCCAAAGCTCAGCTTCGTGATTGACAAGAATCACAACAGCGGGCGGCAAGAGAGAAGATGCTGTTGGTGGTAGCAGGTTACCTCGCCAAGAGAATGTGAGGCGTGCCGTACCGAACCCCCGCAATCACCATGAATTGTGAATATCGATGCCCGGGGGGCTGGCCGATCTGAATCTGAAGGAAACATCGTTTTCTGGGGCCAGCAAGAGGCTGAGGACATCTATGACGCCACTTATTTGCACGAAGATTTATTTTCCTTTATGTTACCACTATTCCTGATTTAGATGAGGAACGCCTACCTAGTATTCCACTGGTGACTCAAGAAACAGAGGACTTTTCCCAGTTCAAAGCACTATATCGAATTTTAGTTTAAAAGGCCTACCATGGACAGCCGCGTATCCAAGCACAACGGTTTGAGAAAAATATATATACCAAATAAGCACCACTTACGTAGTTGTCTGTGAACTACATTTGAGCGAAACAGACCCGATTCTGCTCGTGAGTCAACTTACTGTACAAGGTAAAAATATAACCGTAATTATGTGGTCAAATACCAAGCAAAAAGTGTAATGATAATGGTATTGTTGTACGTATCGGTTGGTTGGTTGGTTCAGGGGTCCACTCTTCCAGTGGGGCGATCCTCTTCCCAAATCAAACGACTCCTGACATTTCGGGGACCATTCCGATGTCTTCTCAGCCCATGTCGTTCGTATGGTTCTGGGGACCTCTTTTGGCTCTCCGCCATCCCCATTCAATTTCTTGGGCGACTTCCTTCTTCTCTTGGTAAGATCCTGTCAGAACAAGCTAAAATTGTATGGACTAGTATGCATTCAGGACGAATGAGATCAAGCGGAACCAATTCAGGATAAATAGAATGATTGATTAATTAGAAAACATGCGGTCGAGGGCAGGTTGAAATACCCTCGGAACGTGACCATACTCGGTGGTTATTATACCGAGATTGCCAATTGAAACAATTTACCATACAAAACACAAGGAAATGTGGGTTCCTGGGTAACCAATCGCTTGCTAGTGGTAAGATACCACTCCATGCTCTGACAGATCCTTATCACATGGTTCCAGATCAGGCGGAGGCTCCTTGGTCCTACAAGGTTTCGCCGGAACTTTATTTCCAGGTACGCGCTCTTCATGATCATCCCATGGTCCGATCTTCCTGGTATAAACCGCCTCAAGAATAGGGTCAACCAGAGGAACCCATCAAGTTCTTCCCGGTTTGTTGGCGTTGGCCAGTCCTTGATCTTTTCCATATGACGAAGCGATGGGCGAATACCCTCGCGGCTCCCCTCAAATCCGACCGCCTCAAGCGAGGACTCGAAGACTCGGACTTTCTTTTCGGCCAGATAAACTGGGCCGAACACCACCCTAGGGAAGTATTTCTCATGTAGGAAGCGGAATAAGGTCTCATATGGCGTAGCTGACCCCAGGTGACCTTCCACGAATGGGCTAAATCCAGCTTCTCTATGATCTCCGATAGTAGAATCCTGTCTGGAATTTCCCTCCGAACCCGGCAACTGTCCAAAGACCATGCCGGTGAATTGGGCATACGTGTGCATGGCGTTTTTCAGGCTTATTCCCATCCTCCGATGTGCGTATTGGCCATGGGTAGTGATCACCACAGCCTTGAACTCGTCTCCCGGCTTGATCGGAACAGCCCAGTACCCGCATGATGCGTCTGCTGTGAAATACGTTGAAAACTTTGATTTCAACACAACGTCGACCACCTCATCAAAGTTGTGGACTGGATATGAAGACCCGATGGACCACTTGTTAATGGGGATGAAATTGTGAACAATCCTCAGATCTTTAGGATTCTTCTTTGAGATGAATCGTGTCTGCGCTCCCCATTGTGAAGCCATGCGATATAAGATTCCGGCATCCTCCATGTCGGGGAATGCTTTGGCAGCGAACTCTCGCTCATATTGAGTGTATCTCTTCATTTTCGCCTTCACTGGTTTTGCGTCTGGCACGATGCCGATGGAATGTTCAATGAGATCCGTCGCTCGGATGTCTCTAACCGACTTCGCGAAACAGTCCTTTCAAGTGTAAAGCAGGCGCCGGACCTCCGCTTGGCGCTGTGGATTGTCCGCCACCAATTCTCCGATCACGATCTCGGTCCCCTCAAACCAACAGTCGACAGTCCCTTGATCGGCTTCGCTCAGCTGGCGAGCCTGCGATCGCCGATCGGTCGGAAATTTCCCTGCCTCATTCATACGGAATGGTGTTGCTAAGTAACAGGAATCAAAGACCGTAGATCCTTCCACCCAACGATGCGGTCGAGTGAACGTCGATCTCCACAATGCTTATGCTTTATCAACATCACCGTCAGCCAAATCCATGATTTCTGGACGATGCATAGGGAAAGAATAATTTCCCGGATCTCTCTGGAAAACGATAGCCATATTGACCATATCAGCTGCAGTGCCCGGGGCTGGCTTAAAAATGCTAATCACGTCCTCATCGTCTCCACAGACGGTCTCAACAGGATCCTTCCACTGAACCTTCTTCCGCAACCTTTCTTTCTTGGTTTTATGATTTTCTGTTGTGGTTCTCTTTGATTGTCTCATAAAGTATGCAGTGTTGGACGGATATGATCTTTCCCTCCTAATTGTTTAATGGAGAGACCGCGAAATTTTTCAGTGAGCTCATCGATAAGTCGTTCGCTGAGGACCCGATATCGGTTTACTTGACTTTTGGGAATCGCTTTGGGTTTAGGCTTGAATGGATCCACGATAGGTTGTTCAGTGCCTGTGCCACATGAATCACTGCAGCTGGAAGAACGCATTTGAGCTCTCCTCCGGAGCCCTGAAAGTGTTCTGCTATAAGCCACTCCGGGATAACGTACGGACGCTTCCTTCTTCGCATTGAACTTTCGATATAATCTTCTTCTACGTCCTGTTGCAGCTGGATTTTGCTCAGGAACGGGTTGGTCGTCAGGAGGATGCGATTCCTCTGAGTCTGTCTCTCCTGCTGGAGCGGCCTCTTCCTCTGATGCTGGAGGGTTCTCCTTCCTCCTTGACGGTAAATACCCTGCGGTACTTTGAGCCATAGGTTCATCTGCACCAGGCTGGCTGGTTTTGAATAGTGGGCCTCTATTGCAAAAATTACGACTATTCCATTTTTTCTCACTAGCTTTATTACCGGTTGAGCTAGAGCGTTGATCTTGATTCCCGCTTGCATTATTTCTTGGAACTGAACTTGGCTGTTTGGAACTTGACTGTTTGGAACTTGACTGTTTGGAACTTGACTGTTTGGCTGAATACTTGTCATTTGGGTCATAGAATGGACCTCTATAAGATTGTCTATATGGCTGATAGAAAGAAGGCTCAAAGGAAGACGACGATGCCCGTGCGTTCGCTCTCCATTGCGAGAAAGTTGATTTGTTTTTACCCGTTGGTTGATTTGCACTCGTGGCACCCGTGGGATAGAAACTACCACTCTTGCCTCTATGTGGCATGTAGTTATCGCTATCATCTCCCTGTGCTCTTGCAGTTCCCCTAGGAACTGAACTTGATGGTTTGGCTGGGCCATGGAAATTCCATTTTTGGGATGATTTCTGATACGATTGTGAGAAACCTGATTTATGATTGCTTGTTGGTCGATTCGTACTCGTTGCCCGAGCGGACCAAGAGTCTTGCGATGGCTCACTCTTGGAAGACGTCGCCATATGGCCGAACCTTTTCTTATGATACTCTAGACGCTTTTGGGGATCTGATAAAATGGAGTACGCATCGTTGATACGCTGAAACTCCTTCGTCCAATAACTTTCATCTTTGTCGTGCCTATCGGGATGTGTACCCAGGGCTACAAATCAAGATTTGCCTTCTCTGCATCGTAACATGTATTTGCTTACCTCGCTTCCTAAACGCCTTTTTAATGGCCTCATCGGTTGGGAAATCAGATGACAAGCTACCAGACGGTAAGCCCAAGTCCTTATAATAGTCCCTCCGTTCATCTATGTTGTTCATGTTGAGTTCGTTGTTGCTCAATGGACTATGACTTTAGTTGGGATTTACCACGCTATATTGGATTTGCAAAGAAACGTATGCTTGAAAGAATATTTAGCTCTATAGATGAGGCTCTATCAAAAGTTCATTTCTGGCACAGGGCGTCAATATTGGCTTGCTAGAACCTGAATCGGTATTTCTATATTTAGAACGATAAATAGATCTGCAGCGTGTGAAATAACTCGAGGGAAGAGCCAAGAGAGTTCTCAACATGTCAAGTGTCAAGAGAGCTTGAGATGGTACAGTAACTTAGAATTCGAAATCAGTTTTAACTCTACACTCTTGCGACTTGATTCGGGAAACGTAACTTGAAACACGCTAGTTTACATTAGGCAAAGTGGTCATCCATGATTTCCGATTATAGACATTGTATTTTACATGACGCAGGTATGACCTTGCCAGGTGTAATTTACTCGAAAATCACATACAATGGTGTTTTTCTGCCATGCCGTCCACCCCAAGCACGAGGCAGCTTCACCCGTCTATCTCTTGAGTGTCACAATAGACGATCATGAATATTCATGCAAACCTGCGGTAGTTTGGAAGTGTACACACATCGCGAATTCGAAACGCACTGTAACACCAATTCTTGTGGAAACTTGCAACCTAAGCTACTTGGGGCTAGCCAAGTGGCATTATGCTGGTATGCGCTTGTCATGAAGTCGATGAGCTTTACCAGCGATGATAGAGTGAGTGTATTCTGGAGCCTGTCGTCGTGATGTGGGGACTTCGGTCGGGCGCGGCTGGAGAGATCAGCTAGCGGAGTAAAAGCATTGAAGGCGTGGGTGAAGCAGAAGGAAAGACAGGGAAAAATTCTTCGATTTTATTGTAATCTGGTTACTGATTGTCCTCGTTCGAATGGTTCTTCATTGGTCCAAAAAGTTAAAACTGGCATTCACAGCTTCTCATGTGCACCAGCGTTGAATGTGCTTATCCCATTGTTTCAGCCCAATTCTGGTCGGGCCACCACGCTTAAGTGATATAAATCGTAGCGTTCGGTCCTACGCTGTCCTTGGACAATCCTGTCACCTCAATAGGCCCACTCCTTTGTTCGAATCCTAATTCTAGACTTCTACTTGTATTGCTCAGAAAATTATGTCTTTCATCACTTCTTTGCACCCTGCTCCAGATGTTAGAAACGTTGTTGAAAGCATCTGTACTTTCTACGATGCTAGCGGACAGGTTTATGCTGACGACCCGTGGGAAATCAAAGAAAACGAGTCGCTTGATATAAATCATTTGGTCGCGGTGTTACGAGCAATATTGAAGGTTTGGTTCTATCACCTTATATGACTCTCATTTATTCACGCCAAGTAGCAATCACTCTCTCCCTCGATTCTACAAGTTGAAAAACTTTACGAAATCGAATTTCCACAGTGGATCTTTTGCCTGAGACAGTGCAAACAGGGCGGTGCGATTTGGTCCGATGGTGTGCGAAAGCTGGAATTGAAGAAGCTCAATATCATTCATTGCATCAATGGAAAATAGACGGAGAACAAGGAGGCCTATATCTGACTCTGAGTTAATATCACTGGCTGTAATTGGATCGAGTATTGTGGCATCGGCAAGTACAGCTATATATAGGACATTTCGGATGGAGAAGCAGGTGCATACAATGATTCTCGGAATCTTCGTAACTCCTTTCTGGTCTCACCGCAAAGCCCTTAGTGCAGATAGGGTATCGAGCAGCCCACATTAAAATAAGGGGTAAAAATAACAACAACGTGAAATGGTATCTTATGCTTTGACCGTTGAATTATGATCCCAATAGCCACTATACTTTGGCCACATAATACTACGGTCCTCAATTTGTTGCATCGTCCAACGTACAGTAGCAGCCGCTATCGCCTTCCTTGCTGAGTCAATATATAAAAGCTATTTCAAACCCTAATGACATATTACGCTAACCCGAATTCAGTTAGTCTGTATTTTAAATCCTATTGGCTAGACTGGTCTACCATATTGGGGGCATTTCCGCTGTTTCGGTCGCGTCTGCGGATAGCAGCCATATCGACAGCCGTGTTCATTGTTACACACGACTAGCGGGTCGTCGCTAGGTTAAATAGGACCGAGAGATACTTCTTTGATGTTCTGCAGACTGCCAACTGTCAACGATCTGCCTCTCAACAGTACCGTTGCCTAACAAGGCTTCTACGGGCTAAATCCTCTTGACGGTATCGAGGAGCGACGCCAGGTAGTGCACCGAATAGAACTATACCGAAGTATTGGACTACAGTAGCGACCGGTATTGCCTTCCACGCCAGGAACAGAGAGATGCTCTTTCAAACCCTAATCACATGATGCGCTAGTCCAGATATGAATAGCGCGTAAATAGCTCGTTTTTTTGTAGCAAGTGTATAGTTATAGGTTGTATTGTTGTGGGGTTGTGTGGGTCAATATCCAGTAATAGAGATACAGGTCTAACCTTAATGCATGAGGAGTGCGTATCACGATAACAGAACAATACAATCAAAACAGGTGCTTCAACACGGATCGTACCCACAACTACTTTTTAGCGATTGAGTCCTTACACGCGCCTGGCTGCCCCTCTTTTGCCCCACACTTCATCTTTATCTCACCTCCACTTATAAAAGGGTTTCAGTAATTCACCAGCAGCAACCTATCAATATAGCGGCATACCACCCAACAACCTCTACAGACAACGCCCACGAACCTAAGATGAGCACAGCTGTCGATATGGCTGCTCTCCGCAGACGCTACCAAAACAGCGGAAGCCCTTCCAATCCAACAACCCCTACAGACAATGTCCACGAACCTGAGATGATTGCTACGGACATGCTAGTCACCAATCAGTTGCCGGGCCGCAACTAACAGGTGGACCACTGAGAGCCAACCAACATATCTGCCATCAGAATTACGTGCGACAAACGAAGCCAGAGTCAGCCTCTCGCCAACGGTCAGGGACTGTACTCCGTTTGGTGATAGAGCGGTCAGGAAAATGACAAAGCAGTATACCACAATGCAGAGCCAAGACAAGGTATATCGGCATGGTATATCAGAAGGACTACTACAGGGTCGGTAGCGGCATACATGGTCGAGGAGGAGGGAATACAGGCAAGGGATATATAAAGACATCCATTCATGTATCTAGTTTAGTTCTTCATCTTCAATTATACAATTTAATTGTGCATACTTTAGGAACTTCAAAGACTCTACTTGATTATGACTTGACAACCACTAGGACTACAGTATGGATGGATGGATGATATCATTTACCCTGACCTCTCGCTTTTAGTTGGATTCTAAACCACAACCCATAGGCTGGGTACGGATTCGTATTTTGGTCTAGTGGTTAAATCAACTGGTTATGAGCCCGGATTGCGCGACCTCTGAGCGCATAGGTTCGATCCTCACAGCTTGCGTTCTTGAGCACCCAGAGCCACCAGAAGACGGCCTATGATTGGCCCCACAGCCAGGCAGCAGAGCTTTCATACGCGCCCCCAGCCAAGCGGTTATGGTTTACGGGGGAGAGTTGGATTCTAAACCACAACCCATAGGCTGGGTACGGATTCGTATTTTGGTCTAGTGGTTAAATCAACTCTTTTGGCGATATACAGGATACAGCAACTATATATATCTTTGTATGTACATGTGTAATGTCCCACTTCCTGAAAACGAACTTGGAGCCTCGTCAAGGCCTATCGTGGCCCAGGTGCCGTTCAAGTTATTAGGCTGCCCTCATGGCGCGCGGCTTTTGAATCTTTGTGACGCCTCGGCGAAGTCTAGTACGGCTTTGACCGTCCTAGCCCGCGAGACGGTGTCTGGTTTACCTCTCTCACCTTCAGTTGAGCCTCCCAGCAGACTCGATACGCTGTTAAACGCATCCCCAACTTCAATCCTTAGCTTCCGTCGGATTTCCCTCAGATTTGGGCAGTCCACCAGCACGTGGGTGACTGTTTCTTGCGCGCCGCACACACACTGATTATTGTCGCGGAAGCCGAAGGTTTTGGCATAGGTGGATAACCAATTATGGCCCGTCCGTAGCTGCGTCAGCAGGTACGCCCGACCCCTGGGCAGGTTCCC